TGGACGGATTTATAAAAATTGTAAAAGGTGTAGAGAAGTAAGGGAAAAAGCAAGTATAAAAAGAAAAGAAAAAAGCAACATCTTAAAACAAATAAGCATAAAATAAATTTAGAAATGAAACAGGCAGAAGAAAATTAACATTATTTTTATTAATAAATATTTTACATAAAATTGTATAAGGTTACTATGTAGAATAACTTCTTAACCTTATATAATATTTCAATGAAGTAAAAATTATTTTCAAGGAATTAGATAAGGTTAATGAATATGAATAATGTATTAACCTTATTTAATATTTGAATTATAAACCTATATTTTATATTTTGGTAAGTTGTTCTGAAAATTATTTTACTTCATTCAACATCTGTTCTTGTATTTTTCCCCCCCCCCAATTAGTAAAAATTCCTCCCCATTTTGTTTTTTAATTGGGGTTTTCGGATTTGGTTTTGCTTTTCCAACAATGTGAGGGTTCACATAGGATTTGGAGGAAATGGATTGAATTGTAAGGTCCGCGAGTAAGCGGTTTAATAAGGAAATTGTATGTATCATTCTATTTGTTTTTCAGTTTACTGGTTGTTTGTTTGCAGCCAGGCAGGTTAATTAATTAGCCAGCATGTACGGGAGAGAGACAGTCGCAGCTAGACAGCTCTTGGGGACATGTTTTCTTTTGAGGGACACCACCCCAATAAAGGACCCAATTAGGATTGGGGCTGGAAGCTTGTTAAAAGTGCCCCCAAATAAGGATTCCAAGACTTTAGTATTGGTTTAGTATTGGCGCAATGGAAAATCAATTGTGCGGAGTGGAAATCTGGTCCCGGCCCCGGATTTCCATTTTTATTAATTGGGGTCATTCATTAATAGGGGGAAGATATTAATCCAAAGATGAAGTCTTACATCGCCTCAGTTCAGCCGAGAAATATCTCCAGAAGGGCTGCCAATGATTTTTTTCTGGCATCAACAAGATGGGGCATGGTATTGGCTTTCAAGGTACAGGTCTGTATGTACCGCCAAGAGGAGCTTGTCAAGCTGCCTTTGAAGGGTCCCAACTGGGCTTTCCATTTTTTCGGGGAAGCTTCCCCATTCTTTCCAGGGATCCTTCTTTTCAGGAAACCATCAACAATTCCAGGTTGGAAACGGCGATCGGCTTTTGAGAAGAACGATGGTTGAAACAAATGTTTGGAATCAACCCCTAGACCATGGTCTGTTGAGGTTCTTTCGTGTTTCGGCACTAAATTGGAGTCCTCCTGGTTCGCACTCGCATAGGGATCCTAAATATAATTTTCGAATTTCAATGAGGGGATTGACGTCACCAACCTTTAACAAAAAGGTTTGGGGGCCAACACTGCGATCCCCAACCTCACCCCGTAATACGCCGCCTGTACAATCCAACGAAGTCCATATTATTTTCAGATTCTATCTCAAAAAATGCCTAAGAAACATGGGTGTGTCATCGTTTTGACCCCGCCTCCCTCCCCCCCCCCAACCAACAAATATCAAACAAATGAAACAATTACAATGTGGCTTTCCTTTTGAGTTCCCTCTAAAACCAATCAATAGGGGTACCCTCAGCAGAAACGCGCACCCATTCTTACATACTGTCCAGTTCCGCGGAGAGCCAAAATGCGAACAATCAAACTTGTGCTGATCTTTGACCTCCGGATATGCCTAAAATCGGTAATTTTCCAAGTTTCCAACCACATCTAGGGAAAACCCTGAAGATCTGGGGAAAATAACCCCCAGACACGTGGAATGGACAAATGTCACAAGGAAAAGGATCGAATATTTGGGCTCCACATCTGGAAGGATCCCCAATTCCACCAACTCACCCGCGAAAACAGCACGTTGAAACATGTCGAAACAACCCCTTGTTTTAACAACCTCCTCTTGTTTCAATTTTTGTCAGGTGACCAGGGTCCAGGTGTTTTGCACCAAACCAGCCTTAAATAGAGTTTGAACAAATTGATTGACAGGCATTGTACTTAGGATGACGTTCGCGAGCCTGGTTATAACTCCTTACCATGGTGAGAAGTCTCCTATGTGGGTTATAACCTGACTTACTAACCACTTACTATGTACCCTGCCCCTTTAAGTAATGAACCCCACCTCCCCACCCTGCCCCCAACAATGAATCTCGAGCAGCCGGCAGAGCAGTACAGATCATTATTTCAGGGGATACTAGTAATACCACATGCTTCCCCTGCAAATACCAACCAACAATGGGTTCAACCATGGTTTCATTGCGTGGTGCGAGAAGCAGATTTCGCAACCATCCACAGTAGGTCAAGTCAGCATAGCATCGAACGAATCGAACGAATCGACCAAGGCGCTTCCCAAGTGCTGCTCCACCTTCCTCAGTCGGGTCGACGGGGACAAACTTTCCTTCAGTCCCAAGTTGAAGCGTCCCAAATGCGCCTAGAGTCTCCTTCTGACCATTTAAACAACATGTAAACATGGGTCGTTCGTCCCCGTTGCTCAAAACAACAATGTATCTATGTTCATCCTGGAGTAAGATGGTTCACCCCCACCCCAGGGAAAAAGGGGGGAAGGCAGCCGGTAAAATATGTTGGGAGGGGCGGTTCCCTTTTCATCTCTCGGTTGGTTGCGATTTGGTTGAAGGCCCCTTAGGGAGACAAGGAGGTTGGCTCCTTTTCAACCACCAGCCATGGCCCCCATGGGCCAATCAATAAGAGAGGTTCTGACATTTCCCCCCCCTTTTTCCCGAGGGGAGATCAACATGAGGGCTTCAACGAGTGTAAAACATATGTGGTGTGATCAAACGTCCTTGGGCCGTGGCTATGGTTCCCAATCCTTGCAAGAGGGTCCACAAAGACCATGGCACATGCAACAAGCCCCAACTTGGGTGTGGGTTGATAGAGCAAGAAACTGACGATGCCAAGGGAAAAGCAACAATGCCATTCTCACGTTTCATGTTCCCTAGCTTCCTGACTCGAATTCGGTCTTGTGGGCTCGTTGCTTGGGATGCTGAACAAAGTAACTCTGGACCCTCGAAACTTCAAGTTCAAAATGGGCCATAATTCCCATTTTTTTTTGGTAGTCGGAGGTTTTGGGCAAACTTTTTGCCTGCCAGTCACGAGTGATTGAAGTTCAGAAAATCGGGTAAGTGTGAGCAAAAGCAATGACATAAAACCATATTTCTCCTTCTTGGTTGACCTATCTGATCATATCCCGCATGTGAAGATAAGGAATAAGTGCAGAGTAGCGCGGCAGAATAAGCAGAGCATTTCAGATGCGATGTGTTTAGTTTGAAACTGTACCTAGGTTCACTAAATGCGGGCCACAAATATTGATGTTTGCGCGGGCAGAATTTAGAGAGAATGGCAAAGTGCGAAATGGCGTGGAACTCTCTTGGTTCAGCATGCTTACAAATACTTTGGAATACTTGGAAGTTTGGGGATAAGAATCGAGTAGCCAAATGTGGGGCGAATCGTATGTGGGAGGTCTAGTGAGGGTGGCCTTCCTTCTTTTTGGAAAGAGACCCCCAGGAAACCACCCATTTACCCATTTGGAGGTTTCCTCATTTAGAGCCAAGCCCATGTCCCCCAAATTGACTGGCTTCTGTTTGACGGTTTGAGTTCTGTTTGACGGTTTGAGTTCTGTTTGACGGTTTGAGTTCTGTTTGACGGTTTGAGTTCTGTTTGGTCACCCATCCTCTTCAAACACCCATATGGAGAAGGATCGAAAGCACAGAGCCATTTGGCCATGGGTCAAAAGCCCGTACCCCCAGTGAACATCCCAATCCCATTCCATTGGTTTTGACCCACATTTGAGGGAGCAGCGACCCCCATGCACCATTCGCCGAGCAGTTCGGAAAGCCTTTCGAAGTTAGCCATTGAACCTCCAACCATTGAACCTCGAGATTGCGCCATTCGATGGTATTTTCTACCAGGTCCCAGATTCGCCCAAAAGGCGCACATGTTCTCTTCCTTTGTCAACACCCCCCGGTCCTTCCCCCATTCTAGCGGGAAAGTAGTCAGAACGACCTCCATGCCCCGAATTTTGTCTCCAGTTTGACTCTCTGACCAAAGGTCGTGAGTAGCTGTAGGTGGTGGTGCTGCCACCGCCCACGGAGTCCTTCTGGGTGGATGAGGTCTCAACGCACTGCTGCATCTCCTCAGATCTATCTCTCTCTCTGTCTCTCCCTCCCCCTCTCTCCCCCCTCTTGACTCCATTCACATTTTTTCGGGTGTCTTGCTTTGAGGCTTCCCGCTTCAAAGGAAGCCAAGAGGAAAACCGCATGTCTTATTTTAGTTTCTGAGGGCAGGGGGGGTTCCCCGAATTTGGAGAACAACCCGTGTAGGAGCCTCCCCTTCCACCAGCAGGTAACACCTGCATAGTAGGTAACTCATTTCAAAAGGTTGGCCACGGGTCAGAGTTTACCTGGTCCATTTGTCTGCACATTGCATGTAAAATAGGCTGGCTGTTGGAATGCAACGTCTCAAGCCTCATATCTGTGTCTCCAGTCGGTGGATTTGTAGCAAGGCGATTCCGACCGAGGAAATCAGCAAAACTTCACTGGTACCCTTTATCGGGCAGGACGGTGAATTCGACCTACCCAGATTCCTTGAGAGGTTGGGTCGAATTACATTCCGTCGGATCCGACTCATTACCCACTTTGGAAGCGACACCATTTTGCTGCTACAAAGCAACCCCCAAATGTTCCTTAAAGGCACGCCTTCACTTTCGGGGCTTCCCCTCTTGATTGATCCGTCATGGAAAATCAACTTTGGCGACCCCGGTTATGCATTGTTTTCCATTGGCGAAGGCAGGGTTCCTATATTTCCCCTTGAAAACAGCCTTTTCAATTCAAGGCACCAAAAAAAATGGTCACCGAGGTCTGGCAGCGCTGCGGAAAGCTTGCAACCTGTTTTGTTTTTTGGTTTTCAAGGGACACTAACCAAACAAAACACCATAGTTTGGGGGTTCGGATCCTGAAATACGCGCACAGCCATGGACCATCGACCAAGCAGCAGATTGGAAGTTCACGCCAGTGCCAACCTGGGCAAGCGGTCACGTCGGTTTCAGCGGAAATACTTTTCCTTTTTATCAATGTGTCCATGACCAATATTCGTGTCACTGTTGAAGTGGACTACCTGCAAAGAGTTCACAGGGCGGCCGCGCCTATTCATGGTTGGGACTTTCCCATACCAACAATTCTCATCTATCCACACATGGAGAAAGGCATTGGCAAGCACAGCAGACTCATGTGACACACGTTGCATCTCATCCCAAGCCCCAATACACATTTCAAGCCTCCCAGGGTCATTGGGCCAAGCTGATTTTCCTTGGGTTTCCCCTTGAAGTCTAAAAAGGTCTGCCCCACAGTCCTTTTGCTTCAGAACCCATTCCGTTCGCTCTGACCGGGGCGCATAGGAGGCCAATGTGGTGGAGAAGTCTCCGGCGTTGAAGCCTTCGAAGCCCAAAGGCGACAGCCCCGTGGACGAGATGTCGCCTCAGCCGCGATGTTCAGCAAACCCGACCGCAAACGCCCGGGGTTTTGGCCGGGATACGCGGGTGGCCGGGACACATATTTTCCGGGACAGGGACTGATTTGCCTTCTTTTTTTTTTGGGTTCCGGGCAGAAGCACCCCCGAAATCGAAAGACATGACGTACCCTTTGGTTTCTTGCTCTTTGGGGTTGGTTGATTTTGAAGGGAACACAAAGAAACATGCCGAAATCAGGGAGCACCAAAAAACTGCGGTGGCACGCAACCACAGGCCCCCAGAAAGGCCCATTTTGGGCAACCTTGCCATCCAACAGGATGTGCCTCAATCCATCCGTGCTGCCAAATGAGTTCCTGAACCCTCAAACTGGTCCAGGTACCAGGTAGATCCTCTGGATTCTGATTGTAATCCCGGACAACGCAACCTCCACTGTGTCATTTCTTCAGTCAAAGCGGTCAGTATTTGGTCAGTGAGCCCGCGCGCTCCTGGAAATGACTTGGCAAAAGCTTTGGGGGCCTGAGCAAAACGCATCCATCCTCTGAGTTGCCCTTTCCTGGAGGAACTCACACTGATTCGCGCCCGGGCAAAACGGATACAACAACTGCAGCATGCTACATCTCCTCATCTGATCTGACCATTCCCAGACCCAAGACATTGCCTCCGAAAGCGCTGGGCTTCTTGTGCCAACCATTTGCCTTTTGGGCCAACCGCCTTAAGAGATACCTGGAATTTTGGGGGCTCAGCACACGGTTCCATTCGTGTGCACATTTATGACATATCATCATCCCCCCCCCCCCCCGTTGTTTCGGCTCAACATCCGTGTCCATAAGCTTCTCTCAAAGCTTTGGCTCCTGAATCAGGATTGACAAGGCTCAGACTCGCTCAGCGCCTTGAAGAGATTCTTGCATCATCACACGCTATGGACAGGTCCTACAGATTGAAAATAGCTCTTTAGGCGCTGAAACGTGCTTCTCGCATGTGAAGAGGCGTTATAGGCGGAGCTTATTCGCTTACAACGCAGTCAAATACTTGGCATACCAGTACCCCTGATACTGTGCAGCCAGGATCTGATTCTTTTTCTGGGCGTACCCGACCGCGACATTGGCCAGTCGGTTTTACGTGGGTAAATGCCACGCTGTCGGGGGATATTGACCACTTACCTGACGTATGGTCATGGCTGGGCTGCAGCCGAGCAGCAATTGAAGAACACCAAGCTGCCTGCAGGAGAGTGGCATCGTGTGCCCCTGTCCAATTCCCCTTCTTTTCTGAACCGGCAGCCCGGGAACCGAATCCTTCGAACCGAATCTCGGGAACCTTCCCTGAAACCTGGTGGTATCCCGTAGCCCAATTTGAACCCTGCTTCTTTCAGCTGCCCCAAACCAAGCCTATCTCAGCAGAGACTCCCCAGCTTTCAGATGCTTCGGAAGAACAGGGCCTGGACCCTCAAACTAACCGTAAAGGGAATTCACCCCCGCAGCTCACTTCCTGAGTGACTTGGCGAACAAAAAGTCCATGCTTTTTGGCAATGCCACTAAAATGGTCCACACCCAAAAAAGTATAAAGTCCGGGAACTCAGGAAGTGAGAAAAGACTGGGTTGCAATACCCCAAAAAATTAAGTTGGGATTGTGCGGGTTCAACCTTTCCGGGACGTCCTATTCCCTGGGCCCAAAGGGGTTCCGGAGCTTCCGGGAAGGGTGGTCCTGGAGTCTCCTTCTGACCCTAACAAAAATGGGGTCATTGCCCAAAATAAAGGGGTCATTAACCCACTTTTAAAGGGTCATGCAGACTCCAGGGTGTTTCAATTGGCTAAAAATAACGCAAATACAGGAACCCTTGTCCCCAGTGACACAGACCCCCAAAGACCCGGACACACATTGCCACTTGGTTCGCCTTGTTTCGCCTTCTGTGGCCTTGCTTGACCCATAGGCGTGCAGTATTGTTGAAGCCAATTGCGGGATTCCTTTGTGGCTTGTCCCAGGGAGCGATTTCTTTCTAAACGGTGTTTTTGCAGCCCACCAGACGTGAGCAGAACCAAAAATACACACACCTACTAAACCTCACTTCCGATCGAGTGGATGGCTCAAACAAAGTCCCCGAACTAGCCAATCAGCGGCTCACGTCCCGGAACTCCGCCCCGGAACTCCGTGAGCGCCTGAGGAGGCTGAGGCGTCGGTGCAGCCGACGCTCGTATAGGCCGCCTCTCCGGACCTGCGAGTGACCAGTGAGTGACCCCCTTGGATCCTCAAACCTCAGCCTCCATTTGCACATGCGTCCCCTGGAAGCAATGATTGTAAAATCAACAGGGGAAAATAAAAAACATATTCTGAACCAAATGGAAGTCAGGGAAGTAGCTTGCAACGGTCCCTGGGGTGCATGCAGGCCACAGTTCAAACAATGGTTGGGTTCATAGAACCATCATGATCTACCTAAGGATTGTCATCCAAATCGGGTCCCGGCCTTTGGTTTAGTCGGGGTTGAACCCCATGGATATAACTGGGGCGACTGGTTTTTGGCCCCCAACCATGCTTCCAACACTCGGTTGCTTTCTGCTCCCCTGCTAAAAGTGACTAACTTTTAGTGGTTTTTCATGGAACACCCATCAGTTGGCCAAAAGTTTTTGAGTCCTAACATCCCTTGGCAACATGCACCTCTGTTTCTGTGGATGAACAAACAACTCCTGAAAAGAAATCGACTCATTCCGTTGGTTTCCCAAGTTGCCAATTGCCCCTGGTACAATCGAAAAAGAAGATGATTCTCCTTGGGCTTGATTCCAATTGGAAGCGAAGCGACTAAAGAAGGGCAAGAAGGAGGTAGAGGGGACCCGGGCAGTCCTTTGCTTGTGCTGGTACCCCCGCCCCTTGTTCTGTCTTTAAAGGGAAACCAAAAAAACAACTACTTTGTTTGTTGTGGGGGGGTCCCCTCAAAAAGACACGCCCATTTTGAGGGGCTTGGCCACCAAAAAAGGGACTAGAGCGGCACTGAACAACTGCAAGTGGGATTTGTTTTGCCCTTCCTTCACCCCAGCTCTGACTGTTTGAGTTGCGGGTGTCCTTTGTGGCTTCCACAATCATATTTTGACTTGGAGGTTTTTTGTCCAAGAATCCCCCGTTTAAGTTTTCTCCAACAGTGGCCTGGCTTCCCTTTCATCACCAAGCAAGTTGCGACCCTTTTTGGTCTTTGCCTTTGAAGAGAGCTTTATCCTAACATATCCTAACCCGTCGAGACCTCGGTGTGCCACCTTGCTTAAACACGCTTTAGCCTACTATTGTTGATTTGTTTGGCTTTGCCAAGGGAACCGGGAGCTGGTTGTTCAAACCAGCTTTGCCCAACGCTGGTTGCCCACCCTCAAGCAACTACTCCCAAGGCAACACAAAGAGTCTATGGTAACGGCAAGAGGAAGCACTGGGTACGAGTCAAATCACTTCTTCCATCATTCTAGCAAAGCGACGCAACCCAGACCTGACGAGGTGAACAAAGGCAACTCGCTGGATTATCAGGAATACTGTACACGGGTACGGGTCATCACTTGTGGGCAGCATTCACCAAGAGCCAGAGACGCGCACATACCCACCTGGGAAAAAGTCTAAACATTTATGTTTGCCTCCGAACTGCTTCTCCCGAAAAACGTATCAAGTCCAGTCTCTCGGGAATGGTGCATCTGACCATGGGCGTGGACATTTTCAGGAGGGGACATTCCACAAATGGGCTTGTGTTTCGGGGGAAGAACTGAACCCTACCTTTCCTGGCTGTCCATGGGTATCTGGTTTGCACGAATCGTCCTCCTTTGGCGTTTTTTTCTCTTCCCCCCCCCCCCACAAAACCTCTGGTTTTCACGAATCTTCCTCCTTTGGCGTTTTTCTTTGTGTTTTGCTTTTTGGTTTTGCTTTGTGTTTTTTGGTTTTGCGTGTTTTCCCCGCAAAACCTGAGGCCGGGGCAGAATGGCGGCTTGTTCACAGACGTCTCGCTTCTCGTTCCAGCCCAGCAAGATGGAGGCTGTGAGCCTGAGACCAGAAGCTTCCAGCCCTGCTTAACGAATGATCTATACAGCCTCAGCCGTTTTTGTTTATCCTTCTTCTTTTTTCTTCTGTTTTTTCCTTTTGTTTTTTTTCTTCGGTTTTTCTTTTTTCTTCTGATTTTTTGATATATATATATATACATATACAAAATATGTATATTGTGGTTGTCTGGTGTTTCCCGGTGTTTCTGCTGGGTTTTGTGGACACCTGCTTAACTCTCGTTCTGGAAAAACCAGCGGCTCTTCCTGGAGTTTCTGGTGAGTGAGGAGCCTCGGAAAGACTGAAGCTACTAGATGTCTAGCTGGTAACATGAATAGAGTTGGGCCCAGCTATAGAATGTATATTTTACTGTTTGCTTCCGTTGCTTCACTTTGAGTCACTGGTAAAATGCAAAATGTATCCTAAGTCTACCCCAAGGTAAGGGGAGCAGGCTGAGTGCACATTGCAGACAAACCAGTGGCCAAAAACGGCACCTCGGGTGGAGACGGTCGGGATCGTCAGTTGGGAAACTGTAGCAGGCCTAGTGGATCCGTTTGGCTGCAAAGTACTAGTAGGTACCCAAACAGACCCATCCTTTCAAAACGAAAAGGACAATGGCTGGTGGCCTAATTACTTGGTAACTGGTCATTGGGATTTAAAGGGGAGGGGCTTTCCAATTCCTCGCGAAGAGGGGCTTCATATCCGAGGCGCAGGAAGATGGGGAAGCCGCAGATGGCGCAAAGGATGCCTCGCCGAGTCCGAAGTGGGGCGGAATCGGGTGTGCGTTTTGGTAAGACACAGAGGCATGTCCGTTTTCAGATCCAGAAGTCGAAAACTGGTGGGTGAAATGAACACCCCCACTAAACCAACTGAAAAGCCACCAAGATGGCAGTGTTGAAGGCAAAGCCCCAGAGTCCCTTGGTACCCTTCTACCCAAAAGCCATAAAGAGGTATCAAGGGACTCGGGAAAAGGAAACAGTTCTTGGGATCCGGAATTCAAACATGACCCAGGCATTAAGCCTTAAAGGCGTGGCACTTCTGGCCGAAATAGACCTAAGCTCGTAGGTTTTGTCTCCAGGGATTCTGAAAGGTGGCTTCCTGTTCCCCTTTAAAAGATAGAGGGTACCTGGACCGTCCAAATTCCAACGGGTAAAATGGGTGAGCTCCCTTTTTGGCTGGTTCTGAAACGGGTCCAGGTACGCTAAAACCAAAACACACTGACACTGGCGGCACAGGTGGGTATGCCCGGCCAGGTGGGCATCTACCGTGATACTGTGGACTCCTGGACGGTTGCGAAATCCACCGTTCAGAAACCCAACGGAATGATGCGCTTCCCTTGTAAATACCATGATTAGAGTTGGGCCCAGTTATAGAATGTATATTTTATTGCTTGCCTCACTTTGAGTCACTGGTAAAATGCAAAATGTATCCTAAGTCTACCCCAGATACCAACAAACCTTATGGTTTCAGAAACCGTGCGAGAAGCGAAATGGATTTCGCAAGTCCCTCCGCAAGAGGTTGTCCAGGTCACTGGACTTCCCCCTCCAAAGCTGCAATTTGCGTCCAAAACAACCACCACTTTTGGAGGTTCCCTTTAAAGGGAAAGGGCTCGGAAACCCATGGAGAACCATGGAGACGCCAACTAACCCCACCGGTCTGACATTCACATCCAACAGATGACAACATCATCCCACGCGATCCATGTAGGCAATATGTACCTGCCATGGACCCTCAAACAACCCATCAAACAGGGAATTCTCCGATGTCATGTACGTACAGGGGACTAGTAGCCCTCTCCAAAGCGACGCAGGGAATTCACTGAGTAATTTTCCCATTTTCAAATGACATTTGAGGCTTCAGGTACCAACATTTGACCCATGTGGAGGGTAGATGTGGGTACATCTTGTATGCATGGAGTCTTTGGGAATCATGCAAAAGAGTCTAAAGCTGCCTATTGGGGACTATCCCTGTTTTCCAGTGCCCAGAAAAGAGAAGATGGGTTGACAATCATGGAAAATCAGGGGTCGAAATCCGTGGCTCAAAAAAAGTCTGAACTCTTTGTTTACATACTAAAACTTAAAATGGTCCAAACCCAAAAGTTTAAAATGCAGAAAATCAGGGAGTGAGCCCACCCAGAGGCTCCTGGGACCTTCAATGGAAGACCCGACCCCTCTAGACGCCCCGCTAATCGGTGTTTGGGGGTCTCAAAACTTGGCCGTTTGAAGTCCCTAAATTGGTTGAATTGCAGCGTCTCTTTGTACCAAAATTCTCATGGCTGTGACCATATAGGTGACCTTCTAGAAAAATCGATGGGTTCCCCTGGTAAATGGGGCATAAAACCCATCTAAACCAGTGGAACCCATCCATGTTTAACCAAAGTACCTGGAGTCTCCATGACCCTTCGAAAATGGGTCCATGACCCCATTTTGTCATGGACACTCCAGGTAAACCAGTGGAGCCCATCCATTCTTAACCAAAGTAACCTTAAAAGTGCAAATCCAAAAGTTTAACATCCAGAAACTCGGGGAGTGAGCTTGCCCTAATTTTCAATGTGGCTGTGCTCTCTCGTCCCCGAACACGGCTCGTTTCGAGCTGCTCTTCGCCATGCGCTCGCAGCCGCTCTCATGCTCTTGATCCTGCCAACTTGGGCCCAATCCGAACCCAGATATGCAGATATGGCTGTGGCTCAAGAAACCGGTACCAAAATGGAACCCTGCTAAATGGAGACAAGGACTAAAACCTGCGGTCCCCCGGTGGTTTAATTTGACCCATACCCATATGTGGGTCTGTCTCCTTTTTGGGGGGTACCTGGAGTCTCCTTCTGACCCTTGCAAAATGGGGGCATTACCCAAGAGACCCACTTCTAAAGGGTCATGGAGACTCCAGGTACCTCTTTTTGCGGCTTTAAAGGGAAGCCAACACCGAAGCCATTTTATGGGTCCAACCTTAAAACAGGCAAGCCAGCCATGTGTCACAGAGACGCATCCTATGATTTTCCGAGCGACGCGCAGACCAACCCCGCCCAAGAACCAACAAGGCTGGGCTTTACATTAGTCCCTCCAAGCGAATTCACATGTGGATCCAGTTTGAACAACCCAAAACCGTCGCGGTTTTCGAAACTCCCGCCGTCTGTCCACACAACATCACCCCAGAAGAGGGCCGCTCCAAAATCCTAGGCAGAAACTGGTGCCTGAACCCTCAAACTACCCATACAAAGGAAATTCACCCCATAATGTTTGGGGCAATAACCAAATTTGAAGGGACGTTTGAGGGTCCATTGGTCCAGGCAGACATTTGGTCCCTAAGATCCAAGGCAATTCTTAGCTTCTACCCTTCTGGGTTGGTCTCTCGGCTACAGAGCATGCACGAACAGCCGAACAACGCCCGCGTGGCCCCCCCAAAAACCCCTCGTGCCGAAACATACTGTGGAGGCGAATCCATGAAGCACCACCCCAGAAAATACCAACGAACGTTGTGGTTTCAACCATGGCTTCTTGGGTGGTGCAGGATTTCGTCCATCCAACAGTACTTCAGTACTTCCCAAAGACGCCAACACGCAATGAAGGGGACATATTTCGGAAGGCGATTTCCTTCGCGACAATCCGACATAAAAAAAAATGGTTGGTGACCTACTATAAGGGCTTGCATAGGATCTGGGTAGTCTTTGGCTTGAGATTCATTTGCATTTTGGCCTTACCCATCTTCCCGTCTAGGCTTCCGTTCTCCCTGGTCTTGTCCCCGGCTGAGTCCAGATACGTTTTGGCTCCAACCGCAGCGCGTTCCCGTCTCCCAATCGCTTCTAAACGGGGTGTGCACCCCAAATGCCTTTTGTTGAGCCCTCAGAAACGTCGATGGCTGCCGGGGTTTGCCTAAATCCATTCTCTGAGAAAACCTCGAAAGTTTGGGACGCATGACCATTAAAACCTAAAGTTGATCAACATGTGGGCTAAAACGGGCGTTGCAAGCAAGTTTCGAACATGTACGTTCTGACGCGAAGTCCGCTGGAAACAGAATCAAACAAAGAACTGATGGAGTTTTCAACCCGAGACCTCAAATTGGAATGCATCCGAGATCAAATTTGAGCTCCAGGCGTCGGCATGTTTTTTACATGTCGTTACAACCAGCAAGGCAACGAACTGACATGAGTGAACCTTCTTGTTCCATGGCGATGGTAGAGATACTGCGGATGGACGAAATCCGTGTCGCACCAGTTGGGATGCATGAAGCGCTAGCTTTGATAAACTACCTGCCAACTCGTGCAGGATATTGTCCACCGTACCGGTCTGAGACGGGCATCTGACCTGATCGAAGTATACTCAGAGGGTCAGGACTGAAGGCTTCCGCTCCCCCAAACCTCCAACGCCGGTTCCATGATCCACTTTCCAAGTGTCACTCTCCCGCTCGGACGGGAACGCAAATAGGTGTTCAGACTCTGGCCCATGATTCCCTTGAACAAAAATGGCTATTGCCCCAAAACTGTGGGGTGAATTCCTTTTTTTACGGGCAGTTCAAGGGTCCAGACAATCCGTTTTGTAGACCCCAGATTTCAGCAAGTTAAATGTCACACCAACGAGCCGAGACTTCCCCAAACGCATCACACTAAAGGAGACTCAATGGACAATTGGCGCAAAAGGTGATGTCAACAAAAACCCAACGGGGAATGTAGGGAACCGAAACAATCTTCACATTTCGTGGCGTGGTTTGAAAAGAAAGCAGGGATCAAAAGTCCTTCCTGTGGCAATAAAACAAACACATTGTAGTAGATTTGTGTTTCAAAGGTTCCCTGTGCCTGCATGGGGTTGTCATTGCGTGAGTGTGTGTGTGTGTGTGTGTCTCTGTCTCTCTGTCTCTCTGTCTCTCTGTGTCTCTGTGTCTCTATCTCTCGCTCATTGACGAGCGAAACACCTCTGTCAGTCCTGTCTTGAGAAGAAGTCAAACATGGGCGACGTGGATCGCTCGGATGCTTTCCGAGTGTTGGAACGGCTGGAGCCAATGCTGCGGCGGTGTTTTGGAAGCCTCGTAAGCCCACGAGTTTTGGGGCCTGCAAATAGCAGCCTGGACCCTCAAAATTCCTTTAACCCAAAAACTATGAGTGAATTCCATTCTTTTTACGGTAGTTCGCAACAAAAACATCATCCACGTAACATTTTTTCTGGGAGCCTTAGGGGGTTGCCTTTGAAACCCACAGGAGGTCATCTTGGCAAATAAATGCCCTGAGCGCACTACACCCAAACCCGCTATCCAACAGGAAATTGGACAAATACCGCCTTTCTTTGTAGTGGCTATGCGGATATGCAATGGTTCCATACCTTGGGGTAGTGGTTTGGGGGGGGGGGCAGTGAACACTGACAAATGTCTCGGCTATTGAACTGGCACGTCGGGCTCAAATACCGGTTAAACACGCAGGGCAGACTTCTTGGCCCTCTTTCTGACAATCATGAGTGGACAGACATTCTCCTGAAAAGGCCCCTCCACCCACTTCCATGCTTCGCGGAGAAAGAATCAAGTCTCAAGCCCCCCTTTGGTTTGGCAACAATGGAATATCTCTAAGTCTTAGCCCTATTCCACCCCAATAAATGTCCTTGATGTGGTGTATTTTGGGGATCCCTCACCTTGACAAGGATTCTCTTGGCCAGCGGCAACCTGAACCCCCACTCTCGGCAAGCATTCAAGAGGACACGCGCAAAAGTGTAGCCCATAAATCACGAGGCCGTGGGTCACGAATGGCTCGGAGCAACCCTGACACCAGTTGCTCAATGGCTAGCTGTTGTGACTCCCAATGGGGTTGCCCTCAAATGGACCCCATCCTAAACTAAGCCTTAAACATAGTTTTGGGGTTTTGCTTTTGCGCCCGGTGTAGCCTTCTCCCAAACAAGACCTTGACACCACCCACGAGCTCCTCAAAGGCTGGCGTAGGCGAGGATGGCCGCGGTCACCGCGAGAATGCTGCAGCCTCAGCAACTTCTCATGTTCGCCAACTCGGTTGCTTTCTGCTCCTCTGCTAAAAGTTTGACTTTTAGTGGTTTAATGGAAAACCCGTTAGTTGGCAAAAAAGTTAAAGTCCTAACATGCCTTGGCAAAATGCACCAAAGCCAAGTTTCCTGCACCCAGTTGCCCAGCGATGGCAATACTTGCTGGTGCTCAGGGAATGACTCAGTTGGGAATCAACCGGAAGGGAGTTCACTTAAAGGAAAAACATAGAGGATGGTTTATCTCATTCCCTGCCTATCGAACCAGCAAGACGAAGGAACGGCCTTAAATGGCGAGTGGCCAAAAACACTCGCAGGGACAAAGGGTGGCTCTGAAGAACTAGGACTCAGATCCAGTCCATTCATTCAGCCTGCCTGCGCTACAGAAATGGCTGTGGCTCAAAAAACCGGAATTCCAAAATGGAACCCCTGGTAAGTGGAAACATGGACCAAAACCTGCGTAACCCCTCCTATTTAATTTTGAGCCACACCCAAATGACCAAGCATCCAAACAAAGCAACGCGCGCCACGGTGCTTTATGGTTGAAAGTAGCAGGTGCGATCGCTAGATTGATCGGGGACCTCACGGGGTCTCCCAAAGACTCTGAAAGACAGGTGCCCATTTTCCAAGAAATATGGTTAAGTCGCAAACATGGGGTACCTCAAAAAGACACCACTCCTAGCCGCCCAAGTAAAGCCGATAAAACATGGACTACCCAAACCCGAGATCCAGCAACCTGCAAAATCGATGCGAAATGGATCGAGAACCCAGCATATTCCTTCTGTGATCCTTGCAACAAACAGAGGCGTTTGAGGGGTTGAGCATTTTAAGTGAGGAACAAATTCAAAGGGAAGAAGGGTGGCACCGAACAACTTTCACCATCGCTCTTGTCAAGCATCAGCTGTTTCCCACTATCCGTTTCCTGGTTCGAAAAGGAGGATCCCTGAAAAAGGAATGCAAACCAAACAACACATCATCATATTACAATGATATGAAGACAATATAAAGGAACAAGTCAGGGCCCGTATGGGTGCTTTCCGGAGAAAAATATGGGGACGCCACCTTGACAAGCTCTGCTTTACACCTCGCTTGGCTCACAGGCTGAAAACATGTTTTCCCTATTTTTCGGGGGGTGCACTTTGAGTGGGTGTCCTGCGTCTTTTGGATTGTTCTCCAAAACCAGCCAGGGGAGCCGTAAACCCTCCCCCCCTCCCCCGCAAGTTTTTATTCGCCCTGCTTTTCTCGATGTGGACCTAGTTCCGAAGCCATACCACCGTCCCTCTGCGCGAATCGGTCACATTTGAAGGCCTGTTGCGGGTGGGCCAAGTTTGTTATACCTCACCCAGCGGTTGCCAATTGACGGAGCCATCGTTGGGCGCCTTCTGGATTCCACATCTAAGCTGGCCCTCCAATCACTCAGAAAGGATGAGCTTGTATCTCAGATGCGATCGAAACATCCACCTCAAAGTGTTTGCTGCGAATTGTCAAGGGTCCCGAGGTTGACGAATACAAGCCAAAGCACAAAACAAAACAGAAACGCCTAAAGTCAAGCCAACCCAATCCAACCCACACAAACCGAACCAAATCAAACCAGCAGCACACCAACCATGCGAGCGACAAACACAACAACCCAACCAACAAACCAACCCCACCCACCCACCCACCCACCCACCCAGCCAGCCAGCCAGCCAGCCAGCCAGCCAGCCAGCCAGCCAGCCAGCCAGCCAGCCAGCCAGCCAGCCAGCCAGCCAGCCAGCCAGCCAGCCAGCCAGCCAGCCAGCCAGCCAGCCAGCCAGCCAGCCAGCCACACCACCAAGCAAGCCAAAGCCACCAAACAAAGAAAGAAAGAAACAAAATAAACACAGGAAAAACAAACAAGGCAACAAACAAGCGAACGAGCAAAGCAACGAACAAACGACAGAAATAATAAAGAAATCAATAAAGAAATAAATAAAGAAATCAAACAATAATAAAGAACAAATAAATACATAAATAACGACATAGTGAAAGACATCAAGACAGAAATATATCAACCAATGAAATAAACGAAGAATGAAATAAATAAAGAACCAAAGAAACACGGAAACACATAAACAACGAAATAAACAAATAAACAAACAAACAAACAAACAAACAAACAGACAGACAGACAGACAGACAAACAAACAGACAAACAAACAAACAAGCAGACAGGAAAAACTAAAGAAACAAAACACAAAGAACAAAAACAACAAAATAAATAAATAAATTATACATATATGTATATACAAATAAATAACTAATGAAACAAAAATAAAGACAGACATAAATAAAGAGAGAAATCCAGAAATAAAGAAATCAATCAAGAAATAAAGAAAGAAAACAAGAAACAAACAAACACAAAAGCAAACACTCTCACACCCACACAGAGCAGGAGGCCCAGGTTTGTGACTCGGAAGGCGGCCAACCGTGCTGCTTTAACAGGGATCCTTACATTATACACCTGAACATTGCCTTGTAAATGGTGGTTTCCCTTTATTTTGGTGGAAAAAGCCATGTTTAAAATGGGCAAAATGTATCTTTTAAGGAGCCCTGTTTAAGTCATTCGTTTTTACTCCCCCGCGCCGGCCCCCATGCCTCTCGCTCGCTGTCCCAGCGGCCGAAATGGCAGAGCTTGCAGAAGAGGAAGAACCTCGCGACGGGCCAACAAAGCTAGGTCCTCCATTAAAACGAGGGTTTGAAAAGAGGGTGGTCCTGGTCCAGAACTACCCTTAACACAGTTGGAACTCTCACCCATTCCATAAGTTTGGGTTGCAATGACCCATTTTCAAATGTTTAGGGTTTAAGGGCAATGGCCCAATTGTTTTTAAGGGTTAATATTGGAAGTTGCAGGGTGTACCCTGCGGTTCAGCTACCACCATTAAAAACAACGGTTGGTTCATATTTCACCACCACCATTTACCAAGGATTGTCATCCTCAAAAAGAGTTTGGGTCAAGGCCATACTTCTAATGGGGGCGAATCAGAACCTTAGCTAGGTCCTCCAGTAGAGAGCTTAGAATAAGGATACCGGAGTTTTTTCTGTAGTCTATTTTAGTAGGAAAAAACCCTCCCCCCTAAAAAAATGGTAAACGGGCAGTATTGGGGGACCTAGAAAGGCCCCGGGTTGCCATCTGCCCCCTCTGGAGTCCGGCCCTCTGCCCAAGAGAGTTCCGGATGGGAGTCTGGGAGTCAACACTTCGGGGATCCATCAGACATCCTGCTGGGAGTTGAGTCCTTTCCCGGTTTTGCCCAAGGTCGGCCTGGTGCTCCACTCAATGGACGCAGAAAGACACGGGCTCACGGGTCAACCACAAAGGCCTTTGCACAGCTTTCCAGAGTGGCAACCTGTGCCTGACCCCATCGGGGCCACCAAATGGTTGACCCCCAGGACCCCAACAGTTCAGTTGCCTTTCGCACTGCGGCAACTGCTTTGCCCTGGCTTGCTTGCTTCAGCAGGGCATGGACCGAGACCAGTTTTTGGGAATGATCACCAGAAGGGGGATTTCCTTAAAGGAAATCCATAGTTTTTCTCGGTCCTCCCAACTCATTCCCTGCCTATCGGTCTTGTGTCCCTTTGGGTGCCTAAGCCTCAAGGCACCGAGGGCTTATTTGTAAGGCGCCTCGTGGATGCCGCTTCCTGGCTGACTCAAAACAAATCAAAGTGCCTTGCTTTGGACACAACGCTTTTCTCAAAGGATGAAGTCAAGAAACCAGGAATATATGTGCTACCCTGGCAGAAAGGTGCAAAAATGGTGGGGAAAAGGAGAAACACACATTAAGCAGTTCTAGAACAAACAAGTTATAAAGTGGATGAAACATTTTGTGGCTTTACTTTTCTACATACAATTCATATACCTCCGTGAAAATTCCCTCAAACATGAATTGAGGCTGCAATTGCCTCAACATGATGGTGTAAGATCCCATTTTTATGGGTAGTTTGAGGGTCCAGGTCGTGGCTGGTTTGGTGGTTGCATATTCCACTAAACTGGTTGCGTTGAAGAAATCTCTGGCGTCTGGGCTCACCGACTGATATCCGTGGCTGCGTTGCTGGTGCAGCTGGGAGACCTACGGACCCGAAAGAATCACCCATGAAAACAGATGGAACTCACCGATTCCATACTTTTGGGTTCCAATCATTCCCCATTTGAAGTTGGGAGATCACACTTGTCCTCTTGAAGCACCTGTCTTAAAGCAAGCTCAGTCTACTCAGTTGCCCCTCAACTGAAGAAAAAGAAGTAATCACCTTCCGGGGCCACAAAAACTGGACCAACTTGGGGAAACTAGAAGGTCGAAAGGTCGATTCGCTTTGGGCAAGTGAGTCAAACATGGTGTTGCTGGAATAACCAAAAAGGGAAAACCAGGAAATCACAAGAGCACCTGTGCACTCCGCCGTCTGACGGCAATTACATTGAGTGCCGTTTAAAGTACCATTGGACCATGATACCTCTCCATCCAATCTGGTATCGACCGTTGCTCGTGTGAGTCGCAAGGAAGACCTGGTACGGGGTCTGCCGAGATCTGGGCCTATGGCTGACACCATCCCTTGCCAACCTTCACCGGTCTTGACTGTGAGGGCATCTTAAGCGAGGTTTGATCAACATATTATTCCTGGGTCGGTCGTCCATTTAGGAGGAGCATGAGCATGGAGGACTCGCAAACCTCGTGACAAAAGCTTGGCGCTTCAGCTGAAAAAGGCTTGCGGAACGAGTTGGGTGGTTTTATGGGGGGCGGCTGAATCTGAGAAAAAGACCAACTCCTTTTGGGCTCCTCGTTGGCAAACAGTGGAAACCAAGACTCCTTGCAACTCGAGTTCTCGTTGGAAGCTCAAAGAAGCTGGTCCAACCGCAGATGTCTTCGGATTTGGTCAACCTTACAATCTGGCATATCGGTCCAAGAACTCCCCCTTTTTGTCAGACTCCCTGGAGACAAGGGAAAAAAGGGCAAGCTTTTGGGTGGTTGATTTATCGCCCATACCTCAACTGGGAGGGGGGTGGGAGACCCTCAACTCCATTCTCTAGTCTTCCCCATAAAAGGGACAATGGGTTTTGGTGGAGATTTTCAGGGGTCCGCCAATTCCAGTGTTCAGCCAATTTTTCAGGGAGTTTCGAGGGTCCGGGTACATCAAAACACAGAGTTGTTTAGCATTGATCTAAGTGTAACCACCCTTGCTTTTTTCAGGTTGAACAGGTTGAGCAGTCGTTGCCCCGAAAACGCCGAGCAAAAAACATGAAAACGATTCACCAAAGAAACAGGTCCCACTTTAGGATCCCCCCACCCCACGACTCGACGCTGAGAGCCCGACTGGATCCTCCACCCATTCGAAGAAGAGAGGATGAGCAGACCTCTCATTTCACAAAGCCCAGGGCTATCTCCAAAATGAAAAGCTGCTAACATGGAATATTGCTGTGGCTCAAAAAACCGGAATTCCAAAATGGAACCCTGGTAAGTGGAAACGTGGACCAAAACCTGCGCTTTGCCCCTCCTGTTTAATTTTGAGCCACACCCACATGGAATATCTCTGGAGGAATCGTTTCAAATGGCCGCCTTCGCTTTACAGGGGCTTGCACCTTGTAGGCGTTGTTTCTTTTTATGGGTCGCATCCGTTTTGCTGGATTTAGCCCCTATTCCACCCGAATACATGTCCTTGAGGCGGAGTATTGTGGGGACCCCTCATAGACAGCGGTGTAAACGTGCGTTGGCGTTCTTGCGTTCCGCGACAACGACAAGGGCTCACCACACTTCTCACCACGCTGCTCAACGACAGGTGAGTCATAGCCAAACACCCCCAAAAATACCTTGTCTTTTTTAAGCACACACACACAAAAAAGCACCAGAGAGGTGGGAAAGTCCACTCCCATCTGCGCGCCCAAATACCACGTTTAGTGCCACTCCCTGGTATGCGTGTAGCCAGAGAACACCCCGGAGCTGTGCGATGAGTGTTTCTCAAACTTCAAGGCGACTCCTTGGGGTTGGACAATCAGCAGGAAGCCAAAGAAATAGGACACTGCCGCCACTTGAGAGGACCGATTCTTGTGGATGGTGGCGAAATCCGTTCGTAGCACCGCACTCAGTGAGACACCCAACGCCAACGGAATGATATACGATTCTCCCAATATGGCTTCATTCCCATGGTTTCTGAACGGTGGTACAAAATGGACTTTGCAACCATTCACTGTATTTTGAGAATCCCCGCCAAAGCCTGTGGCCCTTACAGCTTCACAGTGTTGATGGCTTTGCAAGTGAAGGCATTGCAAAAATGACTGGCTCTCTTCGAGTGAACATACGATGGATGGACGAAATCCATTTCGCCCCACCTAAGAAACCATGGGAAACCATTGCTTGTTGGTACTTAAGGGGGTGCAGGATTTCGTCCGTCAACAGCTTGCCAAATTACTGGTGAGCTTCCCAGTAACCCACATAATTAGAAGGTAAACTTTGAGGACTGATATCTATTGCCCCCGTGCCGAACGTTCGCATTTTGCAGGTGGGTGGGAACAATATCACTACGCAACATGCTTGGTTTCCCTCTGCTTTCCCCCGCGGGTACCAGACCCCCAGTGGCCTTAAAGCTGGAAACAGAAAGCAACAGCCTTTGGGCTTCTCCGCAGTCCTTCCATTTGCGAATACGCCCCTGGAAAAGAATGAGACAAGCTTTCAAGCGATAGAATCCAGCAAAAAACAACAGCAGGGGAACACAAAAAGGTTGCTTGCTTGCTTTTCAGGGGACTGGTAAAAAGAAGACCCAATCCAGCGGGATTGACAAGACCTTAAATAGTATGGGAACCTATTTTTGACCATGTTGACCACATCCCGCAACTAGACCCATAGTTTGGTGCTTTCCCTTTGCCAGACCAACCCATTTTGGGGTCACACCCATGATGTGCCCCCAAACAAAAGCAAAAGAGACGTGGTTATCCTTGTGGTTTCCCATTAAAACCACCAACAACATGGGTACCCTCAAAAAAGACCACAAAAAAACATATTAGGTACCTGTTTTTGACACATCTTCTCGCGCAACTAGACCCAAACTGTGGTTCTTGCCCTCAAACGAAAAAAAAAAAAAAAGGGGAAAACAAAAAAACGAGAAAACAACAAATAAACAAAAAGGGAAAACGAGACAATAAACAAAAAAAAGCACGCGCCCAAACGAACCCCCCCACTCCGCTCCAACCCCAACCGCGGCGACGCGACTCGAAGGCGCCCGCCTGATGCCATAGGCCGCCTCCGCCGCCTGCACGGCCAGCTTGAGGTGCGGCCGGGCGCTCGCGCCTGGGACGGCCAACTGGCCTATGGCTCGGTCCTCAGTCCTCCTCAAAATGGGCGCCTGGACCCAGAAAAAAAACAGCAAAAACGGACCCATCAAAAACACAATGGATGATATGGAATATAAATAATGAATAGATGAATTGGAATTTACTTAACAAACAGCAAAAACAGCCGGTTTTCGAACATAATGATGGTGGACCCCATGGTGGTGGCACTTGGGTCTCTGTTTGGACCCTTCAGGCATTTGGGTCGGTCAGTTTTTGGGCCCCTCGAAAAGGACCCTAAACCCTTGGCGAACAAAACATCCGGGATCCCCCATTGGTGAAGGAAAACCCCATCCAAAACCCAAAGAAAACCAGCTGGGTCGTCGAAAGCAATGGAGGGTGGACCGGTATCTGGACCCAAAAGAAATTACAGCTGAAACATGGCTTCCTCAAAATGGGAGGTTTCCTCCTAATCTCCCTTCAACCAAAAAACTCCAAAAGGACCACGCCATGGCTTGGCTCAACCACAAAAACTCAAAAAGGGGTATCCTCGCTTGCAAAAAATACGCAACCTCTTAATTAGGAAGCGGGTGACATCCCCAAGTCCCCAGAGTGCGGACAATCGCTATGGGCAGGAAAGAGCGATGGTTGTCCATGGAACACACCTCAAGCATTTAGATCTTCAAGACCCAAGTTGCCACATGCTTCTACCCTAAATTATACCGGCACCCTCAAACTATCCATAAACGAGGGATTTGACCCCATAGTTTTGCGGCAAAAACAAACCTTTAAGCGCATGTTGAGGGTCCAGTAACCCTCAACATACTCTACGAAGGAAAATGGTCCTGTTGCGGCGCCGGTGCTTCCGGATGTTCCTTCCGAAAGGCTCCATGGCAACGGAAACCACCCAGCATACCTGGAGTCTCCATGACCCTCTGAAAAATGAAGGGGTTCTGACCCGCTTTTTTGGGGGGGTCATGGAGACATATGGAGACTCCAGCATAGATCCACCAAATCCCCATGAAAACAGGCTTCCAGCCGATCCCATGAGGCATCCACAGCCTTTTTTGCTCGCTTACCATGGCTCGCGTCATGTTGACGGAAGATTCAACTTGGCTCCGGCCACGCCCGGTGAAGGAACCCAAACCCAGGAGAAGAACACGACATATTTAGCGGTATGTCCTTAAGCCAGCTGGACATGTGTTGTTCCCTTTTTTTTTCACACCAGTCTAACACTCATTTGAAGCTTTCGTTGCAACAGGCTGCAAGACTCGATGGTTTCGGGCTCCCCTGGTCTGTTGGTCTTTGCCCACTGCTGGCGACCAGTTTGGCAGAACATGTGCGCGTGGGCTCGCGGACTTGCTCATGATCGGCCGCCCGTGGTGAAGGTGTGAAGGTCGCCCTGGTGGTAGTAGCCTTGGGCTTGCAACATGGCTGTTACCTACACAGGGGTTACGTGCTACACTGGTTGAAGGCTTCTTGTCATGTGATATTGTCTCTGTTTGAGGGCACTTGCGCAGTTTTAGGTTGCTTTGAACGAATCGGAACACCAAAAGGAAAGTCACATTTTCGGAGACAAACCCATACAGCTGTGGAAGATAACCCTGCAGGGTTGCGTTCAATGCCATCTGATATCACAGTGATTCCAGGACTGTTTCCAACACGGATGTGGACAATCCCAGTTTTCTTCCAAATACTCAACTTTGACAAAGTGCTGGAAGAGTTGCCAATTTCACCAGAAAGCTCTGCTGCTAGCATGTGAAAACAATGGGGCCGAAGCTCTGCTGCTAGCATGTGAAAACAATGGGGCCGCTACTGACGTGACCTTGTTTAATCAGGAATGCGCTGGGTCCATAAAGTAACATTCCATACGGGTGTGCCTCCGTTCTCCAAAAATGTGGCTTGCCATTTATTGGGCTTTCCTTTAAACTTAAACCAAAAAAAGGGGTGCCAACTCTGAACAAAGACATACTTCCCACCAAATGGTGTAGCTTTCGGAACCCCTTGGTTGTAAACAAAAAATGCAACATGGCCACAAAGACGCATTTTTCTCAATGCCAACCACAGGAGAACAGCCTTTATGCCAATGGTTACATAGTGGTTTAACAAAACCGCAATGCAATTCTGGCCTGGTTGTTTGGCTGTTCAATCCAAGCCGGGTAAGTATAGGTTAAAACCATAAGTGAGACAACCTCAGTTGGATGATATGTGGGTATGTGCTGTTTTAGGAACCAACGGTTCAACAAAAAGAAGCACGCACTTCTGGCACTCTCCCAGTGCTTTCTGTTAGTAGGGAGGGTACCTGACGTGGGCAAGGAAGATCTCTACGTGGAATTAGGCCAACATGGCGGTGTCCTTTTGGTGTTCGATTGAAACCGGGCCAACAGGGGTACCACCCAACATGATTAGAGTTGGGCCCAGTTGTAGAATGTACATTTCATTGTTTGCTTCACTTTGAGTCACTGCTAAACTACGTAAAATGTATCCGAAGTCCACCCCAGCCAAGTGGTTTCGGGATTCCTTGAACCTCCCGCACATCTCCGGGGCTCCCGACCGTCCACCTCCCAGCCCAGCACATCCGCGGAGGACAAGACCCGGTGCTTGGAGGAGTAGACACGCAGCACCTACACTCGCCAAAGCAAAAGCAAATGCCTTGTCAGCTTCTGTTGGAGTTGGGTACCCCCCTTTTTGGTGAGCAAAATGGATGGCTCGTCTTCTTTTCTTGGAGTTGGTACCCCTTTTTTGGGAGGCTCTAAAGGGAAACCAAAAGGAAATCGTTGCACCTTGGTTTTGTGGGGGCGGGGGGCAACCTTAAAAAAGACACGCCCAGCTGATCAACTCTCAAGCAACCAGAACCTATTAATTTGAATAGGGAACCCCCTCCAGCAGGTCCATTTCGAGATTTCAGTTCCCTACCTGGCTTGTGGGAACCTCCCATCTCCGTCGTGTAGCAAAATCTATACCGGGACCCTCCAAATTCCAACTTCAAAAAAAAGAGGTTTGTGCCAGAGAAAAAATCGCTGCGAAGTAGTTGCCTTTGCTTCCGTCTGGAAAATCCCGGTGCTCCGATTCCTTTGGTGATCCGTCCCACACCCTCGTCGAGTCGTCGAGACGAGATCCCCCGCCTCTGGGCTCAAAGAGCCCAGCTGGACGATGGCGTTGCCTCGCGCGGAGCCGAAGCAACGACGCACCATCGAGCGGCTGGAGCTGAGGCCTCCAGCTACTGGACCTGAGGTGCCCTTTCGGCAGAAGTTGTGGCATTCACCCTGGCCTCACCCAAAGGTGCCTTAAAAAGAAAAAAAAACGAACTCCGAGCCGAAACCTCACACCCGGCTGTATCAACTCAACTCACCCAACCCAAACTCCATTTGAACCCACGCTAGCCATAGTCTTGGGGCACAAACCCATGTACCACCCATCAGGGCTGTGGGGAATGACCACTTCTGTGATACAACAGAAACACCCTGGCCTCACCCAAACGTCCGTTAAAAACCCGAACTCCGAGCCGAATTCTCACACCCGGCTGTATCAACTCAACTCACCCAATCCAAACTCCATTTGAACCCACGCTAGCCATAGTCTTGGGGCACAAACCCATGTACCACCCATCAGGGCTGTGGGGAATGACCACTTCTGTGATACAACAGAAACACCCTGGCCTCACCCAAACGTGCCTTTAAAAAAACCCGAACTCCGAGCCGAAACCTCACACCCGGCTGTATCAACTCAACTCACCCAACCCAAACTCCATTTGAACCCACGCTAGCCATAGTCTTGGGGCACAAACCCATGTACCACCCATCAGGGCTGTGGGGAATGACCACTTCTGTGATACAACAGAAACACCCTGGCCTCACCCAAACGTGCCTTTAAAAAAACCCGAACTCCGAGCCGAAACCTCACACCCGGCTGTATCAACTCAACTCACCCAACCCAAACTCCATTTGAACCCACGCTAGCCATAGTCTTGGGGCACAAACCCATGTACCACCCATCAGGGCTGTGGGGAATGACCACTTCTGTGATACAACAGAAACACCCTGGCCTCACCCAAACGTGCCTTTAAAAACCCGAACTCCGAGCCGAAACCTCACACCCGGCTGTATCAACTCAACTCACCCAACCCAAACTCCATTTGAACCCACGCTAGCCATAGTCTTGGGGCACAAACCCATGTACCACCCATCAGGGCTGTGGGGAATGACCACTTCTGTGATACAACAGAAACACCCTGGCCTCACCCAAACGTGCCTTTAAAAAAACCCGAACTCCGAGCCGAAACCTCACACCCGGCTGTATCAACTCAACTCACCCAACCCAAACTCCATTTGAACCCACGCTAGCCATAGTCTTGGGGCACAAACCCATGTACCACCCATCAGGGCTGTGGGGAATGACCACTTCTGTGATACAACAGAAACACCCTGGCCTCACCCAAACGTGCCTAAAAACCCGAACTCCGAGCCGAAACCTCACACCCGGCTGTATCAACTCAACTCACCCAACCCAAACTCCATTTGAACCCACGCTAGCCATAGTCTTGGGGCACAAACCCATGTACCACCCATCAGGGCTGTGGGGAATGACCACTTCTGTGATACAACAGAAACACCCTGGCCTCACCCAAACGTCCGTTAAAAACCCGAACTCCGAGCCGAATTCTCACACCCGGCTGTATCAACTCAACTCACCCAATCCAAACTCCATTTGAACCCACGCTAGCCATAGTCTTGGGGCACAAACCCATGTACCACCCATCAGGGCTGTGGGGAATGACCACTTCTGTGATACAACAGAAACACCCTGGCCTCACCCAAACGTCCGTTAAAAACCCGAACTCCGAGCCGAATTCTCACACCCGGCTGTATCAACTCAACTCACCCAATCCAAACTCCATTTGAACCCACGCTAGCCATAGTCTTGGGGCACAAACCCATGTACCACCCATCAGGGCTGTGGGGAATGACCACTTCTGTGATACAACAGAAACACCCTGGCCTCACCCAAACGTGCCTTTAAAAACCCGAACTCCGAGCCGAAACCTCACACCTGGCTGTATCAACTCAACTCACCCAACCCAAACTCCATTTGAACCCACGCTAGCCATAGTCTTGGGGCACAAACCCATGTTTAAGGCGGAGTTTTGAGGGCAAGCTCCCCTTTAGGCAAAAGATCTTGCATTCGGACTTCATAGCCTGTTATGTGTCTCAGGCGGAGGACACAGCGGCCCTTAAGTGCAGCCCGGTCTTGATGTCCAAGACCACCCATAGTTTTGGGGCACGAACCCATGCTTTTTGTGGGAGTTTTGAGGGTCCAGGTACCTAGTTGGAGGGAGGCAGATGCGAGGAAAATATAGAACAAGGGACAGGAAATGGGGCACAAGGAGCCTTTTGAACTCAAGGGACTCACAACATATGTGAAATTGCAGCAGTAAGATCGCCATGTTCGTGGCTATATTATAGTGACACAAAACTCATTGCACCATGGGACATCAGCAAGTCATGAACCCCAGCACCTCATTTCTTGCCCTCTCTCTCCCTTCGCAGGTTTGCTCAAGGCGTGCTACCGACTCAACTTTGCCGACTCCTCAGCATGGCGATGCAAACTTCTGGGCAAAACCGGAAAAACTAAACGACTCAAGGACTGTTTTTTTCTTCTTCTGATGACATCCCCAAGGAGTATGCAAACACAGCGGGCATTACTGCTTGTGCCAGGCTTACACACGGACTCCCAAATAATTACTCTCTATACTTGTTCCTTTTGGCTTCCCTGTGAAACAACCCAAAACAAAGGGTGCAGCGCCTCTCAAACACACTTTATGGTCAAGGATTCTCAGGGCTTGATCGTGATCCCGTTCAACAAGGGTAAGAACCGAACCACCTAAAACGGCCCTGTTGATCAAAACCTGGCATCAAAATCGTCTACCCAGAATCTAAAGACATCAGAAGGCAGCGAAGACACCCATTCTTGTGGCTGGGACTATCACTATCCCTTCCTAACTCATCTTACCCGGGTTTTGACTTTGACTCAAACAGCTGTGGGTCAGAGAGTCAAACATGGGTATCCAAAATGGCTTGCCCTTGCAAACGGAAGGACTACAACCTGCGGTCCAATTCCTGGTGGTTTCATTTTGACCGATATCCAATTGTGTGTGGCTCAAAATGAAAGAGCCAGGGCAAACCGAAGAATTTCGTCTGTGGTTCCATGTACCCAGGACAAGCCGTGTGGGGATTTCCAAAAAATTGAGCCAACTGGTCTTAGATGCCCATCCCACGCCCGACGTTTTTTGGGTCTTCGTGCGAAGCCGCCGGTCCGAGGGGCCTGTGAAGCGGGTGGTTTCCAAGTCGATGAGCCGCGCCGCGCTGCGCTTGGCTCCCATGATACTGCGCTCCGACTTCACACTGCCTCAGGTTGCCAAAAGCGTGGACCATGCGGGAAGGTATGCAATCAAGAGGCGACCATGGAGGACTTACCCCTTAAGACTCCAAGCAACCTGGGGAAGTTAATCTTTTACAGACATATAGCCCATGTTACCCAAAAAGTTGAAAAGTTGTGTTCTTAAGAAGTAAGAGGAAGGTATGCAAACAAGAGGCTCGAAATAAATTTTATGCAACAGCTTTAGCGCTTGCCTTCATTGAAGTAAAGGCGGGCCAGTTATGAGGCGCTAGATGACTCCAGCCATTTCTCTCTCATGATCATCAGGTGATTTCCTTTACGCCCACAACCCCATTCTAATGATTTACCCGGAGAATCTACGACCCTTTAAAAAATGAGTCCATGACCCCTCTATTTCGGGTACTGACCTCATGTTTTAAGGGTCATGAGCCATAAACGCTGCTTGGTTGCTGTTGACCCCTCTGCAAAAGCTTAACTTGTGTGGGTCCAATTCCAATGAACAATCAACTGTTTCCCAAAAGTTAAAATCCAAAGATCCACCCAGACAGCCATGAAGGTTACAAGGAGTTCTCGTGTCAGAAGGTGCTGGAGTTGACTGCATATGGTCCGTGTAACTCAACACCACCTACCATAGAAGATACCCAATGAATGCAATGGAGGGCATGTGCAGGGTGGGACCATCCCAACTAGAGCTGTAGTAGAGACCGCCAGGCCTCATAAGGAAGATCCCATCCCTTGACATGCTGTCATCAACCGTTGAAGCAGCCATGATGGCAAACCAACATTTCCCGAGAAGTTGAAGGCAAACCCCGTATGATTTGCCGACAGTATTTCAACCACAAGCCGGTAGGGATCACCTAATACTTGTTGCATCTGTTGCCGCTACTTCTGCCGCTGCGGTAAATCTTGCCGGATTGCGTGTTGGTTGGTGTGCGTTTGCTTCTCATGCTTGATCCTGTTGTTCTCGCAGTTCTTCTTTTCTTCTTCTTCTTCTTCTTCTTCTTCTTCTTCTTCTTCGTCGCTTCTTCGTTGCTGCTGCTGCTCCTGTTGTTCTTTTCGCGCGTTTTGTTCTTCGTGTTGCTGCTGCTGCTCCTGTTGTTCTTGTCGCGCTTTTTGTTGTTCTTGTTGTTGCTCTTGCTCTTGCACTTGCTCTTGTTCTGCTCATTGTCCTTCTCCTCCTCTTGTGCCGGTTCTTGCTCCTGTTGTTGCCTGTGGTTGTTGTTCTTCTTCCTTCCATTTGCTGAAGCCCCTGCAAACAACTAAACATATTAACAGTAGTGATATATCCCGTTTAAAACCAACAGGACAAAACAAAAACATGTTTTTCATGTTGCTTCCTTCTTTTTTTAAACATATCCTTAAGCAGATGAGTCACAATCAAAACCCGGCATTAAAATGGTCTACCCAGAACCATGTAAAGAATGCAGAAGGCGGCCGCAGCTATTTCTGGTTGGGATCGCCCCTTACTAACCTTCATCTACCCGGGTTTTGAGGACGTGGCTCAGATGGCAGGATCTGCGCCGTCATTTTTTCTTGCTTTGCTCGCCGCGGGGCCGGGCCAGACCGTCAGCACGCACACGCCGTAGTTGCGCACCTTCTCCGCCAGAGCCATCATGGATCGGTCGAAGGTGGCCTTGTTGCCTAGAGAACGAAGGGAAGCATTTGTTTTGTTTTAAATACTTGTTAATTGTGTTTTACGTTTTGTTTCTTCCACGGAGGTGCCGTACCCCGTTCAAAAAACGGGGGGAAGGGTAGGTATGACAGGAAACCAAACTAAAGGGGTTTCCCTAGTTGACACAATACATGGCTTGAGCATGATCGTTTCGCTTTAGAAACGTCCATCTTGGACTCGGCAAACGATCAAACACGAAGCTGAATGGATGTGGGTCAAACATGTGGGCCCAAAATGGCTTGCCCTGGTAAATGGAAAGGACTAACACCTGCGGTCCAATTCCTGATGGTTTCATTTTGACCCATACCCAAATAAAGAATCTCCGAGACAAGGGTCGCTTACCCATGGGTGAGCTCAAACTGTCCAAACAGAGGGAAACCAATTGGACATCAATCGGAAGCCCGACAGAGCTAATTTGAGCCAACCTTATGTTTGTTCTCCACGACCCTTAGAAAATGGGGTCATGGCCCCTTGATTGGGGTATCGACCCCATGTTTAAAGGGTCATGGAGACTCTAGTGGTGATGTCTCAAAGGAGTTGGACCCGCTAGATAGAGTTTGTGGGCAGAAACCAAGAAGAAGTGCATTTGGCATTTGTGAGGGCCTCGGTGTGAGCAACCATGGGACAAAGTCGTCTATGGGATTGCGTCCCGGGTCTGGATGTACCTTTTAACCGTCGCCTATCAACATTCGGGTTGAAACTTCATGGGTAGAACCAAAGGTGCCGAGAGCGAGTTGTCCTGAGAGCGAAACCCAATCCATCCCTTCCAGGTGTGCGTCCCTGAACTGAACTAGCAGTGTTTGAACATTGTTGTTTAAATTCTAGTGGAGCCATGGCAACTGGTTGCTTTGTCAGCTTAGCCGCAGTTGGGACACCTGCAACGGTCCAACACTTTCCTGGTGAAAAGGAAACTTAAAGATAACCCAAAAAGGGAAAGGGGCAACAACTTCGTGTCCTGCAATGGTTTCGAAGGACGCTTCTCCACTTCTAGCCCTTTGGCGCAGTTAACCAACTCCACCCTGCAAACACACCTCCAGTACTGGTCCATTGGTTTAATCCCATGGGAGTGTGTGTGTGTGTGTGTGTTGCTTGCTTGCTTGCTTGATTGGTTGGTCGGTCGGTCGGTCGGTCGGTCGGTGATTTGGTTGGTTGGTTGGTTGGTTGGGTTGGTTGGGTTGGGTTGGGTTGGGTTGGGTTGGGTTGGGTTGGGTTGGGTTGGGTTGGGTTGGGTTGGGTTGGGCTGGGCTGGGCTGGGCTGGGCTGGGTTGGGTTGGGTTGGGTTGGGTTGGGTTCGGTTGGGTTGGGTTGGGTTGGGTTGGTTTGGTTGGTTGGTTGGCTGGCTGGGTGGTTGATTGGTTGATTGGTTGATTGGTTGATTGGTTGATTGGTTGATTAGTTGATTGGTTGATTGGTTGATTGGTTGATTGGTTGATTGGTTGATTGGTTGATTGATTGATTGATTGATTGATTGATTGATTGACTGATTGACTGATTGATGGATGGATGGATCGATCGATTCCTCCTGCCTTCCTTCCTTCCTTTGCTTTGCTTTGCTTTGCCTTGCCTTGCCTTGCCTTGCTTTTCTTTGCCTGCTTCTTTGTTTGTTTCGGGTGCGCCTTATCTTCTTGTGTTTTTGCTCTCTCGCCCCAAGGCGCAGTAGTAGGACAGTGGGAAGATGGGGATGTTCATCTGGGAGCCCCAGGAGGAGATGTTCAGCACCACCCCGCGGCCCCGGCGCAGGAAGGGCAGCATCTCCACCGTGAGGCCTCGAAACGGCCGGCTGCGACCCCGAAAAAGCCGAGGCCAAGGCCTGCTTTGACCCGTTGGAACTGACTTTGGGTAAAACTATCTGGAACACCGCCCCAAAAAACAAAAATCCCTAGCTTCCCCTTGGGAATTTGCCCCTTCTTTTCACCCCCCCTTCCAAAGAGAACAAAGTGCACCCCTTTTCGCCTACCTGGAGTCTCCTTCTGACCCTTCAAAAATGGTTGGTCATGACCCAAAATAGTGGGGTCATGACGCCATGTTGATTTGAGTCATGGAGAATGCAGGTAACCCCAAAATGGGAATTGTCCTGGTAGATGGAAAAAGTTGGACAAAATGCGGTCCGCGGGTTTTTCGTTTTCACCCATATTCATTTGGCCATTGGACTTCTTTGAACCGAAAGGTCGTCGGCATCACCACATGCGGCATCACATGCGGGCTTCACTACGAATGATATCCCTGGCACCGAAGATATCCCTTTAGCTTTGAGACACCGGTCCCTTTCTTCTTGCTCGGGAATGAGAAATGGAATGACCCCGATATAAACCATTCTCGACTTGGTTTCCTAGTTTTCGGGGCGCAAAGTTTTTGCCTCCCCCTGGTTCCTTCTAATATTGACTTCGGGCGGACTGTACTAGTCAGGGTTGGTTCCCTTTTGGTAGGGAAAGATCTACTTTAGGGCGTTCGCTGACTAGTAGGGTTCCCCTGGATTCATCCGACATTCAGATAGGTTCCACAACCCCCAAATCACTACCCCTGAGGCTTAATGTGATGCACAGCCGCAATAGCGCCACTAAGGGTATATGTTTTTTCCCCCAGTAGTGGCTTACAAGTGGGATTCCCACGGAGGGATACCCTCAAAAGCGAGCAGCTTCCCTGTGGTTTTCCTTTTGAACAATCCCAGAAATGACACACTCAAAGCAGTCATACCGAGATGAAACAGCTGCTAGAGTTTACTTTCCAGCCAGGAGCCCAAAGGAAAGTGCCCGCAAAAAAAGAGTCTGTCAAATCATTCCCCCCCCCCGTTTGTCTAACAAAACGAAAACCCCCAAAGAAGCCGGCTGCAACGATCTTTCCGCCTATTGAAACCCACCCACCCACCCACCTCCCGCCCTAGAACCCGCTCCAGCCTATATGATTGAGACCTCCCACGCTGGTTTGCTCGTTCAGGAAGCGCATGGGCTGATTCCAGACTGGGGTGGTGAAGAAGATCATGTCCGGCTTTGGGATGTAGAAGGCCTCCAAGGGCCGCTTTTCATGGGCTCATCTGCCGAAAAACGCGGGGGGTGGCAGGCGCATTGGCGATTGCGGCCTCGAGTGGCCTCGCAAAAATGCACCGGACCTTGGAGATGCCCTGAAAAATGGGCTTGTGCCCCAAAATTGTGGTTGGTAATTTTGTTATGGGTAGTTTGAGGGTCCAGGCAAACAGAAACCCAACAGAAATAATAAAAACAACTGCATGAAAAAAAGGCCTCGAAGAATTCTGCCAAAGACTCTGGTGACTCATGGTCTCTTGTCCCCCTGCGCCCCCCTCTAGCCTGGAATCAAACCTTTGATTTTATCTTGGGGATGATAATTACAGCTATCACGTCGCACGTACAGCCACAAGATCTCAGGCATGATCGCAAAGATCGCCAGCGACGAGCGGAAGCCGGATGGCTTCTTCAGAGTCAGCTTGTGGTTTAGTGTGGGTTGTGAATCAGCTGACCCACTTCCCCAATGGAAGAGTCTTTCGAGCTTTTCCATGGAGGTTCGAATCCTCCCCGGGTCGTTCTTGTCAGCTGCCCATTGCAAACACTGGGAGAAACATATAAGTTTCAGAAACGTGTTATTAAAGGCTAGTACCTGATGCATGGTTGGCACCCATCTGCCAGCCTTTTTACTCGGGTGTTGGGCGTTGCTCGCTTGCATCAGTAAGCTACAACCACAACTGGCTGGTAGTCTGGTTGGTAGCTGCTCGGTGATCGTGTCCCTGGTAGCCTACCCCGTGGGCCGCGCGTTTCATGGAACCTGGTGGGTTTGGAAACCTCACATCCGATCGAGAGGATGGCCCAAACAAAGTCCGAACTTCTTGTTTACCACTAAAAACGACTTCCCGCGTGGATGGCTATTTTAGTAGGGGAACCCTCCCCGAAAAAAAGGGGTAAACGGTAAAACACCTAAAAGTTTGAGAAACGCCATGCGTGGGTTCCTTAAAGACAGATCCAACTCGGTCCGGCTGAGGGCTCGACACTGTTCACCAGGATGTCCAGCCGCCCATGCGTCTCGCGGATCATCTTCACGATCGCTGAGTTCTGCTCATCCTGAGGACAACGGCGAAACGAGGCCTTAGCGGTTGGGGGGTGGAGGGGGCGGGTTTGGGGGTTTGCAGGGAGTTGGGGGGTTTGGGGAGGGGGGGGGGTTGGGGAGAGTTTGATCCCCAGGCTGGGAAAGTTTGCAGCATGGTGAGCTTGTTGATTTGTTGCCAGCTGCCGGACGGCGGTAAAACCACTCCTTCCGACCATGGAAGGGTCCAAAGGGAAAGCAGTCTCCCCACACCCTCCTGTCAGCTATGATTGGGGGGAAGCTTTCTGCAATTTCGCCGCTTTCCCGAGCTATATGCGGGGCGCGTCTTGTTTTGGAGTTGGCTGCCCTTTTGGGTTGATATAAAGGAAACCCAACAGGCACACCCCAGCCATTTTAAGGGTTTCAACCTTACCAAAGGCTGACGCCCGCTTTCCCTTGAAGCCATATCTTAACATCTCCTTTCTTTTCGCCGAGGGATCTTAAGGGCTACCTCGGCAAGTTTCAGGTTTACAGGACCATCCATCCATTTGGGTTTGTCCTTTTGGCTTCCCAGAAAAAGCTGACCCCGAAACTGCTACCACCAAAAAACGGAACCACGCCCCATTGCCTGTTCACTGAGCTCCCTGAAAGCTACCAGGACCCTCGCAATCCCCATACAAAAAAGAGCTTGTGCCCCCAACATTCGGTCAAACCCCAAAATAAAGAAATGGGCCATGGACCCATTTTTAAATCGGAAGGAGACTCCAGGTAGTTCTGAAACGGGTGGTAGCACCAAAAGCCCAGGCCGGGCAGTCCTGTGCATGGTCCACGTGGACAGCGACTCCGGTTCCACCCAGCTTTTGAAAGGTCGAGGCGGTCTCGTCCACGGTGCCCATGAGGATAATATCCGTCTCCTCTCAGAGTTTGTTCTAATTGCCTAAGCCCCATGGGAGAAAAACTCACAGATCCAGTATATAGTGATAGATTCCTTCAAAACCAACAGGGGAAAATAACAAACATAAATGGCAGGTTTGTGAGCAAAACTCGATTTTCGACTAAAGAAAAGAGGGGTCATGGACCCATTTTTAACCAGGAATCATGTTTCGCTCTCACTCACTCGCTAGACTTAATCCCCCGAGTTTCCGGACAAACAGTCTAATGGACACCTGCCGATTTCGGCACAAAGGGGGGCCTGGGGCGCAAAGGCCAAAGTCAGAGCAGGGGTTGTCCAGGGGCCTAAATCACTATGGGGCTGTGATTCCGAAACCAACTTACGCTAACCCAAACTGCCATAGCCCTTTTCGAGCTTTGGGTACGCCAAGATCGATTGGTTGACGATATGTCCTCCGAATTCGGCCATCTGAATTTGCCCTTGAATTCAGTTTGGTCATCTTTTCGATTCTCGGAGCAAAGTGAACAAAGGTCAGACGTTTGTGTCTAGTGGTGTCTGCAACATTGTACGTACAATCCTATTTTGCCTTGGGTAAATGAAGGAGCCCAAAAGGCATGTGGTTCATACTCCTTTCCCCCAAGGGGGGTAGCATACCACTATACCGTGACTTGTTCACAAGGAAAGTACGATGTTGTGCTTGTAGAGTCAGGCAGCTAAACGTCCAAAAAGGGTTCACATCCTCATTCGTTTCAGGGATCCTTCTAATAAAGACAACAACAGGGGGACTTGCTGGTTTGTGGGAAGAACAATGGTTACGCAATGGTGAACCATAATCTAGGTCATCCAGTAGAGAGGCTAGAATAAGGGAACCCTTGTTTTAGTAGTCTATATTAGTAGGGGAACCCTCCCCCAAAAAAGGGGTAAAAGGGCACTACTGGGGGACTTAGCAATTAATCCAAATAGAGTGTCAAGTCCAGGAACTCACGTGTGAGTCGAAACAGAGACACACCCCTACACCATCCTACACCTCCACTTCCTCTTAGCCTCTGCTTGCAACGCGCGTGCCTTGCCGGGCGCCGATCGCCCCGTGACGTACACGATGGCCCCCGCCTGACGCTTGAAACCAACCAACCTCCCAACGCCGTGTGCCGACATGTCCGTTCCAAACACCAAATTGGCACAGACAGAAACAAGGCCGACGTGGCCAAATGGCTGTGGGTCAAAAATAGGTACCCCAAATCAAACCCGGGTAAATGGAACCAAGGACTGAAACCTGCGGTCTGGTGGTTTCATTTTGACCCGCACCCAAATCGGTTGCCACCGTCGTCTTGGATCTTTGGGAGGTGTCCCTGGTCGCGCTCATAGACCCTTCTACTTGCATGGCCCCACTTAGCTAAGGACTCAAACCCTCCATTTGCTGAAGCTCCGGCAGAACTAACAAAAACATGTCCAGTACTGAAATCGATTCGCTTTAAAACCAACAGGGGGAAATGAAACAGATTCTCAACCAAATGGAAGAAGCAGCTCCTTTTTGAAGCCCCGGAGCAGTCAGGAAGAAATTGGTCCAAAAGGGCAATAGCAAAGCCATCGGCGGCGACCTGGGGGCTCGAAAAAGAATCCAACTTAGACATGGGCTCTTGCAGCTCAAAATTATGGAATCGGATGACTTCCCCTTTTTCTAGGTAGCTTGAAGACCCAGGTGCTTTAGGATACCCAAAGTATGGAGTTCGTAAATTCCAGCTTTATGTATGCATAGTTCTGCCCCTCTTGTGGTTTGTCTTTCGGAGCGATCTTGGCCAGTTTTGATGGAAGAATCTGGATCCTCTCAATCAGGATCATTCCTGGACCTTCCTGCATGCTCAAAATGTCCGCTGTTTCGCTACGAATTGCCTTTTGGGGTCATTGCCCGTGTTTTTTGCCTACGGCTTTTTTTGCTCAATTTGGGTGCTAAGCGCAATCTCCCCGAATCTACAGGCGCAAATTCCTGACAAACAGGCGAACAATCATCACCAACAGCAAACATTCCCAACGGCAGCTCAAACAAATATGACCGCCGGAGTTTTTGTTCGCGCCCTATAAGCATTTTTCCACGCCAACGAGAAAAACATATCCCAACGCCTAAAACTTTTGACCCCCGGAAGGTCCAGGTATTTGCCGTGACAAAACGTCTGCAAATTGACATACAACCCAGAAAGCCATCATTTCAAAAGCAAACTTCTTTCGGGGCATGCCCTTTGGGCTTCCAGAGTCATCTGCAGGGGCTGCAGGGGAGTATCTGTCTGCCGGAAAGCCCAGGAAGGTGGTTAAGCCCCCTCCCAGTTTAGCACTCGCGTTCACACCCGACCTTGACTGCTCAAATCATAAGGCCAGGACGAGGGCCAGGGAAGGCTTTCACGCTTCGTTGCCTTTCTTTGGGTGTCGGGCACCTTTTCATTGCCACGCAATCCTTCCGCGTTCCGCGCAACACCACACCTTTTTGAACCAATCGTCAAATTCAACGACCCCCCGATCAACATGCACCAACAAATCGGTACCAAGAATCCACGACTTCAACTCCCCCCGCCCCCCCGCGTTTGCCGTCCGTTTTCGCGCTTCCCGTAATTACTTGGATGTTCGACCAACTTAGAAAGTAGGTTAGAACCACTGTAGCCTTATAAAGCGACCACCTGGGAGGGTGCCCAAGTTCTAACCTAACTATCCAAAGTTGGTTCAACATCCAAGGCAGCACCTGGACCCAAGATTCCAAGTTTAAAATCGGGCTCATTGCAAGCCAACATGATGGATGTTGTGAATTGTCCACCACCTAAGAAAGCCTAATGATTCGATTCCCCCTGTCGATGCCAGCAAAGCATGGGGTCCCTTGGTTTCATCTCGTGGTGCAAACTAAGCAGCCGCATCCCTCAATATTCCCTTACAAATGGGTTTTTGGCGCAACCTTGGTTGACATTGGAAGGGGAAACAAAAATAAGCTTCAGCAGTTAAGTGGGGACTTCCCACTAAACCACAATAAGCAAACATGTAAAATGTTTCCCAGCAACAACCATGCAGCATTATGAGTGGATTCCCTCTTTTTATGGATCGTTTGAGTCCAGGCTGCCACATTTCTCCGGCAACAACCCCGCCTCCGCGAGGCTCTGGGCGATGCCCTTGCCGATACCGCGGGAGGCGCCCGTCACGAGGGTCACCAGCCCCGACAGTCGCTTGGACTCCTGCCAGGAGTGCTGATAGACCATGGGGCGAACAAGGGAAGGGGAATATACACATTTGGTCAGTCAAAATCCAAATGCCCCCAGTGAACATCCCAATGCCCACTAAAAAATAGGTTCTAAAATGGGTGGTGAATTCACCAACCAACCAAAATGGGATCCCATTTGACCCACAGCCATTTACATAGCTCGGAGTTCCGGGGCCTTGGCCTTTAGGAAGTGAACGTGAAGTGAACGCGCAAGGTTCTTCCTTTGCAAGCTGGACGCGTTGAATTGGATTGATTGAATATTTTTTGGTCCACCCAGGCACCCATCCCCCAGCTCGTCAAACAAAGGATGTTCAGGAAACGGCCTTTGTTTAAAATTCCTTTTTACCCGCCATCGCATGAAAATATACATATGTATATACGATTGCGTTTATAAATATATATATATATATGCACATATATATATATATATGTATATATATATATATATATATGTTTGGACGTTTAGGCACTCATGTCTTGGTTGGCTAAACTGAAAACGCTAGGGTATCTCCAAATCGTCACCTCCAGACACCCTCCCCTCCTGCGTGCCCACCATGCGCTGTGCCCCCACGAAGGGCTTGCTGGGCAAGGTGGCCGGGCCCGAGACCCCGGGCACTCTGTGGTCCAGTACCTTGCAAGGCACCGCCGCCTCAGTCGCTCAGTGGCCAAGGAGTTGGGGGGGGGGGGTCGGCCAGCAAAAAACTCCGGAGGTGTTTGCCTGGACCCACAAACTATTCATGAAAGGGATTCGGCCATTATGTTTTTGTTTTTGTTTTTTGGTTTAGTTGTAGTAATGCATGTTTAAGGAAATTCAAACTACCTGGAGACTCCTTCTGACCCTGAAACAATGGTTGGTCATTACCTAAAATAAAGGGCTCATGGACCCATCTTGTATTTGGGTCATGGAGACTCCAGGTACTTATATATATATATATATAAAAAGGGGATTCAGCAACTATCATGTTGGGTTGGAAAGTTGGAATTTTGAGGGTCCAGGGCCAACGCAGGCCCTCCAATGCCCTCCAATGAAGAACCCGGACCAATTCCTCAAGCCGTTTTGAGGACTTGGGCGGGTAGCTTTCCAAGTGTTAGCTCCGCTGGTCTTGTCCGAAAACATCTGCGCATCCTGTTTCCATGGGTCGATTTGGATAGGGCTGCGGATTCAGGCAGGATTCGGGAGATGGAAAATCATATATCCAGCTGGGGATATAAAAAGTGACCTGGTAGAACTATTTGTTTGTTTCTCTCATGTCAAGATCCCGCCAACCTGCAGGTTTGTAGCATACACCCTCTCAAACAACTATGTCGGGTCCTTGGAATAGCCAGTCTGCAGGGTCCAACAAGCTTTTTTTTCCATGGCTACGGGGTCCTAAAGTCTTCCAAGGCCTTCAACCAACTCGTCAAAGGGTTCCCTTGACACCTAACCGGGAGCTCTGAACTCGGCCAGCCAGCCTCAGACCAATCAAAAAAACTTCCGCTGCTTCAACACGAAGCGGGACAACTCGAGCTCAAACTAGCCCTTTGTCACCAAACTGCCCTTTGTTTCAGGCAAGTTGCTTTGGAGATCTAAAGTTATACATCACTTCAGGGGTATATACATGAACTTCCTAACTTCAGTTAAAGGACTTATTTTCCGTGGATATAAAACGGATACTCAATGGGTCGGTTACTCAGGTTATTCAAGAGTCAACCCCAAGTACAGGAGCCTGGCTTTTGACCCACACATCCTGATCCTGGTTCTGTTCGCCAACTAACCTCAGCTCTTCCCTGACGTGGGTCGGACATCCAAGTCATCGGCGTGGCCAACCACGGCCTGAATGGGATGGTTCTCCAAGTCTGACAAACCAACACGAAAATGAACAGAGAACTGCAATCCATTGGGGATACCCCAATTACACCTACTTCCCCAAAGGGAGAAGCAAACAGCTGTCAACTGAGTTACCCGAAAGACACCGGAGTAAAAAAAACGGTTATCCAGTGGGGGCCATGAATATAAATGGAAAGATCAAAAGGTCGGCTTTGGGCAATTGAGCCAAAGGCACACCCAAACTGGCTGGTGATTGGAAAATTTCCATTTTGCTTGTTTGCGATCCCTGGTTTTGTGGTAGCATGGGAACCAATTCCCTCCGTCCAACCAAAAGTCTCCCAACTTGGTTTCAAAGCACCCCAAACAGCACCCCCCCCCAGCCCCAACCGCCCCCATCCCGGGCTGCCGGACCGGCACTGCCACCGTGCCCGCGGCCGCTTTCCGCAGCTCCGCGCACAGCAGCCGGGCCTTGTCCACCACGCCGAGCTTCTCCGCACTGTGGGCCAGAAGCAGCGCCGCCCTCGCGCCCGAAAGCGCCCGAAAAATCGGCGCCCGAAAACCAAAAAAACACAAAGAGAAAGACTTGGGGTGCCAGAAGCCTCAAAATTGCCCCTGAGACTCTGAGATGTTGGTGGTGTTATTTGATTTAGTCTCCATGACTCTTAACAAGAATGGGGTCATTGCATTTGAAATTGCGAGGACCTCCGAAAGCGGGTCCAGGACCACTTTGAACATAGGTTATTGCCCAATCAGCACAGCATGCCTGAAAAGAAACAACAGAAATGGTGGGTTATTGCAACCCAAAGCTATGGTTGGTGAATTCCGACTTTTGTATGAACAGTTTGGGGGTTCAGGGTGCTCCCGGAATCCGAATCGGAAGAACAAATCCGGGTGCACAACTTGGAAATCCGGTTTTTGGAGTTGCTCGATTCCACCCTCGGCTGCGGTTTGATGGGATACCAATACCTGGAGTCTCCACGACACTTTCAAAAATCGGTCCATGACCCCTGTTGGGTAATGACCAACCATTTTTGAGGGTCAAGGAGACGTCAGGGAGGAAAACGCATAAAACGCCACGACACGATTTTGGGGGTCCCCGAATTTCTAGAAACACTCAGTTGCCAGCACCTGGAAAGAAAGGTCAGATCACATCCGGTCGATTCGCATTTGGCAACTTGACCGCTTTTTGGGGGCTGGGAAACCGAAAGGAAACGCACAACAGTTGTAGGGCCCCCATGTTTTGACACGGGTCCAAACCAAAGGGTTGTTGGCCGTTCGACCCTGGGAGCTATTCGGGCTGGTTGGCTAAATGAGGCTCAGGCTTCTTTAAATGCGTCCAAAAACCCGGGGATTTAACTAAGTCAGCCTGGTGAAGCGAAATCTTTGACTGGCACACATTTTGGCGTTCCCTACACTTCTTCCACCAAAACGAAACTCGCTTTAAACTCACCGAACAGGTGATTTGTGAAAGGTCCCAAAGGGAGACGTCCATTTGCTTGAGTCCCCTGGGAGAGACAAAACACAAAAACAAGAACATATGTCCAGCAGTTCTCATGAACCTTTTGGTTGGCATCCACAAGGAAACCAGATTTGCTTGAGGGCTATGACCAACTGTCAGCTTCGTCGGAAAAACGACGCATCCAAACAACCTGGAGTCTCCGTCACCCTTACAAAAATTGGGTCATTACCCAAAATAAATGGGACCCATTTTTGAAGGGTCATGGAGACTCCAGGAAGTTAAAGGCTAAGGATCCAACCTGGGCAGCTCTTCCCCATGAGCAAATGGTCTCAGCCACGTGTTTCGACGGGGTCCTTTTGGGCCTGGTTTCACCAACCAGCCAAGCGACACATAGTGACGTTGACGGGGCCTGGACAAATCCATTCCCCTAAATACAAAGCCAAACCAGTGGAACACAGATCTATTCTTGACCAAAGTAACCAATCAAAAGGACGGCTCGCTCCAGTGACCTTTTGGGGTTCCTTGATCCCCATTGAAACAAAGGCCTTGGGGCCCAATTTGAATGAGCATCCTTACCCAGCGTGCTGCTGGAGAACCTCAAAACCATGGTTGAAACCCATGGTTTGGGATTTGCAGGGGCATCATGCACCCAGTTTGTCTGACTTGCAGGTCGTGTGCCGATCGATCGATCGCTGGAATTTTAGCTGCGCCTGGCGCTCTGAAGTGCCTTGTCCTTGTCCCCCTGGCCTCGCGAGCGGCCAGGAGTGTCTCCGTTTGGGGCCAGTTTTGCCCCAAAACTTTGGGGTGACTACCGGGTGTTCCTTCGGAAGCTCGAGGGTGCAGGCAGCTTCAACTTCAGGGTTATCCAAGGTAGATGAAACTTGGGGGGTATAAACCATAAAGCAGAAGGGACCCGTATGATTTTCAGGTAGGAGACCTGGTCCCTACGATTTAAGGAATTCTCAAAGAACTTCCAGCTTGAATGGGGGTGGTGTTCGCTTTGGACTGCCCGTTTAGAGGGTCAGTTGAGAATTTGGCTTCAGTGGAACCAGCTGAGGAGGCATGGGCGAAATTTGGTTCGACCCACTCAAGCCAGGTAGGGTTCCCCCAACCACCTACTAGAGTTGCCCTGGAATACTTCCCTTGGCCACAATATGGTAAAGGGCATCTCGGCTTTGTGGTTGATCTGTTGAAGTGTAGTGGTGCGACAGCCACTTGTATACTGGATATGTACGGCCCTATATAAGAGGTACTCGTCAGTTTCCACGTCAGCTGGGAGGGAACCTCGGCCTTTCCAACAGGGAATGCTGAAAGCAAGGGTGGATGTCTCATTTTTTGCCACAAAACATGTTTTTGCTGTTTTTTTTGGTGGGGGGCTCCGGGGGGGGATTCCTGATCTGTGATTAAACTACCGCAATCCTTTGGCGCATCACTGAACGGAACCAAACAGTCGACATTCAAACACCCTCCCACCCTTTTCACATGGAACCTGACGTTCGAAGGGTCCTGGTGAGAGACCATGTTCCTTTCAAAGGGACTCCCTGTGAGGTTCCATGCGAGAAGGGAGGGAGGGCAAATATTTTCCTGTATCATGTAGGTCAAAGGGCACACATATGGTCATGCGCCAAAATCCCGTACCCCCCAGTGAACATCCTAATCCCCATTAAAATAGACTAAAATGGGTGGTGCACCTATCCCAAAATGGTACCATTGGCTTTGAACCATGGCCATATCAGATATTGCACTCTGTTTCCAACAATCATAGGAGTGGACAGGTGGCTTCCCCAAAAGGAAGTCGTCTTCCAACGCCTTCCTGTCAGCTTCCATGGCTGTTGGGAGGGTACCCGACGTTGACCCGCCGTGCCTTGTTGCGCTTGAGCCATGGCCAGCATCGCCAAGGCCTCACCTGGAAAAGAACCGCGATGCATGCCCCCCTCATTGTTGATCGCTTGTTTTTGGAGCTGGTGTCCCCTTTTTTGATGTGTTACTTTTACCTTTGGAGAGGCAATCTTTTTTGCCCTTGTTGTTGTTTCTTTTCACTGGGAAACCAACAGGAGAGCCACCAATTTGGGGGTCACCAATTTTGGAGAGAGAACCCCATATGTGGGTGTTTCTCAATACTCAGGTCCCGATTGGTTTCCCTTTACCACCATGCGAAAAGGAGGCCTTATTTGGAGACATACGTATCTCTCACAATAACGGCACCCCAAGAGGAAAGTCACCTTGCAGGCCCCCAAACGGTAATGTTTCACACCACCCAAAAAGAGAAACACGCGGCTCAAGTCGACCCTAAGGAGCCTTTCTAAAACATGTCCCATGGTTCCTCTTGATAAATAGAACATCGTGTATAACGAGACACTCCTTGCCAGAAACCATCGAGCCCAGATTGGTTCACTTTGTCCCTCTTCATCCAACAGTTTCTTATTCTGGGCTGCCGTTCTTTTTTTGGTACCTTATTTTGACACACGTCCCTCCCCATGGAAACGCGAGGGGAAAGTCCAACGGGTCATGGGAAGGCCTCCGGTCCCAAATGGAGCCTCCGGTCCGCTGAGATCTCGGCATCTCCATTTCAGAAAGCACAGGGACCGCCATAGAAACAATCAGCACAAGTGTCAGGTCGCAAAAGACCTTGTCCACTACCCTTTGCAGCTTTTTTACCCTAAGGGGTGTGTCTTATTTTCATGGTACCCTTTTTGGGTTGGCTCTAAACAAAAAACTATAGAGAAAAACCGCTAGTTTGAGGTGCCCCCATTGTGAGAACCTAAAACGACACACCCATGGTGGATCATGCATGCTTCTTGCTGATGCACAAGCATGAAGTTTGGAGAAAGCTCCTGAATGAACAGGATTGCTGGGGCATCGAATTTCATGTTCTGTGCCATGGGCAACGCTCCATTTGTGAGTCCAACTTGCAGACCCCCCTAGACATCCGAATTCGAGGGGAAATTGGGTGTTCACCACATGTGGTTGGTGGCTCTAACTCTTAAAATTGGTAAGGGCCCCAATAATCAGAAGGGGGTTCTGGGTACTATAAAAAAAAACAAAAAACAACAACACATTTCGTCATTAGTAAAAAAACAAAAACAAAAAAACACTCAAAGTAATTATTTAGCCCCGTACCTCCATGTACTTCAGTCCCCTGAAAAATACAGACTTCCGGTAGTGATAGTTCCCGTCAAAACCAGCAGGGGGGAACACACACACACACACATCTGCTGTCGTACGTGTGAAGGGCACTCCGGCCAAATCAAACCTTGCCAGGTAACCAGTCAGGAGAGAGCACATCCTCATTAGCCTACTGTGGATGGACGAAATCCATTTCGCACTACCGAACTCAGACATCCTGGAATGATACAATTCCCTATAAATACCAACAAACGTTGTGGTTTCATTCCCATGGTTTCATTTCGCGGCGCGAGACTTTTGTGCGCCACAGGCGTGCGTGGCTTGGGCCGCACGCCTTCTTTGTCTCCGCTGGACTTGTAGCTCGCGGCTGCACTGGTGGATGCCTCTCGAACAGGGTTCCCTAGATTTCCCTGTGGTGTTGTTTTTGGATTTGTTTTCCTCGGGTGTTGGCTTTTAATACGTCCATTTTGTATTTTGTATAAGACACAATACCCACCTTTTGGGTGTTTTCAGCATCACCTCTTTGGCCCGACCGAGCTTCAGTGGCCTTTTTTTTTTCCGAGGGCATCAGACCTTTGGAGCCCTGGAACCACTGGCCGGCCATTTGTCCAGCCGTCCAGTCAGAATAAGCATATGTTATATGTTGTTCAAGTTAATACTTGTACAACTTGGCTGCACAATGAAGTGGTCCAAGGCACCAGAAAACAGCCAAAATAATCGACACTGCACCAACTCCGATTCTTCAAGGCTGGGGCGTAAGCCCAAAAGTCCCGATGGCAATGGCACACTTGCTCCTTTAAATCCCTTGTTTCGACTGAGCTGTTCGAAGCCACAACTCACTTCCTGAGTTGATGGCCCAACAACAAGTCCGAAGCGTTTGTTGACCAGTGAAGTGGTCTTCCCAGATAGGTACCCAAGATGGAACCTTGGCAAATGGAAACATGGACTAAAACCTGCGGTTTTTTCATTTGTTGCTCAATTTTGACCCATACTCATTTAAAGTCCAGGAACTCAGGGAGCGAGACAAACAGGTCCCTCTTGAAGTGCTCTTTGATTCTTTCCAGTGGGTGGAACCAACATGTCCCCACCCGTGGTTTCTTCGGCAAGTCAAACAAACATGCGGCACCAGAACATGCATATGACTTGCCCAACATCCTACCCCCACCCCCTAGACCCCTGGTTTCTACTTTCGTGTTTCTTGTTAGTTCTTTTCTTCTTTTTTTTTGGGGGGGGGTGGAGAGGAGGGCAGAGGGAAGGCTTTGCTGTTGAGTCCTTTTTCCCTTCAGGAGCCGAAGGGGGGGGTTACTGATATGTCAAATTTGGGTGGCCATCGACATGACTTGGGCAAACAAAACACCAGCCATATGGTACCCTCGAAAGCAAAACACCCATTGAGATTGCTTGCTCCCCCAAGCAAACATGGGACATTTCATCATCCCCAGGGCCACATGTCCTTTTCAGGTTAACCATAGACTACTGGAAATGTTGACCGAACCTCAGACACGGAGCGACGACAACCCCTCAACTTTTAGTAGATAGGTATCCCAATTGAACCAGGCAGTAGAACCACCCACTACAATTGCCCATAAGGGATTGGGCGCACATGACCTGGGGGTTTTAAACGGGGATCTGGAAAACATGACAACCTTGCCCATCCACGTTGCTTTCCCTTTGGCGGAACCAGCAACGTTTTGGGCTGTTTAGAGCACCCAAAGACTTGGGCAAACGCACACACACACAACGACCCGTGGCCAGGGGAAAAAAACCAGGGCACCTTGTTTTGGTAGATTTGGTTTTCAAGGGAACCCCAACGAAGCCAAACCCAATGGAGGTCTGGTTGTCATGCGCACCGAGCGATCGAAAACGCCAGTACTGTCCTCCAGGGCTTTGGTGAAGTTGCCCTGGAGGCTGTGCGCCTAGTCGGCGTTCGCCCGCGTTGATCTTGGACATGCGTCATTTGGGCGGTTTGTCTACGATTTCTCTAGCACCCCCCCCCCAAAGCCAAGCACCGGTCACCTAAAGCAGACCTATGGTGGGAAGGCCCTAGCTACCAACCTAAAAGATCTGATTGAAACAAACCCAAGGCACTTTGAGGCCCCTTGAAACCACCCGTGTTCTGGGCCTTTAGCACCAAGTCCTCTTGGCCCAACCCCAAGGTGCGAAGGTACACCAACCTATGGATTCTGATTCATTTAGATCAACCTTGAAATATGGGTGTGTCTCCTCAAAAAATGCATTGCTTCCGATGTGGATTGGCCTAAAACAAATCAAAACTGTTCTCTGTACCACTGAGATGGGTGTCTTTTTAAGGTTGAACCCCCCAAAATGGCTTCGGTTCGGTGTGCCTTTTGGTTTCCCTTTGACCCCAAAAAAAGGGGTACCCCCAAAACAAACAGACAAAAACATGGACTCCTTTGGTGGCGTTTTTTTCTTTGCGTGCCGCTCCTTTTGGCTTCCTTTCCTTCTGCGCACAAGTCTCACGGAACAAGCGTTTTGTTTTTTGCAGTGATAGATTCCCCAAGCCAAGAGGGGAAAGTTGAGACCATATTCTTGGATGACATTGGGTTAGGGGAGCAAACATTCTCAATGTTTAGCACTTAAGAGGTTGGAAATTCAACCACTAAACCACAATAAGCAAAAATGAAACATGTTTCCCAACAACAACCATGGATTAGTACGCAAGTGGAAGGTTAGCGTCTGTTAGCCACCTTTCGTGTCCTTTACCACCTGGACTCCTTTTGGCTGCCTAAACATGCTTTTTGCAAACTGGTTGGCGAGTTCCCTCTTTCATGGGTAGTTCTTTTGGGTCCAGGGTAGCCCTTGAGTGGCAACCTGAACTCCAAAGCCTGAGAAGGTTGCAGCTTGGTGATTTGGGAACCTTTGCCCAAGCAGAGGTACTCTCATGGCCTTGCTTTGCGAGGAAATGATTTGGGCATCTTTTTCTGCCTTGAAACCTGACTTGGGCATTTTTGGGATATGGTTTGGGCATTTTTGGAGGGTGCCCCCATTGAAACCTCACTTCCCAAGTGGATGCCCCAAAAAAAGGTACCCAAACGAACTCAAGTGAGAAACTCATAGCCAACCTTTGCCCAACCATTCCTAGGTCCTCCAGTAGAGAGGTTAGAAAAAGGGTACCGTTTCTTTTTCCTGTAGTCTATTTTAGTAGGGCAGCCCTCCGCCAAAACAAAATGGTAAGGGAGCTTTCAATGGAAGACCCCTCCCCTCCACTGGACACCCCGGAAACCGGTGTTTGGGGGTCTCAAAACCTGGCGGTTTGAGGGCAAATCAATCAGGAGTCGGGAGCGAGCCTCTGGGGTAAGTTCCCTCTTGGGTTTTTTGTTCAGGTCCAGGAGCCTCAAAGCCCAAGACCATTTCTTGCGTTTCTCGTTCCTCAGGCTTCTCAGCGCGGCCCAAACAAAAATAAGAACAACGCCCAAAATCGCCCGCCTCGGATGCCAGGACCTCCGCAGCTGCGGCACTCTGCTGAGCCGCCTGCTTTTTGTTTTTGTTTTTTGGTTTTTGTTTTTTCTTTTTGTTTTGTCTTTTTTTCGGATTTTGGGTACCTGGACCCTGACAAGAATTCCAAGAACTAAACATGGGCGATTGCAACCCACAATTCTGGTGGGTTAATTTCAGCTTTTCTATCGGCTCCAACTTAAAAATGGCTTCTTGCAATCCGAACAAATGTGGAATGGGTGAATTCGCTTTTGTTGATTCTTGTAGCTTGAGGGTCGCCTGGTGCCTATTTCAAAGTGGTGAAACATGATTGGCCCACCAACATGGCGCCTGACAGAGGGTCCCTTAAAGAGGAAATTGAGCTTCCAGTTGCCACCCTCCCCGAGCCTTTTACAATCACCAAAAAGGGTACCAACTCCAAAACAAACAGGGCTCTATTTGGAGTACCAATTTTTGACCCACCCATAATGTACTTTTCAGAGAACCCCCCTCTCCCCCAAAAGAAAAGACAGTGGAACCATCAAAACGGGGTACCAACTCCAAAAAGGACGGACCCATATGTTTGGTCCTTCGCATTTACCAGAGTTCCATTTTGGGTACCTACTTTTGATCCCCACCCATATTAGGTGCCATGGTCAAAACCCCAATATGATGGTTTCCTGAATAGGAACTTGACGGTCCACTTGTTTGGTGGTTTTAGAGGGAAACAAAAAGGACAACGGAAGCTATGTCAGGGGCGGACCTACACACCCTACTGAATCAGAGCTACGGAATTCATGACTCGGCTCTGACTGTGGCATTCCTACTGCATCCGGGCTGTCGCTGCGCATCTCATTCTAGTGGTAACCCTAAACATCTCATTTTTGTGGGGCGCTTTTTGAGGGTACCTTTTTTGGGGGTGGTTTACATCAGACACCAAATGGACACCGAAGCCCATTTTGGCTCAGTTCCTTTGCCTTTAACATCAATATCCTGGTTCTTAAGGATCCTTACTACCAGGTGGATGACCATCCCTATTAACCCGAAGAAAAAGCCACACAGAGTTACACTTTCTGACTTCTCCCTAGACTCAAACCCAGCACTTCTCCTTTTGGGGGAATGTAAGTCTACCCATAGTCAAGTGGAACCTTGGACTCATATACTGTGGATGGTTGCGAAATCCATTTCGCACCACCGAACTCAGAAACCAAACAGAATGAACGAAACTTCCTCACGTAAATATATACCAAGAGCCGTTTTGGTTTCCTTCCCACGGACTCTCGTTCACCGTGGTGCGAGAGCGGATTTCGCAACCACAGAGGGGTCCGGGTTGATCAATGTTCCCTTCGGCCCCTAAATGACCATGGGAACATTTCCCATGCGGGACATGTGCTTCGTTGTTTTCACCAGCTCACTTTCTGAGTAAATGGCCCCAAAAAGTACCCAAATTTTGGTTTACCAAGGTGGCCAAAGCACCTGAGGAAGTTTCCCCCGATGGTCATTCCACGTTTACCGCCGCACCTTTTGCAGCCATACAGCGCTCCGAGACTTGCGACAGCGCGCAGGCTTCCGTTTTCTACCCCAAGGTCAACTTAAACTTACTTACTCAAAGGACCTGGAAGTAAAAGGCTAACCTTTTGGGACCTTTACCAAACATGGACAAAATCCGGGAAACCAAAAGGTCAAAAGGTCGGCTTTGGGCAACTGAGTAAGCCCGGGGGGGTCCCTTTTGGGGAAATCAACCCCAGGGTTGAAGTCGTCTTTTCAAAAAACAAAACAAAAAAAAAACGGAACCCCGGCGCGGGAAGATTTCTCCCGCCTTGAGCGCCTTCTCCGCCGCGGCGGCGTGCTGCAGCGCCGGCTGCGAGGCCTCGTTCCGAAGAAACTGCCGGCGACTCTTATAAGTCTAACTGGGTTTGGTGGCTGTGACACGTACCATGTGAGACTTTTCGCTTGGGTTTCACTGGGGGACACAATTCTGTGGATGGACCCGTGGACTTTTTGGTTGTTCGATGACTATAGAAGTTAGGAAAGGTAGCGGAAGCACCTAACAAAAATGGCCCTGGTGGAACTTGACGGGGATACTGTGGAGGGTTGTGAAATCCGCTTCTCGCACCGAGAAACAAAGAAGGAGAAAACAAAACAAAAAAACGGAATGATGCGATTCCGTAACAACTACCAATAACAATGGATTCAGATGGGTGGCTCAAAATACGGTCGGTTGCGAAATTCCCCATGTTGCACCGAGGAGAATCCCAGCGGAATGAAAGGATTCCTCTGTTACCCACAAACGTTTTGGTTTCACCGTCACGGTTTCTTAGGTGCGAAACGGATTTCGTCCATCCGCAGTAGGGGCCCAAAAATAGGTTGCCCTGCTAAATGGAGAAGTAGACAAAGACCTACGGTTGGCTCTCAAATTTGGAGCTAACCCTTTTGAGGCTGGTTACAGGGATCACAAGGCCTTAATTACCCGCTTTGCAAGTCCCCCCCCCAGCTTGTTTGAGGTTCAACCGGGACCCCAGAAACTTTGGAGAGTCCACCAGTTGTGACATAACTCATATTCGGCTTTCACTCCGAGTTAAAGCTTGTTCTTACCGAGTTTGCTTGTCATGCTGGGTGAACATGCAAATACCTCCATGGAACATTCGCTTTGAGGATCCATTTCCAAACTCGGAAGAAGTTGGGCCAGCGCATCTCTCAAAACCGCCGGGGTGCAAATGTGGCCATCAAATTTGGTCAAACTGCCACACCAATAGGGGGGCTCAAAAGGGCCAGTTACCACTATAGTACCCCCTACTCCAAATGCCATCTTTATTAGGGTATTTTTTGAAAAGCTGGCTTTGCATAGTAACTACCACCCTTTTCAGTAAAGGGTCGACATCATCCCCTGAAAAAAGAAGGTATATATTTGGTGTAGGGGGTAACTAGGTTCCATGATGATTTCCTCTCGTTACCTACTATGGTGATATCTGGAACATTCTGGAACCGGCACCAAAACTTCCAACCAAAAAGTTGCTACCCTTCCTCTCGCTAACATACTGCGGATCGACGAAATCCTGCACCACTTTCAAACCATGGGAAACCATTGTTTGGTATTTGCAAGGGGAATAGACGGTGCAGGATTGCGTCCATCCACAGCCTGTGGGAGGGTACCTGAAAGATCAATTTTCTCTTGGGGGGAGCATTTCCTGTCAGAACGTGGCCAGGGTTCAAAACCAATGGTGCCATTTGGGATAGGTGAATTCACCACCCATTTTAGAACCTATTTTTGTGGCTGGATTGAATCGGATGTTCACTGGGGGCTAACCGATTTGGGTTTTGACTCATGGCCACGTTGGAGAGAGGGGTAGATCCGGAACTCGATCCGCGCAACTCTTCAATAAACCACAACAAGCAACCATGGATTGTGGATTCCCAACAACAACCACTAAAACAACAACGACCACACTAACAACCACAATAACCACTAAAATGTTTCCCAACCACAACCATGGCTCCCGCGCCAATCCCCCCCCGCGCCTTCTTGGCCAAATCCGCCTTGGCCAGGATGAGGTTGGAGGGCGCCGCAACCTCCAAACGACTCCGACTCCGCTCGCATCGCATGGGCCATGGGCCATGGGTCGCAGGCGGATTTGGGTCAAGAATGCGAAGCTCGTAGCTGGCCTCCTGGGGGTTCCCTTTCTGGGCAAAAAAAGTGCGGATTCGCAGTCGGCCATGGGACAAAAATGCGAATTCGCAGAATCCCGGGTAGACCCTGGGCTGCCCTCGGATTCCTCGCTAAGAGTTTTTAAATTCTAGTGGCTTAAATGGAAACTACCAAACACTAGAAAGCTAAAAGGCTACCCGCTAAGTGATGGGTTAAAGGGAAGCAACCCCCATTTTCTGACTTTGACAACCAAAAGAAACGGTAAGTGGTTGATTGTACTACTACTTCACACACAAAAAACAAAAACACACTGATTCCCTGCTTGCCTCAACCTCAGGTTCCTTAAAGACCGCATGAGAACAAAGAACATATTTGCCTTCTGGCAATCTCTCCTCCTGAAACTTTTCTGTTTGCCACTATTTTAGGGGTACCTTCCATTTCCATTCTTTCCAAAAATTATTCTTTCCAGAAAACCTCCAAACACCCAGGGAAAACGGATCCGGTTTTTTAAAAAGAAGGATGGTTGGAAAGAATGGACAAGGAATCAACCCCTAGAAGTAACACAAACTTCCCCAACACTAAGTGCAGTTCAGCGACTCAAGGGCTGAGACATGGGGAACTCCCAACGGGACCTTCCTGGCTGAGCTGGTGTTGGGTCGCTTTTTCTTCGCCGGATGCGGAGTCGACACAGGCTTCAAAGTGGGTTTGTGGAGGAAGGACGGAAGCAACGATAAGCGACACACGAAAAGAGGGAGGGGCCGGGCCCCTTTGACCGCACGCTGGCCGTTTTTGAGAGACCGGCATCAACTCTTGGACGTTTTTTGGGGGACGGACACAGCTCCGGCTTCGGGTCCAAGCCGAAACGCCATTCGCCTTCGTCTCCAGCTCCTTCTTGCCCTCTCGCTGCACCACTCGCTCAGCTTCCTAGGGCCGTAAAATGAAAGTTGAGATGAGGGAACCCAAAACTGTGCGGTTGTACATGTAAGCAATCCTTCCCAGCAGTTTCTGAAAAGAAAGAACGGAAGCAGCTCGTCTACACATCAGAAGGAAGCTCGGCAAATGCTTGGAGTGTGGGAATTGTCGGAAGCGAGGCCACGACTGGATCTAACAAGTCTGTGGGAATCCTTTCAAAGGGACTGTCTGGTTCCATGACAACCGTTCCATTCGCTTAAGTCCCCTGAAAAAAACAAAAAACAAAAACACATATTCCCAAGTCATAGATCCCAACTAAAACAACCACCGGGGAAATGTAATTTCAGCCGAATGGAAGGCACCTACGTGCCGTTGAGTCGTCGGCACAACACGCGCACTCTCTGCGCGCGCGTCACTCCTGCACCAGCGCTGCCGCGTTCTCCGTCTTGCCCTCCGCCACTTGCTCTTCCGCGGCCTCGGAAGGGACTCGGAAACGACGGACTGGCGGGATTGGAGATCAACCAAGTTAGAATCAAAACAATGGTTGCTGTTGACCCCAACTTGTTTTTGACCACTCAAAGTGAATAACTAAAACCCAAGCGCCGATGAAGTCCGAGTCTCGGAACTCGGGAAGTGAGAAACTCACAGCCAACCCTTGCCCAACCATTCCTAGGTCCTCCAATAAAGAGGTTGCAATAAGGGTACAGTTTCCTTTTTCGGTAGTCTATTTTAGTAGGGGAACCTCCCCAAAAAAAGTTGGTAAAAGGACACTACTGGGGCACCTAGTGGTAGCAAAATGGTTAAGCCAGAACCATGTTTCAAGAATTGGAAAGGCCTTGAAATTCGCACCCACGGCTGGACTTGCGTCTTTCTAGCAGTGGAGTGGCCCCAAAAAACCAGGGTCGCCGGAGTCCCACTAAAGTTGCTCAATCGACTGGTGTCATTGTCACTGTCAGTCCCAAAAGAGGAACCGGAGCGATCCCTGAACAAGGTCCACCCGGAGTCTCCGTCTGACCCTTGAAAACTGGGGCATGACTCATGACCCCGGAAAATGGGCTCATGACTCATGACTGGGGTCATGACTCATGACCCCTTAATTTTGGTTAACCACCCAATTTTCAAGGGTCAGAAGGAGACTCCAGGAACACTCTTGCTTTGCGCTTAATTTTGTTTCTTAACAAATGCACATGTATGAACTCGGGGAGTGAGTCGAGATGGGTTTCCTTACCCCGAAGAAAATCCGTGCCTTTTGACCCCTCCGCAAAAAAGTGAATGACTTCTTGTGGGTTTAATAGAAAACCCAACAGAAATCAACCAAGAAGCTAAAGTCTAAAGATCCAATCCAATAGCAATCAAGACATGGAGATACCCAAGCAACACAAGGATAACCAATTTGACTTGGGACTCTTCACAATTCCTATAGTTGGAATGGGGTCTCCCATAGGGGCCGATTCCCCAATCCCAGATGCTAATGACTAAGGTCTAGGGGCCAACAGGGTTCCTGTCTGGGTCCATGCGAACAATGTATGTACTCTTGGTGGGGCTAACAGACCTTTGCCGGCGACTCTGTTGCAAGCTTTGGATGGCAGCCACTGTGAACCTTGCAGCAAGTATCAAATGTGCTTCTAAGAACTTTAGATCAATCCAGAGGACCGAACCAATCGGTTGTTCTCTTTTTGGTCAGGCTCCAGAAAAATACTAAAATCACATTAGTCGCTAATCCACTGGAGGTACCTGGACCCTCAGAATTCCCTTACAAATTGGTCGTTACCCCCAAAATTATCCGGTGCTTTTTTTTTATCCCCCCTACCATAAGGGGGAGGGGGGTGGGGGGTCCCCGAATTCCGTTTTGTTGGTCTTCCCCACAAAAGGGAAAATGGAACTACAAATGCTGCAATTCCAGGGGTCACCCCCCTCCCCCCATTCCATTGTTAAGGGGATGGGGATTTTGTTTTGGGTGGTTTCAGGGTCCAGGTGCCCCGTTTTGCCCTGGCGGTTTAGGGACCATCGACCACTTGGCCATCCGCCTTCAACAGCACGGCCAGCTCGCCCTCGGGGACGCCGATCTCACGAAACGTCAGCCTCGCGCGCGCGCGCGGACGAGTGCAAGAACGGCGGCCCAGCGGGTTCCTAGGAGAAAGATGGAATAAGAGGAGTCCAATGTCTATTGATCTTCAACATACACCCGTGGATTGGACACCTGAAAAGGAAGTTACTGAAACTAAGCCCAAGTAAACCAACATAAACAGGTTTAAACATGGAGTGATTCCCCAAAGGGCGCCCTGCCCTGATAGGATGCTTGAACAAACATCTTGACACATTACCCACGGCTTCCAGAAAGCCGCTAGGGTTCGTAAGGATCTGTACAAACATCTCTAGGCTTCATCCCTGTGTGAAAACAATGTGTAAGTTGTAGTCCGTTTTGATGGGATCTGTGAGTACACTGACAACATATCCAGTGCTTCCAGCTAAAACTATAGTAGGTAATCAGGGGAAACAATCGTGTAACACTTAGAGGTAAGGATCCCTTACCAGTATAGTGGGAACTGGAAGCACTGGGATAGCTTGAGCTGGCAACAGAGCTCAGAGATTGTGCATTCTTACTTGAGCTCGAAGGAAACGCAAGATAAAAGTGTGGCACCATGAATGCCAGTGCATCCTAGTTACCGCTGTAGTTGATTGACTATTTATTTCTGGGTCCCTTAGGCAAATGAGATTCTCAAAGGCTGAATGTTTACGCCCACATATGAACCCCTGGTATAAAGCCCTATTTTATGGGATAATTGACCGTCAGTTATGGCCTAATTTATGGGAAATCAGCCCCCAAAGTCCCTATTCGCAGTGATTCCATTTCCCTTTGTACTGAACCAAGGGCGAGCGCCACCCGATTTAAAAAGTAAAGCGACAATTTGGCGCCATGACTAAAAATGGACCAACATAGGAAAACCAAGAGGTCAAAAGGTCGGCTTTGAGCAAGTGAGTAGAGAATACGGGGTTGCCCTCAGATCCACTGCTAAAAGTTTAACCTTTAAGTGGGTTGAATAGAAACTACCACTAAACACTAAAAAGCTAAACGGCTAAGGAACCGGATGGCTGGGAGCCACCAAGAATCGGCACCCCTGAATTCTTCTTCACCATCCCCACAGGCTGTGCCCTCACGGGCTCCACTGAGACCTCCGGCAAGGTCTCGCGCAAAGGTCTCAAGGCCGCATCCCGGCGAGCGGACTCCTTCGACCCCGAAAGCAGCAGGTGAGCGCTTTCGATTTGGGGCCACCCCCGAAATGGGGATACTTCCTTGTACCTGGAGTCTCCTTCTGACCCTTAGAAAACCCATTTCTTTATTTTGAGTAACGACCCTATTTTGAAGTGTCATGGAGACTCTAGGTAGCTTCCCTTCAACAAATCACCAACTCAAGGTTACTTGACACAACCCTTGGGTATCCTCAAAGGGACACATATGATGCTGCGAACGACCACTACCTCAGCTTTTGCGCCGCGTAATGATACATATCAGATTATGGTCCATATTTGTCGAACCTTAAAATGTAAAATTGTCTAACGAGAGATGCAGGCGTAAGGGGGGGCATAAAGGAAAACCTGACATTTGAGACACAAAAACAGCAGCATTGCTTGGGTTGCCTTGCAGCCGGCCCCCCCAAAAATAAACAAATAAATAAGAAACAAAACAAACAAAACAGAACACAACAAACAAAACTTGCAAGGTGCCGCTACGCTGTGTGGCTTTTGATTGGTTGGGTTACGTGTTCACCCCTCTTTTTGGAAGCACACATCCAACCCGCAACATTTACGAAGAGGTCGATATGGCACGGCACTTACTAAACATGTACACTGAGGTTTTGGACGCCGCTCAGCTGAATCAAAGCTATCTTGATTGTTGTTCATGCGAGATGTGTTGTCTTTATCTTCAGGTTTCCCACGTCCCTAGTTGAGCAAACTGGCCTATGGACGGACAAAGCAGAAGGAAATTTGGGTTGTCCGGTTGGTTTACAATAAAATTTAAGTTCTCCCCCCATGTCCTCTCCAAACCGACACTAGACTCCAATGAGGTTGTCTGTGAGTCATATCATGCTTGTTGGCTTTTCTTCAAGAGGAGCCCACGCCCGAATCACAACGGACGATTCCACTGACTTCTGAATTCATGAAGCCAATTTTACATAGCTTTCTTCCCGGCAATAAAAACAAACCAACCACAGACATCGGTGTGTTAAAGCCTCTCGAACGTGTGGGGGGAAAAAGGGCACCAACCGACTCGAGGAGAAAAAAAATCCCGCGTTCGCCTCTCATGAAACTCATGGGGGAGGAAAGCAGATCTGACGCGGCCGCTTTCAAGGGACCCGTCTTTTTTCTGCATCAACAAAGGCATACCAGAGAAAGAAAAAAACGCAGACAGCTAGAAACACAGGACCGAAAAAAACAAAGACGAGGGGAAGAAAAGAAGAAAACAGGCAAGAAGAAGGACAGACAAAAAACGGAAACAGGCAGGCAGGCAGGCAGGCAGGCAGGCAGAAAGATGGAACAGACAAACAGAACAAACACAACAACGATACGATCTAGAAGAGACGGCTCAAACGCAAGCAATAATTGAATCACACCGAAGGAAGCACACCAACTAGATAATTCTATGAAATAGCTTCAAATAAACCAGAAACTGAGCAAGTACAATCAACCTGGACTGGGTGAGACAAAGATTTCGTCTGCATATGGATCCTCAGGGCTCAGGATCTTCGCGGGGCCCGGCTTGCCCTTGAAGTTCGTGACATCGCGCAGGGCCCCGACACCTCCGTGCGCGAAGTGCGAGGTGCGAGGCGCGCAACCGAAATCTCACAACCCGCTTCGGTACCACAAGAGTTGCTGGTCTAGGTCCTTCAGTTTTGGAGGTTAGAATAAGTTGGTACGGTTTCTTTTTTTGATTTTGTCGATTTTAGGGGAAGAAAGGGTAAAAGGGCACTACCGGGGGACCTAGTGGTTCTCCGCAGGGAAGGAGAAATGGAATGAAGCCGAAATCAACCATCCAATTGCCCAAAAACCATGGAGCTTTGGTACCACGATACTTGCGGGTTCTTAGCACGGAATGAGATCCAACTGGTGGCTTCCCTTCAGGGACTCTCAGGGTCATGTTATTCTTTGCTGAGCACCAGCAAGGATGGGATGGAGGGATTGGCAAAAAAAATGGGGATCCTCAAAATGGGAGTTTCTTTGGGGGCCCCTTGTTCTTTAGGTTTCCCTGGAGAAATCCTAACCAAACAGAAGGTACTCAAAGAGGGAAGAAACCGCTGCAAAAACCATCCGCCAGGAATGCGTGAACCCGTGAACCCGCCAACAGTAAAGTTCCATCTTTAAACGACCATTCGGGCCTTTTCAAAAGACCTTGCTTGAAACGGTATGACTGGTACGCCTTTGATTCCATAGAAACGCCACAAAAATCATCCGCCTGGAAATGTGATCCGTGAACCCGCCAGCATTCAAGTTCAAGGCCCAACTTTTCCGGACGGCCCCCGGCCAAAACAGGATCCGATGCCAAGCCGCCGAGCTCCTTGAAAAGGCCCACCGCTTGCTTGGCCAGCGGGGTGGCATCTGAGAGCCCGTCTTCCTGCTGACGGATCTGCCCGAAACACGAAGCTGGCTCGATCGGTTGTAAACATTTGTATATGGCTTACCATGACACAAAAACCAGGTGGTGTGCTACCTATCCCACACATTCGCAAGCGAGATCGAAGGTTCCCCAAAGAGTGACCCCGAGCCACCTACTAAACTGTGTTGGTCGCTGCTTGCTTTTTGCTGGTTATAATGAACATGAGGGAACCCAAAAGGATCTTTGCGGGCAAACAGGTTTATTCAGTCTGTCTTGAGGGCAATCTCCGAGAATGATCTGCTTCTTGTTTGGGCAAGGGGTCTGAAGCAAATACTTGCCGCTCCCAAACCACTGCCCAATGTTCGAACGTGCACAAAGTTCAGATTTCTTAGATTGGGCCTCTAAGAAGTCAAAACATTGCACACATTGTCTGTTGATCATGAAGGTACTTTTGGTTTAATCGTACCCCGAAACCCCATTTACTTATGTGAACGGCACCAGAGATCTTCGGGGCAAATGCTTTCGACGCAGCTTTTCCATTTGGGTCTGTCTTTCTCTTTAAGCGACCCCTAAAATTGTGGTTATCCTTGTGGCTTCCGTTTAAAACCAAACACAAAAAAACTGAGGCATCCTCAAAAAAAGGACTCACGCCAGTGTCTCTAAAGGCTCGCGGTACCCCCAGTGACATGCCGAGCAAATCACCGCCAAAGCTGCATCGAGGTGCCTGCTCCAGGTATGCGCGCGCCAGCGCGATAAGAGCCGCAGCCTTCTCCTGCCAGGGCTGCGCAATCGCTTGCGACCAAGGCAGACACAAAGTTTGCCTGGACCCTCAAACTACCCATGCAAAAGGGGAATTCACCAATTGCATCATTTTGGGGCAAAAGTAAGTTGGAATTATGATGGTCCAGGCACTCGTTTTGAGGGTTGGATTGTGTCCAGGACAAGCACCATGTGAGTTTTGCTATTCTCAGACCGACCCAAAGTCGGTGGTTTGAATGGCTGGGGTGCCAAGACCCCATGCTTCCATCCGTCGGCTCGATGTTCGGCTTCCCACTCGGTTTGGAGCTCGGTTCACTAGTTGGGCGCTGGTTTCCCATTTACCCACAAGAACCCACGGTTCAAATCCAAACTCAAACCACCAATCCAAATTTCTTAAATCACCAATTAAGGGATACCTGATAGGTAGAACACGGGGCCATTTGCTTTGGCAACTTAGCGGCTGTGGCTCTTAGGAAACGGGGTTAGCAGGGTTCATGATTCATTGCCCTCAGGCTGGGTGTCTTTCTCCTTGAAGGGGTACGGGCCTTGTGGTTGGGTTGCTCTTGACCCAGGTTTAATGCGGCTGTGTCTTTAAAGCAGGCCCCAAAGTCCATCGCAAGCATGCAAGCCGGAAATAATTTTCGATGGTGAGCCTTGATGGCAAGTCAAAAGAAGAAAAGGCGTTGTGGTTTGCCACGGGCATGGCTTTCCCAAAAGTCTAAGGTCCAAAAAGTCTGGTAGTCTTACGCCAAATCAAGGCCTGCCCCACTTGATGGCTATAGCGAGCGTGTAACTTGTTGCAGGTGAGAAATAATCGACTTAAAGATCAGCCCAATAATTCAATAGTTGCTTCCACATAAATGCGCCCCGCCCCATTATTATTATATAAATATATTGACGAGACTGAAACATAGTTATTTCCTAGGGTCCATTTCTGCCCCGGGGGGTTCTACAGTCCTCGTCCAACCCCAAACCTTTCCGGGCTCAACAATCGTTCAAAATGGCAATGTGCGAGTAAGGAATTCAAGCAGCAGAAATCTAAGTTATTGTTTGGATTTGCGCTGGATTCGAATCGGATTTAGATTTGGTCTAGACTGTGTTGGTTCTAAAATGATTTCACGTAATGAGACTGGAGTTGGGGTCGGCGGGACATTTGCTCGCTTAGAATTGGTTTAGTATTGGCTGTGCAATATCATCCAAGTTTTGTATTCGGAGATTTGGAGTCTGGGAAAACATACTCATATTCATAGAGTGCAGTTATTGTCAGGGCGTTGGCATTCATGGTTGTTTCTCAAAATTGGACTTGCTTTTTCAACATAGCAAGGCTTTTCCTTTGGTTTCTCATAAAAAAACTAGTTAAACCTGGGAAACAGAGGACACCGACAAGACAAAGAAATACACAAATGCAAGCCGATTGCAGTGACTGGCCAAAATGAGTCCAGAAACTGGTCGTGTACCACTAAACTGGTCTTTCTCCCAAAAAACCAACTGATGAAGTCCTGGCAGTGGAGTTCAGGACACTCCAGTGAGGTATAAAGACCGCCAGGTTCTTGGAACCCCCCGGGCGTCGCTCGCTTCGCGCGAGTTGCGCGATTCGCGAGTTGCGCGGCTCGGGTCCTGCGATGTGCCGTAGGAGGCCGCCGTCAGGCCACTCTCCAGCTCGCCCACCCCTGCCTGGCCCTGCGAAAGGGTTCCAATTGAAAGCGGGGCAAAGGGGGGGATACCCAGACCTCAGTGTGAGGGGGGGTGGGGTGGGGTGGGAGGTATGGCCTCCCTTCCACTAACATGGCAGCTGGGGGAGCCTACCCGGAAGATCGATTGATCGATTTCCTCTTGAAGGGGTCTCCTATCACGTGACATGTGAATAAAAGGGAGGGATAGGCAGACCCTTCAAGTCTAGTGAGGTGGGGGTGGGTTGGGGTGAGATTCCATGAACAAGTTCCAAGGAAACCCCCCTGCAAGAAAGAAGAAGTAAGGGCACCGCTGGAGGTCTGGGTGGCTTTCTCTGCTAAGAGCTGGAACCATCTCAAGAGTGGTTGATGTTCGAAGGGCACCCCTATTAACATGCACACACACTATTCTCATCTCTACTCTTGGTATGGTAGCAAAACACTTGTTTTTTGCAGACCCCCAGTAAAAATGAACAGAACCAAAACACTAAAAAAACTAAAAACATGCCAAGAACAGTGAAGATTCTATTTGGCTTATGAGGGAAGGTCCAAACCGGGGGTCCAGTTTGAATTTCCCTTAAGCTCGATCTAAGCCTTTTGGGCCAAGTCTGCTTTTGATCTGCAGTGCTTGAAGGGGAAACATCGGACGCCCAGAAACATGGAGGCTAGAATGAAGGTTCTATTCTTTAGCGGACAAATCGGGGCAGCGATTGGGGGGAGGGAGTCGCAAGCTGCGCGTGCTGCCGACGGCTACGCGGAAGTTGACTGTTCCTTGCCTGAACTCTTGCTTGTGAAAATAATATGACTCAAGCAAGAAACATGCTCTGGTTTTACAGAAAGGGAGACATTGGAAAGGAAACCCCGTGTCCACGGAAACAATGCCAGACTGAGATGTGAGCTATCTCATACGCGAGCGGGTGGGGGCTTTAACAGTAAGTACTTCTCGGGACAGAAGAAATCGCCATGTTTCCCACATAGGAAACTTGGGTTGGTCCCTCTGGCTTTTGTGGGTACTGTGGATGGTTACCCTCATGTCCACTCTACACAGTAGACCAGTTGCCAACAACAATATATTGTCATGACATTTTGTATATGAGTTACTACTCGCTGTCCAAAAAACTTGGAAATTGACAGGAGGGTTTTGGACCTCCACTTCCGTGTTTGCTGGACAGAGGGTCAGAGGGCAATACTGGCACTGGTTTACCATCAAAGTCACCAAGTGGTGGCCACAACAACCCTTGCTGACTTTGATCACCCCCAAACCCAGTCAAACTTGGTCAAGACTTCGAGCGACAAGCCTTGGGCAATGCTGCCGCAGCCAAGGTCTTCCTTGGCATCCGGCAGCAAGCACAGGATAAGAAATCACTGCCTAGAGGCTGCATGACCCGAATCAAAAATAGTCCATGATATTTTTTTAATTTTGGGTGACCATATTTTTCAAGGCTCAGAAGGAGACTCCAGGTGGATAAGAAGTTGAGGGCCTGAGATTTGCGCACCAGGTAGGTTGCAACTGCTTCTGCTAAGAAGTTGAGCCCCTTTGAATTTGCCCAACCAACTTCTTCACAAACTTGTCCGACAAATGCATGCAGCCGAAGAGGCCGCTAAGAAATTGAGGGCGCTGAGACATTGAGGCCTGCATTTCTTAGCGAAAAGGCCTATCCAACGAAAAGGCCGCTAAGAAATTAAGTCCTGATTTTCTCAGCGACAAGGCCCGTCAATGGAAAGGCTCATTTTCTTCGCAAAGAGGCCTGTCAAAGAAAGCGCAAAAATACAGCCTGCCAACTCAAACAAGGTTCAGAAGTTGTTCAGAAATCTACCCCCCCCCTTCCTGACTCGGGAGTGGTATATACTCGCCCTGATAAACACACACTGGACGCTAAGTGACGGAAGCAGAGCCTCTAGCTTTCCGCATTCTTGCCATGGCTTGTTATGGTTGGTTTACTTTCACTGCAGAGAGAGGCTCCTAAAACCTGGGGCTTTCAATGGAACACCCGACTCCATTAGACACCCCGGAGGTGGTTGGGGGTCTCAAAACCAGGTTGTTTGAAGGCCCTAAATCGATCGGGAGCCTCTGGGTACGGGAATCTCCCTGTAACTAGAGTTCCTCCCTTCCCTGATGTTGGACAGCCGCCAGTAGCCCGACCAAAAGCCGAGCAGCGCTTGCGTCAGCACTGCTTCGGCCTGACCCCAGATCTCCATGGCACGCCCAGCCCCGCCGAAAAAACCCTCCGTACGCCGAAATCGACCCTACGCCTCGAATGGCTGCGGAACATTCGGCCAGTGCCAGGCCGAATCGGCCGGGAACAAAAACTCACATCCCAGGCTCAGTTGCAAAGGACCCAAGCAAAGGTTGGCCTTTTGGAACCTTGACAACAAATGGGGCAACTCAAGGAAAGTCCAGTAACTGGGAAAGTGAGTGCACCACACACTCTTTCAAATTTTGTTTTGCATGAACCAAGTCCTTCTCGCAATTCCAGTGTCCCAGTGTTCTAGTGTTCCAGCCTTGGAGTTCTTGTGTTGCAGTGCAGTGTTCCAGTGTTCCAGTGTTTTCCATAAAAGGCGAGCCCCGACCTTTCCACTTTGAAGGGTCAGGATTGATGCGATTCGGAGCCTCCAGCTGATCCCCAGATTCTATCGGGGAAACCGAGGGGGGCCCCAAAAGTGTAGAGAATATTGCAAGACTTGACCCATTTGGAGAGTAAAGCATACATGGAGCCTTCTGGTAGATTCCCCTCGGAGATTCCTACGTTAGCATCTCCCACAAAGGGCCGCTGCGATAACTGATATATATATATATATATATATATATACATATACGGCATATATGGCCGGAGAGAAACAAACTTAGAAGGAAACCTAGGGCCCCACCCGCAAGGAATGGTTCTTTAACATCGAACCTATCTGGGGGGGGCAGAGGGCGTCTCGCCTTACTGGAACACAAACAGACATCTAATTCATCCAAAGGACCGAACATAAACACAAACACCTCATGCATTGGGAACCCAACCAAAAAGGAGTATCTTCAAACAAAAAGGCTGGATGTTCCATTCACTATGCTTTGCACGCACTGAGCTTCGCTGCAAAAGCGCTTGAAATAAAGTGGCTGACCCTTTTACAGGGCTGTTCAATGCAGTCCAATCCGATTTTCCATCATACCTATTAGACAGCCACAAAGCGGACCAGATCCTTGCGCAAGCCAAGGTAAGGATTGAGGATCGCCTTTGAACAAACAAGTTTGAGGGATTGGACTCACTGGACCTTTTGGGTCCGATCCGGTGCCGGATGTTTCTCCGAAACTGTCCAGGTACCCCAAAATGCCATAGACCCTGGAAAAAAAAGACTTTTTGCTTAGGGAGAATGAAGGACACCAACAAGGCAAAGGGTGCAGGTAAGTTCAGTGCGGCAACTTGGATTATCAAATGGGGGATCAGGAGACCCTCGATCACGTGAGGGTTTTCGAATTCATGCCATTGGAAGGTATGCTTGGAAGGTCCTTTTAACTGGTGTGTGCTGAAACGGCGACTCTCCATGTTGTTTTTGGGGTTTCCATGTAAAGCTCACTTCAGTGGATGGGCCAACAAGTCCAAACGTATTGCCACTGAAATGGTTCAATCCAAGTTTCAAGTCCCCAACCTGGGCTGCCCGATTTCCGATCCCCCGCTAAAAGTGAACAACTTGTGGGTCAAATTCGGAAACCGCCACTAAACACTAAAAAGCTAAAGGCTAAGGAACCGGATGGCCTCCACAAGCCACCAAGAAACTCCAGCGAGAATCTGGATTGTTTCCTCCAAAAGACGGGAAAGGAAGCCTCCAAAAGCCACCAAGACACTCAGGAACCGAGAATCTGGAGTTTTTCCTAAAGACGGGAAAGGAAGCAAGCCACTGAGCCACTGTGGTCCGGGAGAGGCCCTCACAAGCTGCCTGACCCATCTCTAAGTCTGGGGCTCAGAAGCCTCACGCCGCTGTGGGCCCGGGGATTTTTGTACCTGCGATCCGGGGGCATTGGGCCAAGTGCAAAAGACAGGCTCTGGCAGTTGTTTTTTCCCCCCGCTGGCAGAAAACTAGGAATCCGGGGAAATAGGCGTGGCTTTGCCCTTAAGGGTAAGCTTTGTCAGCTTGTGTTGGGAAACCAAAGATTAGCTGCCCAGTTTGCAAGTTCATTTGAAGACACAGCCAACTTATTTTTATTCATACATCGGAGAACAAAACGAACAAACGGAATCTGTCTCAGTAAGGGACCTCTGTCATGGGCCTTGCCCAGATGACCAAAGGAAATTGAAGGCGAACACCTAACATTTGGCACGGTGAAAACCCAAGAGGTGAGATCAAAAGGTCGAATCGCAAAGTACAGGATGGATGCGGGTCAGGAATTCCCAACTAAAGAGTCACCACTTGGTGCTTTCTGCTCCCCCGCAAAAAGCTTAACTTTTAGTGGTTTAATGGAAAACCCATTCGTTGGAAAAAAGTTAAAGTCGTAACATCCAGGCAAAATGACACAAAGACCATTGGACGAAACTGATCCAAGATGTTTTTGCCCAGGTACTACAAGTGACTTGTCGAACCAAGCGTCACTGATCGAACAATTCTTGCCCAGGTACTACCGAGTTGGGGTGGAACCTGCAACAACCATCCCACCAAACCCATCTTTGAGGCTGATCCCATGTTTCAAGACAGCCACCAAAAACAGACAAGAAGGGGGGCGCTCAACTGGAGTGTGCTCTTGGGCCAACAAACGGTGACCCTGTATGAAACTCCTGAGCGGCAACCTTCAAACAAGGTCATTGGACCCTGAACGAAAAAGCCACCTCTGGCAGCCAACGCCAGCTAGCGACTATGGGAGCCCTGGACGTGTCACCAGAACCTATGGCGCAGCTCTTGGCATCTGGAGCTAGAAGGTAAAAAACTTTGAACGAGCCTGAAACAAGCAGGTTTACAACTCGCTGGTGATTTGATCCCTACATTTTGCTGGTCTCTTTGGTAAGCGGCCAAACGGTCATCCATTTCCTGCTCCTCTGCTGGTCCCTACCCTGCCAGCTACAAATGGAAAACCAATTCCTAACAGATCTTGATGGAAGATGGAAGTTTGGGAAACCAAGCGCAAATCGTAGGTTCAGGTCTGGGGCCGAGGAACCTCATCTTGCAAGACCTAGAGGCAAAGATACCTGTTTGCACGTGCTAAATGAAAGCTCAGTTTTTCAGTTGCTTAGCAGCGGGATGGCCCACAAAGAAGCCCAACAGGTCAGGTCATAAGGTCGATTCAACAGCCAACTGCCGGCAGCAGAACACGCCTACGGACAAATTCGCTTTGGACCGACCCGAAGCTGGGTTGGGACTGTCTCTTACGAACCTTCATTTCCTAGGAAAAGAAACACACTCCCTCGACCTATATGTATATATTTATATATGTGAATTGCGGCTCAAAGCAAATTCAAAGCCATGGCAAGGGGAGCCATTGCAGCCAATAACAGTGACGATGAGTAACTACTAGTGACAACATATTGGGGTGAATCAAAAGTATGGGCTTGTCTCAACAGTATGGGAAACCCAAAATGGATGGTTTCCCTCTAAGTACACCCTAACAAAGGTTGCCCTCCAAAAAGACGCACCAATCAACTGGGGGCCCTTTGGTGGACATCAGAATTCTGTGGGGATTCACGTGCACCAACCACTTAGGTGGTGCTTCATTACTCTCATGGCCGTATGGGTTTGTGTCAAAATAGGGGAACCCCAAATTTGTTGGTGTCCTTTTGGTTCCCCCTTAAAACAACCCAACAAAAAGGCTTCCGCGTTTTCAAAGACACCGCAAAATTGGGGCCCCTATAGCGTCCCTGTCTGCCAAAAAACGGCCTTCCTAACAACAGACGCACCCAAAGAGAAGACACACTTGGAGTCTCCATGACCCTTTAAAATGGAGTCAATACCAAGAAATAATTGGTTATAGCCCTTTTTCTTGGGGTCATGGAGACTCTAGGCACCCGTCTTGGAGCAGCTGCGGGCACCGGAGGAAAAAAACACGGGGCACTCGCCGCAATGGAAGTCCACTTTGCTGCAGCAGTTCACGCCTCGCAACTGGTCTCAAGTCTGGACCTGACCGAACTGCCCGTGGAAAAATGGGGCAAGTCACCCCATGAAACCTATAACGGAGTTGTTAGGGTCCAGGAACACCGGAGAAGGCCATCGCTTTCGCATCAGATTGGGGCAATGTCCCAGTTTTAAAGGAATTTTGAGGGTTCAGGTACAACAATAGTCAATAGTGGGAGATAGATACAAGTTTGAGCAACAACCCAACTTGTAAACATACTTTTTAGCGTCCAGGAGAATTCCATCGCTTTCGCATGGCTTTGCAGGCTGACGAGTATCGTCTTCCGGGAATATGTTTCCCAGGTATCGGTCTTGGGCCTTTTCAACATATTTTGTCAGCCGCCCATATGCAACCCAGTGGATCCATTTACCTGTATAGTAGCACGTAGGTGCTCAAGGGAACCACCCATTCGAAACTAAAAAAGACAACGGCTCCTATAGACTCGCGCAAAGCGAACTCCCGATCGGCACAGTGCTGAGAATGGTATCCCATCTTACGCCCAAGGAAGCCTTGCCGAACAGGGCACCGAGCCTCAAGACGCAGACCCCCACTCGGCGATCCAGGTCCCGGGTGATTGCCAGAAGAAGCAAAGACACCAGCAGCAAGTGCTGAACTCCAGATCGCCCTGGGGTTCAACCCATGAAAAGAATGGTTGGCCCAATTTGGCTGATGACACAATCTTTGGTGGACAATGGTGGTTCTATCGATCCCCATCGTCTTTTTTTTGCTTTCATGGAAGGCCACCATCGCCGGCATCATCATCATGTCTTACTGGTGGTTTGAACACCAGGGTTTGCTTGCCTTTCAAGAAGCCAGGGATAGCACCTCGTAGCCGGGATGAATGAAGCCGGAGCTCCAACATGGTCTCTTTCCTTGTAAAGGCTGCTTTCTCTAACCCATGTTCCTTCCGACTTTTCAGGTTAGGAATAAGGACCCCCCTCAAAGATGCCAAGAGAAGAATGTCCTGAAAAATGAGGGCTCTTGGGCCTCCAAATCAAGATTTCCAGGATACCAAAGGTGGGACTCCCCATGGGCATCTGGGTCGGAGCGAGCGGCAAGGGGATTGCAAGTGCCATCGCTCCGACTCAGAACCCCCACGTGAGACTTGATTTGACTCCGGGAGATTTGACACATGAGTTCCTGGAGTCTCCATGACCCTTAGAAAGTGGAGTCATGACCGCTAAGTTTACCAGGACCCGAGAAAAAAAAAAAAAAACTACCCTTGGAAAAGTTGGAATTAACCCGTTCCAGAGTTTGGGATGGCAACTTGGCCCATTGGCTGGGAACTTTGAGGCTTCAGGCTTTTGTGTTTTGCATACCCCGAAACCAAAAAGGACATGGGGTCCAGATCCCTTTCGCGAGCCATACCCACATAGCCTGTGTCGCTCGCTCGCTCGGATTGTTTTGTTTTTCCCCCGCTGGCTCAGGCGACGCCCATGGGGCCCGTCACGGAGAGCAACGTCAGCTCGTGGATGTTGTCAAAGCTGGTCCGTGGTAGGCCTGGCTCTCGTGACTTTCGAGGCTCGGCCTCTCTTTTGGGCCCTTCGTGGAGCGAAACCGAGGAGAAAGGTAATGTTAAGACACAGCCAGGGGGAAACAACTCCAGTCAAAGCAGAAGCAAGCGGGTGGTGCGGCTATTTTTATAGGGGTGTTTTGAAAAGGTCATCCGCTTTTCACCTGGAAATCGCAAGTCCAAGGGAAACTGTCCCTTTCAGGGTTCCTTCTTTCCAGAAATCTAGCCTTCGAAAACAGCGTTTCTTTTTCTGTAAAGAGCGCTTGAAATGGCTTGGGAATCTGGCAAACCCGATGTTCGGCTTGGATGCAACAATCTTGCAACTGGGTCGATCTTCCTGCAAAAGGTCTCTTCTCTACCTGAACCCTCAAAATTCCAACTTGAAGATGGGCTGAACCCCTTCTTTGCGGGTAGTTTGAGGATTCAGGTAACTATTTTGTGGTGTTGCTGGTAGGTAAAGGGGGTGACCAACACATTAACTTCCCTTCCTCGCCTAGTGGGCTCAGAGTGTTGAGGCTCCAGTGGCTCCGCTGCAGCGTGGGCTCGCTGCCTGCCTTACGGTGCAGCAGCGGCAGGCCTCGGATCGAAGGAGATGGAATCCACTTCTGTGATTCTAGGTCCTCCAGTAGACAGGTTAGAATCAGGGTACCCGATTCTTTTTCTGTTTTGGGGAACCCTCCCCAAAAAAAGGGCAAACGGGCACTACTGGGGGACCTAGGAGTGATGAAGCCCTTGATCCCACAACCCTGGTGCGAAACAAATCATTAAATTTGGAATCCCTAGCGGGGATAGGGCGGGGGGTAGGTGCGTGCCGGCTGGGTAGTTGGTGGCTGTCCATGTGAAGGTTTGTAGATGGTCTTTCCGGCTTTGGTGCCCCCAGTCTGGACCTTTTGGTTTCAAGCGGGGTAGGTGCATAGGGGATGGGTAGAGGCTGGGTAGCTGAGAGCCCGTTTCAGGTTTGTTAGGGTTTCTCAGGGAGTCTTTGGGAACCCCCCCTCTCCTTGAACCCGCCGCATACAAACTCCATGAAATCACTTGGCCACAAGAGTCAAAGACCCCTTGCAACAAGCGAACACGTTTAACACTGGTAAGGGAAAATGACACAAACCCAGGTCTCAGACCCCATGCAAGAAGTGAACAAATGCTTGTTACGGACTGCACGGCAAATGAAGGACACACACAAAAGGACGACAGGGCCAAAAAGCTAAGTTTGGGAATGATAAAACACAAGACACCTGCGTAGTGAGAAGGTTGTACCCACAATGGCAAGCCGGCTAAGCCCAGTCATGGTTGTCACCTACTTACTAAGCAACTCTCAGCTTCCGTGTAATTGGTGATTTGGATTGGAGTTTGGTTTGGTTCAGAGGTTGAGGGGCTTCCCTGCTACCCTCTTCAAGAACCAGGAGGCAGAGTTCAAAATCTCCAACCAACCAAGAAACAACGCAACACCCCAAACACATACAAGAAAAACATATACACAGAAACTACACACACAGTGGTGCAAAACAACAAAATGACAGAAATCACCAACACAGGAAAGAGACAGAGAACCACAGGTGACTACAGACTCACTCTAGCCACCACATATAATCCCCCTTTGATGCATATTTGTGTGGTTCTAATATGAAATAATTATCAAGGTACATATGAATGTGGAATGTCGAAAACCTATCTCTCGCAGGGTTCTCTAGCTCACTGAAGTGGAATGGCCAGAAACCGGCTGTCCCAAAAGTAAATAATCAGATCCAGTCCCTTTAAAACCAACGGGGGAAAATAACAGATATTCATTTCAGCCAGTGGAAGATTTGTGTGTTCAAAAAGGGGACTGTTTCCTCCCCAACTCACCGCTCTCGAGAAGGTCTGCAACAACTTGTTGGTGCTCCAGGTAGGGACTGTGGTTGAATGAACCGTTTGGGCATTCTCGTATAAAGGAAACCACCAGTTGGACGGCTTGTTCGGGTCATTCCATTTCTTGTTTTTTTGCCAATCGCACCAGCAAGAAAGCAAGACCTTCAGAAGGCTCAGGCGCCCTCCTCCCCTCCCTCCCTACGGAAGCTGAAGGATCGGAGGGTTTCGGAAGACGGCTTTCCTTTTGGGGAAAACCTTCACAGACTGGACCCTGGGAACCGGATGTCTCTCCTAGAACCCCGGTGCAAATGATCTTTTCACACATCCCCCCCCAAAAAAAACAAAAACCAAGGAGATTCCTCGCAAAATCACGGATTTTTTGCAAAAAAATCTGCATGGGTCTCGAAGGATCCCATCTCCCCATGCAAAAGAAGCTGCGCTCCGTCTCCAAGTCCTCTGGCTCCTCCTCCTCGAGTTGCCGAAATCTGCCATCGCTACCTTTAAAAAAGGGGGTATACTTCCATTTGGTTAAGGCCCCAGGGAAAAAGACATCCAGTAGTGATGAATTCCTTTCAAGACCACCAAGGGAAAATCAACAATAGTCTTAAGCAAATGGAAGTCAAAAACATGGAAGTGAACAAAGGCCCTTTCCAAGAGGAAAGTAGTCTTTCTATGGGGGTCCTCATCCTCATCCTCCTCATCCTCATCCTCATTCTCATCCTCATTCTCATCCTCATCCTCCTCATCATCATCCTCATCATCCGCATCCTCATCCTCATCCTCCTCCTCATAATCTTCATCTTCATCTTCATCATGATCATCATCATCATCATCATCATCATCGTCATCGTCATCGTCATCGTCGTCATCGTCATCATCATCATCATCATCATCATCATCATCATCATCATCATCATCATGATCCGCATCATCCTCATCCTCATCCTCCTCATCCCCATCATCATCAGCAGCTCATCATCCTCATCCTCATCCTCATCCTCATCCTCATCCTCATCCTCATCCTCCTCATCATCCTCATCATCCTCATCCTCATCATCCTCATCATCCTCATCCTCATCCTCCTCATCCTCATCATCCTCATCATCCTGATCATCCTCAGCATCCTCATCCTCATCCTAGTCCTCATCCTCATCCTCATCATCATCATCCTCATCCTCATCATCATCATCATCATCATCATCATCATTAGCATCATCATCCTCATCCTCATCCTCATCCTCCTCCTCCTCCTCCTCCTCCTCCTCCTCCTCCTCCTCATGCTCATCATCCTCATCCTCATCCTCATCCTCATCCTCATCCTCATCCTCATCCTCATCCTCATCCTCATCCTCATCCTCATCCTCATCATCCTCATTTTAATGATCCTCATCATCCTCATCCTCATCCTCATCCTCCTCCTCCTCCTCCTCATCCTCATCATCATCATGATCATCATCATCATCATCATCATCAACATCATCAATCATCCGCGTCCTCATCCTCATCCTCATCACCACCATCATCATCATTATCATCATCATTATCATCCTCATCCTCACCACCACCACCACCACCATCATCAGCAGTGCTATTTAATGATCTCCGATCAACCCGCCTAAACAAATGCCTGGATGGGGGGTTTGAAGACTAGCAGGTCCCCCTTTCCTTCAATGGAAGATGTCCTTTTGGTCTCACACCAACCCCAACAACATAAGCATTACACACAGAAACCCCACAGAAACCCCACAGAAACCCCACATCTGGGTGCGCCGGTTTGCGTGTTCCGAAGCACATCTCGTGGCCTCCTGTGGCTCGGGCCCCGATTTTTCGGCAAGGGGCGGGCTTAAGCTCTCGCAATCCTTTTAATGTTTGGCAGTTTTCGCCGCTTAGGCCCTCGAAAGGCTTATGAACCTCAAAAGGTACAGCTCAGAAATGGGGGGAATTTCTATAGGCCGGGTTCAATGACCTGGAGCTGGCCGTGGCCCACGAAAAAGCGGGTACAGAGCAAGTTTGTCTTCTGACTCTGGCATGTTGCAACCACAAATTTTGTCTGCCCTATACGTTTGGAGGATAATTCCCCCAGTCCCCCACTCCCAGCCCCCACCACAGCCCCCACCCCCTACCCCCGGCTCATAAGGCTGTAAGCCTTTGAGGCGGGGAACTGACCGAAGGACGGGTTTCAAAGCTTTCAGGATTCCATGATTTTCCCTTCAAACACCAAGCCAAGGTTCAACCCACCAGGCAAGTACTGGACCCTCAAAAATCTAGAAATGGGTTTTGCCTGTTGGATGGGTGGTTTGAGGGTCCAGGTAGGTTAAGGTTATGTGGTTGGCTGGTTGGCTGGCTGGCTGGCTGGCTGGCTGGCTGGTTGGTTGATTGGTTTGTTTGGCATAAGCCATGGTTACAGGAATGTTGACCCCGGAAAATTGCACTCCCGTCCTAGAAGTAGGGGCTTCCTCTTCAAAAGTGAACACCACTAAAAGCCGGATCAAAATCAGTGAGGTTCCCGTGCTTCATCCTTTGTTCACTCCTGTGACCCTAAGCCTGATCAGCTTCCGCCAACAACCGCTTTTTCAACCATGTCCAAAGCTGCAATCCAAAAAGCAGTTGGGGGGTGGGACTCCCCACCCCCTTGCCTTTGAGTCACCTCTTTGTTTCGGGTCGAAACGTCAAACGATCAAACGACTCCGCCTGTCGGTGCAGCAACAGCAGTGCGACGGTGGCTCCCAGCACCAAGACCACCCCCACCACGAAGATCACCTTTGGACATCCGCCACCGCGGCCCAAGCGTTGGTTTTTGTGGGGACGGGGGGGGGGGGAGCTGGGGGGGGGGGGGAGGTGGAAAACAAATATCTTAAGAGCTTAAGAGCTGTAAAACCACAAAAAAGAAGACGCACCAAAATTAACACAAACCAAGCTATAAAAAAACACACACGCCCTACTTACAAGTTTTTGGGACGGCCAACAAAATCATCCTGTCGGAGCCCGAGACCTTACGGGCAAGAAAGACAGCCGATTGACCCTCCCAAAGCTCCAAGTGGGACACCTCAAGAACACAGACTCCAATTCAGCCTGGGTCTGTCTAGGGGTTAATTTGAAGGGACACCAAAAGGACAAGCATTTGTTCTTTTGTGAGGGGGAGTCCCCTACAAACCAATACCGCGAAGGATGCGGCAATACGATTTCAAACTGGTCACAGAACAAAGCAAACACTCGAAATACTGGAATTTGTTGGATAACCAAGCCAAAACAACAACACACGCAAGCCAAACCACGCACAAACCATAGTTGGCGCTCCCAAGTTCAGCGGTCACTGGTCAGGGACCAACCAACAACCTCACATGGGCGTGAATTTTACCCTGGAAGTCTCTGATGGACATCATTTAGCTGAGTTTCATGTCCACCACGTAGGGTATTCCTCATGAGAAGCAACGGTTTCCTTTTGTTTTCCCCTTTAAACTCAGCCAAACGGTGGTTGACTCAAAAAAGACGCACGGTCACATTGCAACAAATAATTAATAGATTTGCCGGGGTCAGTAGGGAATGAACGACGTTCCGGGTGTTGAGAATGAACCGGAAGCAGATTCCATGAAAGGAAACCATAGGGGACTCATGCCCCGCCTCTCGAAGCAGCAACTCGCTTGCCCAAAAGACCTGGAAATCAAAGCTTCACCTTTCGGGACCTCTACTAAAAATGGACCAACATGATTGGCCAACTGGTCGTCAAGCAAAAAAAACACCCGTTGCCCGTGGGGAAACGCGCGGTCACCGCCCGATGCGTCTCCGCAACCGCAACCGAGTCGAGGGGCGATGTTATGGGCTCCCCGGAGCTCATTCAGTTCTCCGAAGGCGAGCTCGGCCTACGCGGGGGACGGGCTGCTCGCGCTGGGGTTGGGGGGGTGCCCACCAATGACTAACGGACTTGGATGCCATGGTTCGTACCCCACTCGAGTGGGCGCTAGAGGGTATGGTGTCTCTAACTGGGCCAGACGGGGATGTGACTTACTTCCCAATTGGATTGCAGTGGTGAGAAATGAGTTACTCATTCCATGCCTTGATCCATGGAGTCTGTTCGAGGTACTATCTAATTCGGGTTGAATCATGGGAAACAAAACCAATTCTGAGGCTCTGAATCCTACAAGACACCTCGACTTCGGAATGACCCATCCCTGGGTGCGGAAGTTCGAATCGACAGATTGCTCGAGAGTTGCGAACATGTCAGGCACCTGGGCCATAGGGCTTCTAAAATTTGGGATCAGGGTTCCATACAGTACCACACCCTTGAGGCGTTGTTTCAAGGGCTTGAACCCATGGTTTATCACTAGGACTTTCCTCTTTCCCCTGACACTTCATGACTCCAAAAAACGTTGGCCTTGATTGCCATTTGGGGGGTTGCTAATGCTCCTACCTGCGGCTCCCTGTCTTTGAGCGCCCAAATCCCATGGAATGGGTTCTCAATTGGAGTTCAAGACCCCAGTGTTGCACCCATTTCCGCGAGTGCTCCGTCGCCGGACTTTCTGGGCCAGGGACTCTGCTAACTTTGACCGCTCCTTTTGCGTATGGACCGGGGTCGATTTTTTTCCGAAAACTTTTTGCGCGCCTGGACCAGTGCGAAGAGCACGCCCAGGGCAAAAAAGGTGGGGATGATCGTCACAACCTCCCCAATTCCTCAGAACTGTCGCCGATCGAAGCTGACATGTGAGTTTGAAGGGACCCCTTTGGTAAAGATCATCATGGGGATTTATGTCCACCCTACCATTTGGAAGGGTGTCCCCCTTTAAACAACATGGCCATATGCAGATGTCTAGTGATTGATGAATAGAAATGTACCCCCTCCCCCCAAATTTGGGGGCGCATGGGTGCAGCCTAGAAATCCCTTCTTGTTGGGTTCGGGAACTGTTCAAAATGGCCAGCCCACAAAAAGTCCCCATTTTCTATCAGGGCCACCGAGATTCACCCCTAATTAGAGCTTATTCTGGCCTTACGTTGACTTTGGTTCTACCCGGCCCAAACGTTGCCAGCTGAGAACTAGTTCTGACAGAAACGACATGTGGCAGTCCCTGTATGTTTCCCAACCTACCAAAGGAGACTACCTGGACCCGAAAGACCCATAAATACGGGAGTTAACCTCATAATTTTGGGGCAATAGTCAATTTCTCAGGGAATTTCATGACCCAGGTCAGGAGTAAAACCACCAGAAACATATAGGGAACCCTTCTTGGGTCCATCTTCTTTCTTTTTGTAACATAAGTGTCCTTGCAACGCCCCCCCCCCCCCGGCCCCCAAAGATGGCGACGTTTCTCACCATGCAGTCCAAGACGCGGAGGCCCAAATTCATCGTGTGAATCTGTCGGCGTTTCAAAGCTCACAATGCTGACGAAAAGGCAAAGCAAGCAAGCGCTCAAACCATGGTTTGTGTCGAAATAGGGGAACCCCAAATTGGTCGGTGTCCTTTTGGTTCCCCATGAAAGCAAGCCAACAAAAAGGCTTCCCAACAAAAAAAAACACCTGGAGTCTCCGGATATGGGATCCTTCTTTCTAGAAAACCACCAAAAACCCTGGGGAAATGGATGGTTTTTAAAAAGAACGATGGCTGAAAAGAATGGAGAATCAACCCCTAGAAATATATTGTACACTGGAGAAGCCCAGGCGACGAAGTCATACACCCGATTTGCTCTCGATGCTGCTGCAAGAAGTCTTTTTGGGGATCTCATTTGAGGGGCCGGGCAACCAACATTGACTGACTGCACCATGCCGCTCCCTACCCTGAGCTGACCTGCCGAATTGCCTGCCCAGTCGAAACTTTTCGGGCCTTTGCTTGAAGACACCAAAGACACCCCCCCCTCCCCAAAAACAAAAAGCAAAACAAAAACAACAAACAAACATAGTTTCAGGCTCCCTACGGTGCATGCCAATTCGTGTTGCAAGCAAGGGAACCAGGAAACCCTCCAATTTACCCTTTGGCCATAGTTTTGTGTTGGGGTATGGTTGGTTAACTGGCATTGATTAGGGCATCCACTGTAGCTAACCCCATCCAGTCACGCACAAAACACACCTCGAGAGGAATTTCTCCGCGGATTTTCACACCCCGGAGAACCAATAACAAAACATGGGCCTAGCTTGATTCCGCCCAAAATGGACTGATGAAACAAGTCAGCCCACGCTGGCAATCTCCACGAATCCCTGCCTGGACTGCACAAATGCCGAGCGCTATGATTCCCAGCATGTACAGTTCCTTGAGATGCCAAGGAAAGATGTGCAGAAACAGGTGGGAGAACGGAGTTGAATCCACAAAATTGCGGCTATGGCTTCCCTTCAATTGGGCCGTCCTCAGACCTGCTATCTGCAAAAAAGATTTTTTATTTTTTTTTAAATACTTTTCGCGGGTGAAATGGAAATCCAACCACTAAACCCACTAAAAAGCAGAAAAGCTAAGGAACCGAATGGCTGGGAGCCACCAATCCAATCCCCCGTACTACCAGGTTGGTGGGGTCAAACGGCCCACTATATTCGTCTAACCTCCATGTTAGATGGGTCAAAAAATCGGTCTAAGCATTTACGAAACATGACCAAGTGTTTTAATATTCTTGGGTCAAAACAACTCCGTCCAAGCGAAAATGGGGGAACATGAAGAACACAGTCCCGTCTAAGCTTTTCTGCTGGAACGACGCACACCATGTTTTTCACCTTCGGTGTGCTTTGCCCCCACCCCCTGCCGTCCCAGCAAGGTCTCGGCAATCCTGAGTTTAGTGGGAGTCTAAGTTTAAGTCTTGGCAATACTAAGTAATCGCTGAGTACTGGCAATCCTTTCACCGCATTAGCTCAGCGAGCGAATCCATTGTTCAGGCGGCGCGTGCTTCTGCTAGCCATAAAGGGGGCTTTTTGGGAACTCCTGCTTTGGAGGTTGGGTGGTTTCCGCATGTCGCTTCAAACGGAGCTGGCGTTCGATTCCTCAAACCACCACTCGAAACCACCAACTGGGAGTACCTGAGTCTTGGGAGCCTGGGAAGCCCCGCCCAAAAGAGAAAACACACCCCATGTCTCTCCGAGAGCAAGGCACCAGGTTGAGCCACCACCGGCTTGTGGAGCTTATCACTTCAGCGCCTGCCGATATGGTGAACACTCCCATTTTGGAGGGTGTTCCCTCAAAATTCCAACTCAAACAAAAAACCAAAAAAAAGTACGTTGCAACCCAAAGTTATGGTTGGTGATTTGTTTGTGTTTGGTACCTCACAAATTCCAGCTTAGAAATGACATGTTGCAAGTCAAAATTGTGGGAATTGGCGAATTCCATGTTTGTTGCAGACACTTTGAGGGTCTAAACCTTGTTAGGACGTTTGGGAGACTGGGCATGACTGGGCCGCTTTGCAACAGCTGTACCATCGGCGCCGGTTGGAGGTTCGGAGCCACCCTGACCAGGGATACCCACCACCTAGGAACAAACACGGGCAGCAAGTTCTCAATTCTCAGGAGAAAGCCAACGATGCTTCTGCCAATTCTGAATCTAGGAGTGGACCAATAAAAGAAGCTAAACCATGCTGAGCAATAAAATGGGCAGTTCTTTCCTTAAGTGGAATGACTAGCTCAAAGGTGACTAAACCTCTTGAGTGGATTGACTAGAAGGAGTAAGGACACCTTTTGTTGACCACTAACACTATTTTCCAAAAAAGTGACAAGAGTCCAGACACCGTTTCGGGTCGATAGACACCTGCAATGCAAAGCTGTGGCTTGCGTGTCTGCCAATTGTTTGTTTCAGAGGCACGGTCAGTACCCTAGAGTCAATGGACGATTTCCAGATTCCCCTAAACCGCAAATACCAACAAATCTTATGGGCTTATTCCCATGCTTTCATTAACTGTGGTGCGAGACTCGCGGATGACTCGTCCATCCACAGTACACGGGGGGAAAAGTTTGCTCGAGTCCCCCGGGCTTGGTACGGGAGTTTTGAGGTCATGTCCCTCCCTAAATCGAGATCTGTGGGAGAAAAGGACGTCCTGGTTTAGTTGACAGTGAATTGCGGAACCCTTTAAGAGAAACAACTCACTTGAGTGGATGGCCCAACAAGAAGCATCCGTACATTTTGTACGCCGCTCAAATGGTCCAAACCCAAAAAGTGACTGAAGTCCATGAATTCAGGAAGTGAGACAAGTTCAACGGCACCACTCAGCAACTGGGTATTGGACGGTTGCTTTCTGCTCCCCTGCTAAAAGTGAATAACTTTTGGTGGTTTGATGGGACACCCCATTAGTTGGCAAAAAGTTCAAGTCCTAACATCCCTTTGCAAAATGCACCCAAGTGGACTTTCTTTCGACTCAACTTAATGACTTCAATGCTTGCAGGCGCGAGGCCACACTTGAAGAACGTCATGCCATAGCCTCGGCGTGACGAAGGCTTCTGCCAACTCGGTCGTTCCCTGAAAGGCCAGCGTGAACCTAGTAATGACGACCACGGATTCACAAACCCCTGTTGTTGAATATGGGGGTGTCCCTGGTCTTGGTGGGGATTTATCACTTTTGGAGGGGAACACCCCGATATAAATAAACACGCGTTTATTCATCCGAGGTCAAAACCAAGGAACAACATCGTGAATCAGCTTTCTGGGGGGAATCTCTACAGAAACCCGGAGTCCCCATTTACGTGGAGGAGTTGTGAAGGCCGCCTCTCCCCTAAACAAACTGCAGAGAAACATCACCCGCTTTTCTTTTATCACATGAAAGAAAGGTGTGGCTTACGTCCAAAACGCAACCTACACTTTCACGGGGGCAACCACACCTGATCCTCACTTGCGCCAACTGCCTACAGTTCTAGAATTGCGGTGCTGCATGTTGCTTTCATAGCCCAGAGGGTCCAAGGACCTCATAATTGAGGATTTGGAGAATCTGTAATTGACGAATCCCCTATTGAACCAAACCCAAAGCCGTTTCTGTGGGGTACCTCTGGGACCCTAGATAAATTTATGGCATGGATGAGGTTTGCGACAATTTGGGTCGCCTAAGTGGACTTATAGCCAACTAGGACGGGTGCTTCACCTCGTCCAGTTCCAAGCCTGAAACAAAAATCTGATCCCCTAACAAAAAGGTGCCTGAACCCTCGATCTACCCCATAAAACGTGAAGTTATCCCGTCACGTTGGGTTGCAACAACTCATTTTTAGCTTGGAATCTTGAGGCTCCAGGCCCGGAAACTCCTTCTCGTACCCCGAACTCCGGCGACGTGTCCTCAACATGGCCCCTGGTCGCTCGCTCGAGTCGGGGCCCGCGCTGCCGCAGGCCGCGCAGGTGAGGCCCAGGAAGAAGGGCTTCCTTGCCGTGGCAGCGAAAAGTTTCGCGAGAAAAACCTCTGAGAGTGGGAAAACGGTTGGGTTTTCATGTGCTGAAGAAAACCCATAGCAAACAACTCTCAGAGTGGGAAAACAGTTGGGCACCCAACCTCTGAAGATCCAGCCAACAACCAGAGAACAAAGCTCTCAGAGTGGGGAATCAAAGGTGGGTGTTCGTTTTCTGAAGATCCAAAGGGCACGTTGAGGGTGTTCTTGTGGTCCTTCATCATGTGGGCCGTGTTCCCTCTTGGCGGCGTCAAAATTTGTCGTTGCCAGTGCTGGAGCAAGAGGAGTATATACTACTGCCTTAGTACCTTCCAAACCAGGCCCACATCCATACATCCGTGTTTTTGGGGAACCAAGTAAAGAGAAACCAACAAGAACTCAACCTGAAGGACCTCAAAAGGACAAACCCTAAGGTAGACCCATACCTACAAAGTTATTTCCAAAGCTATGCTTGTTTTCCTTGAGGTTCTTGACTCTTGTTTGCTACCAATCCCCCTTTGGTTTCCTCTTGGGAAATTAAACACATTTTGGCTGCTATTTAGCAACCCAGCAAAGGTTTCGATACAGCTATGACTTAGGGGCCCGCCTCAAAGGCGGCTGGTGGAAATTTGATTTTCACCTAAATGGGTTTGACTTTCCAGGGTACCCCCGAAATGGCTGCTTTCCTTTGGCAAAAAGGAGTACCTCAACAAAAGAAAGACCCTAAATAATGTCCACCATTTCAGGATTTGGGCGTGGGTGTAAATGGAAACATACTACAACCGGTGGTCCGATTCCTGGTGCTTCAATTTTATCCCATATTTCCATCTTGGAAGCCTAAGCAAAGCCTTGAGAGAGTGGTAACCTGGTAACGTCCTTGAAAGGGTTCCTTCAAAGGTTTGCGGTGGGAATCCAGCACCCATTTGAATTCCTGGTGCCCGAGAAATTACGGCTGAATTCGGAAAAATGTTTAGTGTTCCGGAACACAAAGAAACAACGGCAGCAGGTTTTAAACCGATGCATCTGCAACTCCGCCGCAGCAGTTAAGAAAGCTGAGCAGCAAAGGCGTTGCCACGAAGTAGGCCAGCAGGCCCAACACACCCAGGAAGGCCTGGAAACAACCTGGACCTTCGTCCTCCTGAAAAAAAACGTAGTTTCCGCATTTGACTGGATATTCGGGAAATCGTAGCACTTTTTGCCGCAAAAACCTGAAACTCCTAAAACTCCTAAAAACAGACTATTGCAATGCTCGCGGCCTTTGACAGAGTAAAGGAAGGTTTGCAGGGGCAAACGACTGAATGAAGCCGCAAGTTTGTCAAAACATGCAACGGCATTCCTCCGATTGCAGGGAAGCTGATATAGTAATGTCGACAGATTTCCAAGGTGAAAAGCTGAGCTCCATGTTGCTTAGAACGGACTCTACCCCCTGCCCAAAAGCACAACCACCAGGCCCTGAGTTGTTTAGAACCACCCCGGCAACCGACCAGGCCGATATGCCACGTTTGGTTCGATCAAAGGGTCGAGGCTTGAAGTTGACCTTCGATGGCCGTTATGAGAAGTCGGGGTCCTCTAGTAGAGAGGTTAGAAGAAGGGTAGCCACTTCTTTTTCGGTTTTGTCTATTTTAGTAGGGAAACCCCTGCCCCAACAAAGGGGTGAGCTTCGCAAAAGAACTCCCCCCAACTGGTAGTATTACTTGGCCTGAGTTTCTCAACGACCTTATGAACTCTCACCCTTGAGGGGTGTCTTGGTGGGGGGAGGGTTAGGATGCCCAAGGTCTCCAGAAGCTTCACGCAGCCACAAATAGAGGAACACCAAATAAGTCTTTGAGGGGAACACGCCCCAGTCATCCGCGAGCTTGATTCATCCGACATCCTGCAAAGACAGCGTGAAGCCGAGCAGCGGTCACTCCGACAGCAGTGAGAAGAAACCTCGGATGCAGGCAGCTCTTGCATGACATGAGGCAGAAAATACACATGGAGTGACTGGACATCTACATCGATTGTACCACTTTGTTGGATCGAACACACCTGTACTACCATGCCCTTCCAAAAGTCCTGGTAGCTCCTTAGCTCCCTCTTTAAAGCAAATTTTGATAGCCCCAGATCCATAGCTCCCTTCCTCTCCATGACCAACAACTGCCATTATGGGGAATGACGCCATTCTTCCAAGGGGCCTCCCTCCAGGCATAACAAGAACAAGCACGACTCGAGTTGCAACAGGCTGTTGGGGGCTGCTCGAGGCCTGGAGAAGAAGCTGCGGTCCACGGCAGCAGTGGCTGACTTGAGCGGCTGGGATTCTCTCTCAAAACTGGTGGCCCCATGAAACGCTTGGATTCCCCTATAAATTTGATACCAACACAAAACTGGAGCCCAGGAAGAATATTCCAGTTTCCCAAATTGTTAATGGGTACTGTCGGGTTGGCCCCTACAAATTAGATACCTTCTGCTAGATGGTTGGGAAACGGCGTCCACTGCTGTAGGCTTAGGATCTCAAGTAGGGTCCTTTGAGGTCCGCAGATGCCTACGGCCATCTGTGCAAGTCAGCCCCTTGCTCAGAAAAGGGCCCCAAAACTGACCAGACCGCCGGGAAAGTTAGCTGAGTTTAGCGACCCCCACTCAACCCAACTCTGTTTGCAAACCTTTGTAACATCCCTTAACTACCTGGAGTCTCCATGACCCTTAAAAAATGGGGTCATTACCCAAAATAATGGGGTCACAGACCCAATGTTTGAAGGGTCAGGGGGACTCCAGGTAGGGGCACATTCACTAGCGATCACTTCGAGGCTATGTAAATCAAGCTCATGGCGGATCCTGGGGAGTCTGGGTAAAGGTTCTTCTTATATCTTGGTCGAGGGTCTGGACTGCTTTCGGTGTGGATGGGAATTATTGGGGTGCGGGGCTCCAGGATGTGGACTCCCAGGATGTGCTTCCTTTGAGGACCCTTTTGGAGGGTTTGCTCAATCGAACACCTTTACGAAGACAAACCTTCGACGGGGATCCGCTATTTGAACTTGGACTTCGTCGACCTTGGGCATGACCTTTTGGCCCTTGCGAGTTTTGGGTTGGGACTTCTTCGAAGCTTGGCTTCGGCAGATCCGCGACAACACCTGCCTCAGCTTGTGCCAGTCTGGGTGAGCAAGAAAACTCCCCTACAAATTAATGCATCACAGAGGTCCTTGCTGGGGAGGTTCCTCTGAACATAAGTAGTTTGTGGCGGGTGAAGTTTGGAACATCTTCATTTTGAAGAACATCTTCCTTTGGAAAATCTTTGTAGCCGCTGTTGGGTGAAGTTTGGAGAAAAAAAAAAAAACACCAACCCAACCTGCGGAGTCATTCTTCTTCGTTCGACCTCTCGACCAGGCGGCGCCCGGTGCAGCAAGGCCCCAAAAATCTGCGTCGACTCGTGGTGCGTCTTTGGCACCGGCGTGACGCTCACCTAAAAAGGCTTCTGACTAGTTTGTTTGGTGCTTTTTGCGTTCTTTTGGAACGGATATGGCCATGGGTCAGGTGAGCGTGAGCTGTCAGAAGCTGTTTTGCCCTGAAGCTTCTGGGTTCGTTTTTCGTTTTGTGCTTTTTGCGTGTTTTGGAAAACATATCTGAAGAAATACGTCCAGTGGCAGACTCCAAGTAACCACCTGGAGTCTCCTTCTGACCCTTAACAAATGGTTGGTCATTACCCAAAATAATGGGGTCATGGACCCATTTTTGAAGGGTCATGGAGACTCCAGGCAGTCTTACGCTTTTCGTCCCCTGGACAAAATGGAAGAACTACTGCGCCCCAAGGGTCATGACCCCTATGCAGACCCCATCAGGGGCACTCCAAGGAAGAACCCCGACCAATTAGGGCAATCAGCATTCCATCGGTTCTCAGATCATGCAGTATGTTGTCCATTCACCATATTTCCAGTAGTGACAGACTCCACCCAAAAGCAAGAGGGGAGAAAAAGCCATATATTCTTCAGCAAATGGAAGAGAACCTTGCTACTACCCCAACACCCTAGAAGAGGTCTTGATCGAAGAGATCTGAGAACCTTTCATTCCAATGCTTCCAAACTCGATCCCTCGGAACCCACGGTGGGCACGCTTGGTGCAGTCACCCGGCATGGAACCCCACTCGATCTCTAAACGCAAACTTGGGCGAGCCCCAAGGGATGCTCATGTGCTTAAGACATACAGAGAAACCCCCCGAAACTTAGGGCAAAATGGGTTTCCCCCATGTTGGGTGTGGGTCATAACCAATGCTTCATCTTGGGGCGGATGACCACCCATGTACCACCTATTTTGATGTTCGCCAGGGGTACAGGGGTTTGACCCACAGCCATGTTGGGTGTGGAAACACGGTTCTCATGATACCCTAGGCCTTAGTCGCTAATGCCCCCCTATTGGGATGGTGAAACGGCTTCTGGCATCCAAGCTCCTTAGCCCCCCCCCAGCCTTTTCAGGATTCACACGCCAGGGCGTTAAGAGGCCATTGGGGAAAACGGGCTTGGCCCATTTTGAAGGGAACCCCATCCCCTTACAAAAAAGGACCGAAGATGCTTTTGGTTACACCCCGCTGAAAAGGACACCCCCCCCCACCCCCCCCCTCCCCAAACACACCCCCTTGGGAAAAGACTAAAATCAAATAAACCATCATTGGAGGTGTGTTTGGGGGCTGGTGTGGTTCAAAGATGCCATTTTTTTTGGGTGTGCTTGGTGTGTGTGTGTGTGTGTGTCCCATCAAGTGTGTGTCTGTGTGTGGTGTGTCTGGGGGGGTCCAAACGGAAAAGTTCAAGGCAACTGGGAAGAAAGACAAACCGAGAACCCGGCGACCATCCCAGCCCCGATGACCATTGCCAGCATTACTAGTACCTGCGCTGAGTCGATGCGCTGAGTCGCCCCAGGTCATAGCAATGAGGTAAAGATCTTAGGGCCCACCCTACCCCAAGCATAGGTCTCCATTTTGGGAAAAGAGATCGCCCTGGTAGATTCTGAAACCACCAACGTCAACATGGATTCGCCATCGATTTTCGACCAAAGCGATCAACACAAAGACACGAAATGAGCCCGAGAGTCAGACTTGTGGAAAGACCTTACAAAATATATTACAAGTAGGCCCTACCCAGCAAGATGTTCAAAACCCTACCAAGTCCTCCTGACGATGGCCGGCGAGGATTTTGGACGCCCAACGCCACTTAGACATCACATGGCCACACAGAAAAGAAGCGTCGCCGTTGGCTGACCAACGAAAACATGATGTACTCGGCGAAAGAGGTCCCTCTGGAACATAGTGGGTGTCACTTCTTGATGGCTCTCTGTTTGGGTTGGCAAATGGAAACCGAGAGGGGCCGCTCCTTTGGGGGGCCCCCTCATTTTGAGATAAACCCAGGTACAAAACACTGAGCTGAGGGGCTCTCGTTAAGAACCTCAGTTCCCCATACTGTATGGACGACATCTTGCACCCAGAAAACCCTGGAACGATACGATTCCCCAACAAGCAATGGCTTAATGGTTGCAAAGTGGTGCAGGATTTCGTCCATCCACAGATGTGACAGGTTCATGTGGGCGTTGTTCTATAAGAAAAACCAGGTGGCATCTATGTTTATGTGGGCGTCTTTGCATGTGGCGTTTTAACAGGTAACTCCAAGAGAGAAACCAGAGCAGCGAAAAACGCCCCCCAAAAATGCGCCAGAAGGACCAAACAGGGCAAGCATGGACCAAAAGGACACGGACTTAAAGGGCCAAACACGGACCTAAACCCTCAAAATCCTTGAAGCATTCTGGTTGGTGAATTCCCTCTCTTCTGGGTCTTATGGGGTGAATTCCATCACTTTTATGGCCCTTGGGAGTGTCCACGACGCTTGAAACATGGGGTCAGTACCCAACATGAAGGACTTATGACCCCTTCTTCCTTATGGTCATGGAGACTCAAAGTAGTTTGCTGCCATTTGCTTAAGCCCCCTGGAAAAAACAAACATATTTCCAGTAGTGGTATATTCCCTTTAAAGTCAAGAGGGGAAAAGCAATATTCAAGCAAATGGACGTTTTTTTGTGTGCTGAAGATCCAACAGGCAAGTGTTTTTGGGGTTTTCTTGTGGTCCTTCATCATGCCGTGCTCCCTCTCGGTGTCGTCAAAATTAGCCACTGCCAGTGCTGGAGCAAAAGGGGTATAGACTACCGCCTCAGTACCTTCCGAACCGGGCCCACATCTGTACGCACGTGTTTTTGGGGGACCAAGTAAAGGGAAACCAACAAGAACTCAACCGAAAAGTGATTCAACTTCAGCTTGTTCTGCCTCAGAGCTCCGCAGCCGCTCGCCCAGCAGCACGTGCGCCTCACAACTGGAAAACGCCCCCCGCCCGGCGGCCCGGTGACGTGGTGACGTGGATGGCTTCCGTTTGCTTGTTCGCGCCCTGGCAAAAATCGATATTGCCAGTAGTGGATAGGTTCTGTGAAAAACAAACAGGGAAAAACAACAAGGGAAGCCTTCTGGGATACCTGGAGTCTCCTTCTGACCCTTAAGAAATGGTTGGTCATTACCCAAAATAATGGGGTCATTGACCCATTTTAAAGGGTCATGGAGACTCCATGTACATTTCCAGTAGTGATCATGTCCCTTCAAAACCAACAAGGGAACATAACACATAGTCTTAAGCAAATCGAAGATGCTCAAGCCACGTGGGTAGGCGATCTTGCTGGTGCGATAGGTAGGGAATGACCGAGACCGGGTGTTGGGAATGAACCGGAAGGGAATTCCCTTAAAGGAAACCACAAAGGATGATTTATGGGAGTCATTCCCTCATTCCCTGCTGAGAACCAGCAAGTGGTAGCCAAGGCTATAACTGGAGCTGGGGGTTGGTTGGCTTGTAGACATGGGTAATTCTAACCTCATGATCGGTGACAACCAAGGTCTTAACTGGAGGTATTGGGGTTGGTTGGCTAGAAGATATGGGTATAGCTTGAATTCAACATCCAAGCGACTACTTTGACTGCGGGTCCCAAGTCAGGTAAGTGGCTAGCGTCTACAACTCATAAGTTCCTATTCCGTGGAATGCATGTGTGTGTGGTCTATTTGGGACCCGGGAAGCCTTCTGTAATTGTATTAATTTATAACGTTTGTGCAACTGAAGTCTAAGCCACTTAGGGGGCTTGTAAAACCCTATTTTAAGTTCACCCTGGCTGATAGTTGCGAGCAAGCGGCATAGGCAGAGTTGAAGACCTCGGCAAGGTGAAGAAACAAAGGGCACGCCCGCTTTCATTAGAGGCCCAGCTTCATTGGGCAGTTCAACGTGTTAAATGGGTTTGTCTCAAAATGGCAAGACCCCTTTCCCTTTAGTCTCTTAGAATAAGCCCAACTAGGGCACCAACAAAAGAATGTGACACAACCCACATGTTCAGACACCCATTGTTTAGACCACCCTTCGGTTGCCCTTTAAAGAAGTGGCCACGGAATGCTTCTTTAAACTAAACAGTCGCACAACACTGCTGAACCTTTAAGCAGCCCCAAATCTGTTCGGCACAGCGGATAACAGGCATGCATATTCCTTTCAGTTTTCTTTTCGGGGCGGCTCCGTGCTTCCCTAAATGGAATCACAGTGGTTTGCCCAGCCATCAATGGGACGGATCAAACTAGGAGGACAGGAGGCCCAAGCTTGCCAACGTCAGCCAAGGGCTGCAAAAGGCCAGTAAAACGAAGCGGATATGTGTTTGTCTTGAATAGAGGACCCCAAAACATGGCTAATTTCCCCTTGTGTTCCCTTTGAAACCACCCCAAGGAGGCACTCAACAAAACACAAACCCATGCGAATATTCACAAGCTCGTCACTTCGCAAAAACGTCGGCTGAATGAAGCGCCATGAAGACTAGACCTGCTAAGTGGCGGATCTTGTCAATTCACAGCACCTCGGTGATGCCAACTGAATATTGCAAGTAAGGGAATAAGGACACCCTCTACTGTACCGTAATTTACCACCATGGTTGTGCCACTTGAGTACGGTTGGTTTACTTGCAATATTTAGAGCATCCGCAGTAGCACGCTCATTCCATGGGAAGCCAACATCTTTTAGGCAAGAAACAGCCCTTCCCTCGATAGCAAGCGGCAAGTGGCGAAGACGAAAAGCCCTCTCAGCAGCTCGGGCGAAGGAAACCAGCTTTGAGATACTATGGGTGTTTCTCCAAATACTCGGCCCAAAACAGTCTCAGCATGTTGTTTACCACTGAAATGGTCTCCCCAGCAAGTCTAACGTCCAAGAACTCAAAAGTGAGATAGGGCCCCTGAAAGATAGTCGGTGTCCTTTCGGTTTCCCTTTAACATAGGAAAAGAGGAGCTTGTCTATTTTGAGAACTCTCCCCCATCAAATACCTTTCAGGAAGCTGACTTAATTTGCCTGATCAGATTGTTATGCAGTGCTCGGTTGTCACTCATGTTGCACTGGCCACGGATCCACTAGACGTTTTATAAATAAGAACCACTGGCCTACAGGAGAGGTACCAAATCCCCGAAAGAACCACCCTTTGAATTAGCAGCTTACCTAGTCTGGGTGCTAAATTGGGGTCTGGAACAAACATATATGGGTGTTGATCAAAAGGTCCTTCAGACATAACTGAACATATGATTGCTCCTGTATGGGGAAAGCTACACATAGGTATTTGGAGGCCGAAGGGAATATTGATCAAGCCCCATTTCACCAAACTCAGACCCCGGATGCCTGAAGGTTACCGGGCTGCCCCTTTTCTGATCCCCTGCTTTAAAAAAAACAACAACAACTTGTGGGTTCAATGGACGCCCAACCACTTAACCAACCAACAATTTAAAACCCTTGAGGACCGGATGGCTGGAAACCACCACGTTAGCATCCAGAATGGCCCTTGGACCGAACATCCTCGAAGCTTTGAACAAGACTGACGAGGCGCTAGAGACAAGCCTCCCAAGCAGCTGAGCATCGTCTGGGGCGTCAACCTGACTTCGCGATTGCATCCGTACACCGTACCCCTGAAGTTCAAACCGCCACTAAAACAATGGTTGGGGTAATATAACCGGCGTTATTTACAGGGGTTTCATCAGCGAAATGGGGTCCTTGCGTTTGTTTTTGCATCCGTTGCAGGTTGATAGAGGAAGCCCGTGGAGCCGGCGAGCCGCGAGAGATCTCCCAATTCAAGTGTTGAGTAGGAGTCACTCTCAAGGGGCTTGCAACCCAACTAATCCAACAGCACTTCCGCTTTCTTGGATGACGTTGCTTAGTACATGGTGGTCCCTTTAAGGCTCCCTAAGGCGCCCTAAGGAAGTTTAGGAAACCCTAACGAACCCGAAACGGGCTCTTAACTACCCCACCCGCCCTCGAAACCCTTGTGCCTACCTGCCCCGAACGGGATTCCAGAACAAACAGGGCTTCCAAAACTTGCCTTTTAAACACCACCCAACCAAAGGGAAACTCCCTTGAAAGTGGCCAAAAAGGTGATGTTACAATCCAACCAAGGGAAAAACAGAAGAAACAAACACGAACCCCAACAAAAAAAGCACCCCGCTGGATCGAGCTACCCCCAGCTCCTCTCGGTTCTCGGTTCCGAGTCGCGCCATGGCGGGGATGTTGGCCACTTGGCCCAGCACAAAGGCGGCCATGCCTGGCGTTGGCGCCGCTTGGAAGAGCCCGGAGCCCGGTGGTGAACCCGACCCTGGGTGAGGCCCTGGTAGGAAAACCTGACCCTCAGCTTCCCTCAAAAAAAGGGAGCCCGGTGGGTTGGTGGTGTGAACCCGACCAGGTGAACTTTTAAGGACAAAGTAGATGGGTGTTCGCTGGCAAATGGCTTATGAAACCAATCTAAACCAGTGCTACCTTTGTCTTTTAAGGAAACAAAGATGGGGGTTCCCTGGAAAATGTCTTAAAACACCAATCTAAACCAGGGCTGCCTTTGTCTAACCAAAGTAAGAGATCAAAACGCCTATGCGTACCTCAGCTTCCCTTGTTTTGGATTGGTGGTCTCTGCAAGGACCGGGGGGGTCGAATCCCCAAATCACCAATCCGAACCTCCCATTCGGGGTTGCCTGATACCCAGTTGTAAATGAGGGAAGATACGTTTGGAACAAACAACAACATGAAGCAAACTGATGCTATCTAAATCCGGGAAACGACCCAAGTCTTGCACAACCCTCCCTGCAAAGAACTTGAAACTGATTACTTTTTAGCGACACAAAACATACTGACCGCAAAAGTCAAAGTCTAGAGAGCCAATCACTGGGAAGTAATTAAACAAAGAGCTCAAGGTTTTGCAGACATGGCGGTGTCTCTTTTCACCAGCAGCAACTCAGTTTGCAGGAGGTCTAAGATTAACCTTGTGTTTTGCTTCAGGCCTGCCTATTTACCACCTAGACCAACCTGCTTCTTGGCCCGTGCCGTTCCTTCTCCCGGGTTTGGGTCATGTTGGTGCGCCACAAGTCTGGACGTTGTCTGACCAATTCACACAGGAAGTAAGTTGGAAGTACCACGGGAGGGAATTGGAATGCGTTTGTCTGACCATAAAAACAACAACTCTTGCTGTGGTTTGGCATCAGGCTGTTGTTCGCATTTCAGCATGGCTTCTTTGGATCAAGTTCCGATGCCCTCGGCAGAGCAAGGTTAACATCGCATCAATCCGGGCGCTATGGGACCCCCGAAAGTAGATCATGAACTATACCATGGCCAGTACTGCCCTCCGGATTCGTCTGAAGTTGACATAGGGAGTGCCTCCTTTCTTGTCTCAAGACCATCGCTTCTGCAAAACTGCGCGACTTCTCGGGAAAGCGCTGGTGTTCTGGCAAAAACAAACACAAGCCCAGCGAGAGTGGAACGGAAAAACAAGGCGGAAACAAGGCGGACTAAGGGAGGTTTCCCCAGCAAAAGGTTGGGTTACATACTAGAAGCATCAAACTGTTCATCCAGCTTCCCCCCCCAACTCTTTCCTCAAATTCAGACCCTAACCTTCGGCCTTAAAGCCTACCAATGGTAGCCTGGAGGGCGCGAGATATGCGTAAGCACTCCGAAGCGCGAAGCTCAACCGCACTGCCACTCCCGTGCCTGCCATCCACCATGGTTGCTTGAAGTAGCGGCTCTTTCCTATCGAGAGGATGGAATCTCCTTCTGACCCGAATCAAAATGGGTCCATGACCTCATTTTGGGTAACCACCAACCATGCTGCCCGTCCCGCGGCAAAAGAAAAAAAAACAAAGCCCCCCCCCATGTGTTGTTGTTTAATAATAATAATAATAATAATAATAATAATAATAATAATAATAATAATAATAATAATAATAATAATAATAATAATAATAATAATAATAATAATAATAATAATAATAATAATAATAATAATAATAATAATAATAATAATAATAAATAATAATAATAATAATAATAATAATAATAATAATAATAATAAAAATAATAATAATAATAATAATAATAATAATAATAATAATAATAATATATCGGTTTACTCATCCATGTGTGTGTGTGTGTTTATTCGTTCCCCTGCAAAAAGAGAGAGGGACAGATAGAGAGAGAGAGAGAGTATATGTCCAGTCGTGAAATCGATTCCCTTTCAAACCCCCAAGTGTCGGATGAGACCACAAAGGCGACACCAGCTCTAGCCAAGCGTTGTCACTAGGGTGCGCTACCATTGAGCCACGGGCCCCTTCAAATTGTAGCGCGAGCTGTTTTCCACATCTCCGGAGCATTCACGGCAAAAACCGCAACCCGTGATGTGGGTAGAACAGGGGAACCACAAACAATTGAAGTGAATGGACGTAATTGATTCGTTTGACAGGATACTTGACTAAGTTTCGCAGGAATCCAACAAGCCACTAGAAGGGGAGTACATGGTTCCACGTACTTGGGTGTGCGACCTTGTCAGGTGTTGAGATTCCCAAGGTTAGAATCACAAACAAGCAGGGCCAACACACCCATGTGTTGTGGGTGGCAAAACTCAGGCCCTGTTTCACATTACCCTTTTTGCTTCTGCCTTAGGTTTGCACGGGTTCCAATTCCCGGGTTTCTTATGCCCTTCCTTGCCCATCTCAACGGGGGGGGGGACCCAATTATGCTTTTTCCGGTGTCTTCGGGAAGGGGGTTCATCCACATGGTGGATGAATCGGGGGGCCAGGCCCCTTTGCCATATACTGTTTTCATATACATGGAAACACTTCATAAGCCTCCGTGAACACCAAAAACAAATCCTACGCGGCTCTGTGCAAATTCAATTAACTTGAAACCCAGAATGCGGGGTACAGGCGGGTAGCTAACATATTTAGGCGTTGCGCTTGGCTGAAGTGCGTGTTGCACTGGTGTTTCTATTCTGTTCAGTCGCTATGGATTTGGTTTTGGGCTTGGGAGCGGGGTTAGGGTGTGGCATATTTTCTGTCCGACCTGCGCGCTTTGACCTGGGTTTCGGACAATCCTAGCCGCAAGCCCAACGTGCGCTTGCTCAAAAGGCGCCAGTGTGCCGAGTTCTGATTTTCAACAGCCCAATTTCGCCCCCACTCGGTCCACATGTTGTATTTCGGTCCATCACCTGGCTGTGGCTCAAAAAAGTGGTACCGAAATGGCACCTGGTAACTGGAACCAACAACTAAAACCCGCGGTTTGCCCCAGCTCTTTAATTTTGAGCCACACCCTGCCCCTCCCCCCCGTCGCTTTCTATTCCCAATCTCCTCTCACCTAGCCCCCTGCCCGCTGTCAGATCCCCTGCCAACGGCTTGGAACTGCCCAAATCGAGCCGTGAGAAGTAACTGCGGCCAGTGATCCCACCGAGCAAAGGGGAAAAAGATGTTCGTACAATTGCCATCCCAACCAACACCTGCAAACCCAATTGCATTGAACCAACCCAAAAACCTTTGAGTTGAACCGGAGGACGAAACCACAAGCTGGACTGCCCTCAGATCCGCCGCTACAAGTTCAACTTTTAGTGGGTTCAATGGAAACTACCACCAAACACTAAAAAGCTAAAAGGCTAAGGAACCGGATGGCTGGGGGCCACCAAGAAAAACCACCGAAGTTCCGTCTTCGCACTCTCCGATTCGATCGGGTCCTCCGCCAAACCAACGTAAAACCTAAAAACCAAATTACGTTGAACCGGACAAAATCGCCGGGAATAAAAACAAACACACAAAACTCCCTGTTCGCACTCATCTCCCGTCTCCAATTTGTCCGCTCGTCCGATCCTCCGCTCTGCTCCACCTGGAGGTGCGCCAGCTTCTGGGTCACCAGCCCCAGCGCGGTGAGGCAGTTGGAGAGCACGCACAAGGCCACGCCCCAGAGCCACGTGGGGACCTCGAACCGGGCGAAAAACGAGTTTTTTTGGACCCAGACGAGGTCCGCCAGATTTGCGAGGTTAGAATACGGGTGCCTGATTTTTTTTGCTGTAGTCTATTTTAGTAGGGGAACCCTCCCGACCAAAAACGGGGAGAGAAGGGCACTACTGGGGGACCTAGCAGATGGGACCCAGACCCCCCCTGAAAAGTTGGGAAGCGTACCCAACTTTCGGGTATTTGGGGGTCGTTTTTGGAGGTTACGCAAAAATGGTGGTTTTGTTCTTGGTCTCTCTGTAAAAGACCACCCATTTGGGTATTTGCCAAACTTCCAGAAATTGTTGGAGCTGGTTGCTTAGACTCAAGGGTTGGGGGTTTATAAATCAGGCCAAACAAGCCTCCAAATAGGCCCAAATAAGGTCTCATATGGCCATGGGTCGAAATCCCGTACCCCCAGATCCCAATCCCCACTAAAATAGGTTCTAAAATGGGAGGTGAATTCACCTACCAACCAAAATGGGATCCCAAAACGGCTTTGACGAAAGAGGCTTCAACACTCCCCCACAAATGACCGCCGGCTGCCGCCGGGATCGGGACCAAGGCGCCACAGGAATCATAGTATCATAGTAGTTCCTCAGCTCGGGGTGCTGCATTTCCTCATAAGGGGCATGCTTCTAGGGGGTGATTTCCCATTCTTTCCAGGGATCCTTCTTTCCAGAAAACCTCACTAAAGCCGGCTTTTGAAAAGAACCATGGTTGACAAGAGTGAGGAATCAAACCCTGGCATGTTGCATGTTGTCTGAGAGGTGAGGTGAGCACACCATTTATACAAGGGGCAACAACTGCCAAGCGGGCATGTTTCTAGGGATGATTGATTCCTTTTCCATTATTTTCAACCATGGTTCTTTTGTGAAGAACAGATCCGTTTTCCCTGGAAACAATGGGGAAGGTACCCCTGTCGCATGGTGTCTGAGAGGTGAGGTGAGCACACCAGGTCCATGTATTCAAGGGGCAACAACTGCCAAGTATCTCCTTGCAAAAAAGTGGCTTCATATCTTGAACAAAACACGTGGCGTCCAAACTCGAATTTCCACCAGCTATCCAGATAGAGTTCAAAGTCCAGCCTGAAAACCCGCCACTTTCTGCACCAGTTGCGGGTCATGACCTCCGAGAAAACCCCAAACAATGAAACAAACTGGGTACCCTTTTGTGCAACATGGAACCCACCCGAGGGTCCCTTTTGGAGTAAAATGGTCCAAACAAGGACCCTGGGAAGTCCCATGTTAGTGGAAGTGAGTCAATCGGGGTCTGGGAAAATTGAACTTGACCCCGCAAAAAAGGGCGGCTTTCGAGCTTTTTGGTTTCCCTTGAAACCACCCCCAAAAAAGGGATACCATCAGAAAAAGCAGAAAAGACTCAGCCCTGGATTGTCTAACTCCTCTCCCAAAGGCTCGCTCCAAGTCCAGCTCCCGGCGCAACCGGCAGCAGCCCACCAAAAAATTACGGAACCAAAGAACCAAGCAACAAACCTAAAACCCCCTTTTGAAAAAAAAAAAACGAACAACAACAAAACACACACACACACACAAAAAACACAAAAAACAAAACTAAAACCTTTCAAACACGAACAACATAAATCATAAAAAAAAAACCTGCCGACGGCGCAAGTTCACCGCAGCAAAAGTTGGAAGCTCTTCTCGATCCCTTCCGGTGCCCGCCCACTTCTTTCCTCCAAGTTCCTTAGCCTCGATGCTGAGATTTGAGACTCGGAGGTCTCCAAAAAGGGGAGCGCCCCGAACAGGGTACCTGCAAAAAGAAATAGAGGACATACCCAGCTGCCCAGTGGATTCCGCCCTTTCAACTGTTTTTTTGGGGAAGGGTGTCCGATTCCTTTGAACTCAACCAACACAAACTTCCTGCTCAGGGCGTTTGAACAAAAGATCCTGCGAAGGTCTTCCTGCGAAATGAAGCCGCGGTTCGGTCTCGGATTGGGTTCGGCCGCAACGCAGCCCTTTTCGAGCCATGTTGGCAGCGAGATGCGGCTGCAAATGACCCCAAGTTATGGACAGCCCAGTGGTTTCCTTGTCACTTCCCGAGCAACATGGTTTTCTGGTAGTTTCCTTGTGCAGGCTGGGGATAATTACCACCTGGGCTTATCTTGCGATTAACACTGTTCAAATTGCCACTCGGGAATACTAATCCCTTGTCCAAAGCGCCCGGATCACCGTTTCTGACCTTGCCCAAAGCGACCCGCGAGGGACACCAAAGGGCTTTGCAAGAAAAGCCGGTGAATTTATCCACACAGAAAGCTGTCGCAACGGTCAATCTTTCTAGATGCTCCACCTGTGGACCCATGAAAGAGATGAAGCACTCAGGGGCTATATCCCCCAAGCGGGCTGAATAAGCCGCCTTGGACATAGGCAAATTGGCAACAGAAGGCCCCTTTGCCAATTATGGCAAAAGACAAAGCAAAGAAACGCCACAAGGAAAAAACCTGTGGGTCCTGACTTCAGGGGTTGCGGGGCCCCGCTTTTGCCGGGGCTCTCGAGCCCAAAATACGGAGGCCACGAGAAATAGTGGCAACCCTTGAGGACAGGGCTGTGGGGAATGGAATCCACTTCTATGATACAACAAAAAGGGCCTAACCCCAAAGACTACTTTGTTCATATAAAGAGGGATTCCAACTTGTATCACAGAAGTGGGGAGAAACCCTTGATCCCACGACGCTCGAGGACAACTTGAATGATGCTTTCTGTTGGTTGGTGTATAAGCTGGAAGCACTCGGTTCGCGTGGGTCCCCCCAAAAATTGCTCGGGATGATGCGATGCAGCAAAAGCGAAAGACAATCATCTTAAACAGGGCCTGGTCGAATGGGCTTTCGAGGAAGCAAGAACAAGCCTTGAACCAGCACCAACCAATGCCTGGCAAATGGCCGCCCAACACAGCACTTAGGTCAGGTAACAGACCATTGGACAGCCATTCGGAACACCGAAGCAGGTGCCCAAAACAGCCCCATCCCGGCCTGGAATGTTTTTTTCAGGGATGCTACAAGGCGAAACGCAAATAACGCCCCCAACAAGAAACACGTGAATTGCGCCGTCTTCCCCTCGACTCAGGGAGCTGGGGCGGCTGCCGACTGCCCAGAAGTCGTAGACGGGCAAGGGGCCCTGGAAGCGCGGTCCGAGAGAGCAACTTGGACCCTTTGACCCGTCGGATTCGCCCGGTAAAACCGGGGGCGATTTTCTGGGGTGAAGCCTCGTTTCGGAAGGAAATCTCGAAACAAATTGGGAGGGTCCTCTGACTAGAATCCTCCGAATTCATCCGAAGACGGCATTAAGTGCTTCTTCAACCGAAGAAGTCCTTCCGCGGAGTAACTCCCACAAGGGGACTGATGAGTTGAGGGAATGTTCGATCCCGAATCATCCCAAACGGGCCTGGCTTGCGCAAAGGATCTTACGAAGGACACTGCGCAACAGAACTACGCACCCAAAGCGGGGGCAAGGATCAAAAGATCCCTACTCCTGCCTTATGGCGAGCTTCCCAATTCTAGGCTGGAGTTAGGACCCCAACAAAAATTATCTTGTTTGCCTGGTTCGCGGAAAGCAAAGGGACCCCCCCCCCAAAAAAAAAAGAAAAGGGAGAGCTAATTCTGGGGAAGAATTGACTGAGACAATTGCGAACACACATCCTAGAGGCATCCCCAGCTAGGAAAAAGACCTTGAACAAGCAGAGGCAACCAAAGGTTGGTGCGGGCACCTTTCTACATTCCTGGAAAACAAGATCAAACGAGATGTCCCTACTGTACTCGTGTATTAAAGGGACTTCTCCCACATGCACAAACGGGGTAAACCAAAGGTCCCTATTGCAGGGACCTTTCTACATTCCTGGAGATGAGGGTCAAACGAAAGGTCTACCCATGTCTTCCGTGTCTTGTGGGGACCTTTCCTAAATGACCTAGGAAATTGCAAACAAGAATCTACAGGCATGTCCATCTAGGGAAAATCCAGCCGGGCCCTTTCGACATTCCTGTAAAACAGAGTTCTGGGGACCTGTCCCAAACAACAAACGAAGTCGCGAGCAACAGCACGCATCCACAGCTAGGGAACGGAAGGCCCCTACGTTGTAATTCCCGTGAAAGAGAGCAAGCAAAAGCAACAACAAAAAACAAGAAGCATCAGAAGCACAAACGCAATAAACATCTCCAGCTAAGGAAGAGAACTTGAACAAACGAAGGCAAAGTAGCACCCCGCCCATCACACACACACACACTCACACACACACACACAGCTCCTTGACTATGTTCATTGACCCACACGCTTTTCGTGTGAAACCCATATAACAAAACGATTCGGCCACCCACCCATCTCTTCTCACCAGCATTGCCGCCCTACGAGAAAGAGACATAAACCACGAGGTCAAAAAAAGGCCCTTCCGCAAATCGAGTAAGCAGGCCTGTAGTGGTTTGGTTGTCAAGGGTCATATATTATATTTCTCGAAATAGGGAGACCTTCCAACCAGTTGCGTCGTCTTTTTGGTTTAGCTTTACGACCAACCCGGCCATTTGGAGAAAACCTCCATGTAGGGCTTACTATAGTCCATATTAAGCCAGGCACTTAGGTGTTCGGCCAAACTAGTAAGTTGCCGGTAGCCTAATTTATAACCCACTTACAGGGGAATAGAATTCACCCTGTTATTTGTGGGTTAAACACCCACGTTGGACGGATGCAATCCAATTGCTCGTTGGTAATTCCGTCGGGAAAAAGCTTCATTCTTGCCAGACTCGCAGATGACTCACAACCATCCACAGCATTACCCTGGGGTTCAGTTACGACCATTCAAACAATGGTTGGGTGCATAGAACCACCATTTACCTAAGGAGTGTCATCTAATTTGGTTCCTTGCCTTTGTTTTAATGGGGCAAGGAACCCCGGAGTAATTCAACGTGACCAGATCGCCGGCCTTTTGATTTGTCAATTTGGCGGAGAATCGATCTGGGTTCTTGGCTGGAATTAGGACCCCTGCAAAAAAGTATCATTGTTGCCTGGTTAGTGAAAAACAAAGGAAACCCCAAAAAAAGCAAAAAAGCAAGAAGGGGAGCTAATTCTGGTGAAGGGTTCCACTGGTTGAAATTCAGCGCCGGCCGTCGCCGGCTTTCGGCGCGGCGGCTCTCGCTCGCGCGCCTGGCCGTTGGTGATGGGCGCCACACAGTAGGTCTCCCCATCGATGAAGCCTCGAGGCTTGGAGCGCTCGGGGCTTCTTGCGATCGGGGGAATGAGACATGGAATGAGTTCCTAAAAGGAACCGAAAAATGAACCTAAAAATGAACCTGAGGAACTAGTTAAAATGAGTTGGAATGAGTTGGAATGAGTTGGAATGAGTCGGAATGAAGCCAGTCCCCTTGAAGGAAACTATAAGGGATAGTTCATTCCCTCATCATTCCCTAATTCCCTACTGAGCACCATGCAGTTCATGGACTCACTTCTGATCGAGTGGATTGGATCCAAAAAGCAATAACCAAACTTGGTATTTCCCACTACAATGCTCTTTCCAGAAGGTTTAAAATCCAAAGACCGAAATGGAATTCCGGAAGTGAGGCTTTTTGGCTGGCGCCTTGTTAATTAAACATCATAGCCATTCGGGTGTTTTCCGAGACTCATCAAAGTGATGACAGTTTCCTTCATTCCTCAAGGCAACCACCAAAAAGGGGGCTCCAGTTCTCGGAAAGTTTGCACCCTTCCCTCCACTGACGGCCACCCTGCTTGGAGTCTAAGACACCATCAGGATCTAGACAGGTGTACCAAACAGGGGACCCCTCAGATGATAGTTTCCTTCAAGGGAACCCAGAGGGAAACTACCCTCGAGCTTGTTTTATTTGGAGACACCAAAATCCGCAAAAAAAATAGGCTCAGGTGATATCCCCAACAGCATGCGGTGCTCTTTTTTAGTGCTCGCACCACCCCGCAGAACCTCGTGGAACCCTCGTGGAACCTTACCTCAGGGCCGCCCCAGACCACCCCGGAGCCTATCTGGGCTGAGACCCCAAAGCTTCCAGCTGTTGGGGGAGAAAAACAAACAAAAAACGACCACCTTCCCCCCCCACCCAGTCCCCCCCCCCCCCGCAGTCCCAGTCCCCCTCCCGGTCCCCCGACGTATTTCTTCTTTGCATATTTCGAGGCGCTGAAGGCCTTCTGCAGGTCCAGGCCGCCGGAGCCGAAGTCCACCAAGCCAGCCTCAGCCAGCCCCACGGCGCGCCGGCGGCCAAGGGTTCGGGGGGAGGAAAGCCATGGGGCTGGAGGGCGAATGGCTGGGTCCTCCAGTTGGAATCAGTTGGTGCCCGGCTCTTTTCTCTCGCGTGGTCGATTTTAGTAAGGGGACCCTGCACCCCAAAAAGGGTAAAAGGGGCACTACTGGGCAAACCTGGATAGGGTCCTTCCAACTCATTCCCTGCGAACCAGCGAGTCATTTGTTTTCTGGGCCAGGGATGAACTCCTAAACATGGCACTTCATGAGTATAAATGAACCCTGGCACAGTATTCGATAGGTAAAAAGCGAGCGAGTCAGGGTCTCGGCAATGAACCGGTTGTGGTGATTCCCGAACCAAGGACACCATCGGCTGGATGGTGTTCTCTTCAGGGGCCAAGCTCCCATTTTCCCAGGGCGATTCCTCCCGCCCCTTCGTTTCCGCCCATCCTATTGGCCCCTTTGGCCTCCTTCCGACTCTGGGCGGAGCTCCAGAAAAAACTCCATGGGGGCGGGTGGGTGGTGTTGCACCCCCCGAAGGGACCTGGTGAGGAGTTCCCCCCCCTTCGTTCTTTGGGGGTAAGACTGGAAAAACTCAGAGGTGGTTTGCACCCCCCAAAAAAGGATCTAGGGCTATGCTTGAGGGTCTTCAGGTAGAAAGAAATGGTCAAAGCCAAAGGCTGGCTTTTTTTTGTTGGAGCCTCGGAGAAACCTCAAAGGAAGGAATTCACCCAGTCCAGAATCTGGGGTTGCAATTATTCATTCTTAAGTTGTAATTTGGCGGGTCCAGGTGGTTTAATGGAAAAGCCAAACCCACAACGGCTGTTGCTGCTGCAAACATCAGCTATTTGAGGGCCCAAAGTGAGCTCGTTATGATTTGCCCAGAGTGGACCTCAGTTGTTGCTGTATTGGACACTTATTGAGACAAACCATGATTGTGACCTACCAGTTACCCTGTTACAGTTGGGCAAATTACCAGTATGCTTGCCCAATTTCTATTCTTAAACCGAAACCCGCTTAGATAAGCTTGTTTGCATTGTTTGCAGTGTATCTAAGCAAGCCACTATGGCAGGCAACTATGGTTTCAGACCTCATTTACTTGCATAACGGTTGTCCTTATGACCACACGCTTCGCTTCTGGGTTTCAAACGGGTGGAACACCCCCCTGGTTGCCCGCGGCAACTGGAAGCCATTTGTCTTGATTTCCATATCCTTGCGACCATCATCAACCCGGGGATGCTGGTTCATTGGAAACCCAAACCACCCAGCTGTTTGGCTTTGTGGTTGTGGGCGGAAACCGCCAGTTTTGGGCGAAAACCAAAAACACATCAGCGGAAAACAAAGGCCAATAATAGAAAGGGGCTTCCTTCCGGCCTTTTTAATTCCCGCTGTGCATTCCTCATCAGGTTTCTCTGCAGAAACTGCTCCACTGCAAAATGTGCGATACGCGCGTTAAAAGAACGCGCTTGGTTTGGAGATTTCTATCTCAAACCATACTGTGGACGAACGAAATCCTGCACCATGACATGAAACCAGGGCTCAAACCATCAGTGTTTGTTGGTATTTACATCATTCCAGCGTTTCTCCTCGGTGGTGCGATACTCGGGGATTTCGCCACCCATCCACCGTATGGTTGCAAGGACCCCGCCTGCGGGCGGGCCCCCAATCGCTGGGGGCCGGGCGTCCATCATCTGCTGACCCTTCGCCTGGCCCACGTTCACCTCGTCCGATCCCCCCGCACAAAGCTTGGCGGCGAAAAGAGGATCCCTTGCCAACAAGGTTTTCCTGGACCCTCAAAATTGTGAGGTATTGCAACCCAAACATATGGTTGGTGAATTCTCTTCTTTTTTGGTAGTTTCAGGATCCAAGTTTCCCTTTTGGTTTATGCCTTGCAAATTTGATATTTTTCAGCCGGCATCTAATCCCGCACGAAACGGAAAGGATTGAGCCGGCTTCAGGAACGACTGCTCGTGGTGATTTATACACCCGAAGCACCTGGTGATCATCTTTGGGACCTAGACAAAAATTGTGCCAAATGGCAACAACATCAAGATCAGGGACCCTACAGACTGCCCCGCAGGGCCGTCAAGGCCCCTTCAGCCCCAGAAAAGGTTCGAAAGGAACCTTCTTAGAAGCGGCTCTTATCGAAGGGCTTGGTCATCAACCTTTTGTGGTGTAGGGACAGGGGTCCGATGTTGTCTCTTACAAAAGAAGTGTTTACAGGTATGTGTTGTTTGTGAGGCTCAGTATCCTTGCGGCTCGGTCAGATACGTCCGGTGAAACATTTGATCCAAAAGTGGATGCCAGGTCGCCCAGGTCAAAGATCTCAATTAACCATGGCAAACTGGAGAACACCACGGGGCAACTGCTATTTTATAATATACTAGTGCTGCTTCGAAATCCGTGCGACAAGTGCGGAAAAAATGGTAACCCTGACAAGGAAAACTTTGAAGGGCACCGAGCTCATTTTCTTTCCTTGAGTTTCACGTTCCAGCCTTTTTCAAGGCAAGACTGGGATCACTGCGATCCTGATGATAGCATATATATCCCAGAACCTGGGCAAATTGTATACCTGAACCCTCAACCTGCCCAGAAAAAGGGAACTCACCCCACAATTGTGCGGCAAACAACAAAGTTAAGGGAATTGTGAGGGGCAAGGTAATAATTCCCGAATTGGAAATCAGTAACCCCCCCAGTACAGGGCCTTCATGAGGCTTGGAATCCCTCGCTTCCCTCGGTGACTTTATGATCTAGGCGTCGACTCGTAATTACTTGCTGGTGCTCACTAAAAAATGACCGAGACCGGGTGTTGGGCATGAACCTAGGGATTTCCTTAAAAGGAAACCGTAGGGGATGGTTTTGCTCGGGGTCATTCCCTCATTCCCTGCTGAGCAACAGCAGCACTGGGCCAAGCCCAGAGGATTCGGTTCATTCCCAAGGAACTTTTGCATGAGAGCTGCTCTGGCTCGCTCTGAGGTCCCAGCATCCTTGTAGAGTTTCAGGTCCATCTCCAAGACGTAAGAGTCATGCATGGTGTACCTGCCATCCAGTCCTTTTGCAGGGCTTCTGCAGCTTTCTTCCCTACACCCCAGAAGAAAACTCAATTTAAGGCAACCCAAAGGCAATACGTAACACCACTAAGACTGGAAAACATTGTGAATTCTCTGTTGGGGGGTTGGTTGTGAATTGAACGGAGGAAATAACCCCAAACTTTCAGGAATGGTTGAATTGAAAGGTCAGCGAACCCTTCAGGATAGGGATGACATCGACAGTGGTTCAGCTTGACGCTCATCTACAAACGTGACCCATCCAACACAGGCTGGTCTTCTCCAACCAGCGGGGTTGCTAAATTGAATCCAACTGTTTACTGCACATGTTCTTCTCTTTTACAGTGGGGCAACTAATTACTGGATGATCACCCCACTTAAGACTTAGCGGTTTATACCTCCAATTGTTCATAACTCGTCAAGTGGGTGGGCGGTGGGCTTAAGGAACTTATGAAACGGAGGTATTGGCAACTGCAAGGCGCGACCCACAGCCATGCACCTGGTGAAAGTTCGACGAGTTGCTGGGGATCTTAGCCACTCGAGTCATAATCAAACCCGAGCGGTAGTGACATGCTGCACTCAAATGAACAGAATATCCATGAGGCTGAAATATGGCCATGGGTCCAAAATCCAAATCGTACCCCCAGTGAACATCCCAATCCCGACTAAAATAGGTTCTAAAATGGTACCATTGGTTTTGACCCACAGCGGTATATCTGCACCTAATGGCTGGGATTGTTCGTCCTTGAAGTTTGATGGCTCACACATTGGTGGCTCCAAGCATTGAAGCGACCCCGATTCAAGTCCGGAGGTCCGAATGGAACAGCCCTTAATTACACTGACAAGTTCAAAGTTCCTTCATGGAAACTAGGCCAGGGAAACTCGCGTTTAACAGCCCAAACACATGCTTAATCGAGCTGTCCGTTCTGAGATCCCCTAAAAGTCTAACCTGTAGCGGGTTAAATGAACCCCCTACCAAACGAACTAAAGCATAAAAACATAAGGGCATGGCTGGGAGCCACCAAGTTAGACAAAACCATTAAAAGGGCAACGTTTGCCGCAGGAATGAACCGGGTGCAAGTCCCGGGCCTCTCCCATTTGAAAACGCGCAAACGAGCACACGCGCGCGCGCGCGCGCGCTCAGAAAGGGCTTTCGCGAGGCAAGCGAAACGCCTGTAATTCAGGCAGCCCAGGACCACGCCCGCTAGCACCTGGCCAGGTCGCAGCTTGTACAAAAACAAATCTTCGGGCTGTGGCTCGAACATAAGTGCTTGTCCACATGGGTGTGTCTTGTTTCTTTGTAGAACCCCCCAAACAAATGAGTGGATCTCGTGTGGTTTCCCATTCAAATCAAAAGGTAGATGTGTAAAAAGGACATGACTATACATGGATGCTAAAACGGATCCCTGGAAACAATCTCCCTCTAGACTCCAGCGGGACCCTGTTTTAGGCTCATTTGTTTTGTTTTGTTTGTTTTGGGGGGGGGAGGGTGGCTAAACTCCCTGACAAGTTCCCATCCCCTGGGAGTTACTCCACATATAACCGACTGAATGGGGACTTATTCACCAGGGATATTAGACACTAAGCGGGATGGTGTTGAAAGCACTTTGGGCAGGCAGATTGGAGGGTCTCAAGTTGGTACTTCCTGGTCGCCGGCCCAAAGCCAACTGGCAACCAGATTTTACCAACATTGGACAGAACCTTGAAAGGGGCACTGGGGTTTGTCTCCGGCCGCTTTCCCTCTGTTCTTCCCTGAAAAAAACCGTCCAGTACCAGGGGTGCTGACAAGGGACCGGTCCTTCATGAGCTTTTTCAACCCAAGTCCCCAAGCCCCAAAGGGTCTTTGGGGGGGGTGGGGGGGGGGGGGTGGTTTTGGCCGAAACAAACAAAAACACCTTGGAAGTTATATAGTAACTTTCAGGGGAAATGAAGGAAAAGACAAAGGCCAACAAGTGAAACAGATTTGTTAAGACTGGCAATGATACGAACTCCTTTGGGGTTTTGATAGCACCCCGGGGTCTGATTGATGTTCCCTGAAAGCCCTACAAACCACCCCTCCTCGAAGATTCCCAGGTAGTAGTTGGCCTTGTTCTTGGCCCCCAGGGTACACAAACAATGCTGTTGATGGACGAAAACTAGTTCGCACCACCTAAGAAGCCACGGTTGAAACCGGGGAATCTTATCATTCCGTTGGGTTTCTTAGGTGGTGCAGGAATTTCTCCATCCGCAGTATATGTGTGGATTATGTTTCTTATCTTGTCAACTAGCCAACCTGAAATATGCATGTATATATATATATACACATATCTATGAATGTATATATATATATATATGATTGCTCTGTGAGCAGACTCCAGACATTTACTAGCTTAGTCTCGGAATGGGCATTTTTGACCCGCACTGATCGATCGATCTTTCGGGTTTTGGTGCTCCGATCCACAGGCCAGGCACGCGGAGATGCACATGGCCCAGGCGAAGTAGTGATACCTCTTGCCGGAGATGGACCCTGTCCCCCGGTTTTCAGGAGAGATCTCCAAAAAAGTCGTTTCCCTTTAAACACCCCCCTTCCCCAAAAAAAGAAACACAAACAACACAAGAAACACAAAACAGACAACCAATGGTTCCTTACAACAAAAAAACTCAAAGATCCAACTTTGAAATTTGGGGTATTTGCAACCCAAAGCTCTGGTTGGTGAATTCCCTTCTGGGCAGTTCCAAGGTTCGGGAACTTCTTTGGCAACTTCTTGGGCAACTTGAGGCTCACTGACCCCGAACATATCTGTCCCGGGGCGTCTTTCCCGGGGGGTCCCTAAAGATCTACCTGGACCCTGAAACTGCGCAGAAAACGGATGGAACTTTCACCAACCAGAAGATGTGGGCTGCACAATCAAAACCTGGCTGGGACTGCTCCTTACTAACCTTCATCTACCCAGGCTTTGATTGTGGCTCATGTGGGCTGCACACCGGAGCTTTGTGAAGTCGGAGTTTTTTGAGGGTTTAGAAGCGGGACCGTGCGCAGCTTGGCACCAACTCAACCGGGATCCGAATGGGTAAGGCTGCTTCTTGGCTGAAGTTGGTATCTGTGTTGTGATGTTAAAGGAGAACCAAAAGGACACCCATGGTGTGGGGGTGCAACCTTAAAAAAAGGAAAACACCCATATCCAGTTTGCACCAGTTGGTTGAATTCAGTAGTGCTTCATCCATCCCAACTGGTGCAGGATTTGGTTCATCAGCCATAAACAAAAGGCTTTCCTGGGCAAGTTCGCCACCAAGAGAAACTCAGACCCCTGATGACAAAAAATATGTTGCTTGCTGATTGAAAGGGAACGTGATGGAAGGTCAAGGCAAACCGTTCAGAGGTGAGCTAAGTCTGGCAATGCCCTTATGTTGCATCTCATCCTGAAAAAAAAACATGCCAAAGGAGAAATGTAAACGACCCACCCGCTTTCTAATGGAAGTGGATCGGAAGACCACCGTCCTCTTGAGGCCTCTCGCCTTGCATGATTGGCCACAACACATACCCCCAAACAATCAACACAACCATAAGTCGTTCCAAAAATCAAGAACCGATTTGTAGGTGGACAACAAAGCATCACCAAACCGAGAGGCACCTGCTCCGCAAAAACAACAAACACATCTCAATATGGCATTGTCCCTTGGGGGAGCTTTTCTGGGAGTTTGTCAAAATGGTTGATCTCCTTTAATTTTGGCATTTCAACGGGATTAAAGCAAACCACGAGAATTCGGGAAATCCTATTTTTGGGTTCAGATCCCTTTTTCCTTGTCCCCCCCCCAACAACAAAAACAAAGAGAAACGGTTCCTTTTGATTTCCCTTTACAGACCCCCCCCCCCCGCTGCGCCCGCCAAGCCGACCCAAACCCAGTTTGAGACACCCCGTGCGAGCCGAGGCGCCAGTGGGCTGCGCGCCTGTGATCGATCGCCGGCTCGCCGGCTCTTGGCTGGTGGTTCTCGTTTCATGGGTTCTGCGACGTCTTAAAAGGGGTGTTTTAGGGGACACCAAGCAAAACCGCCGATTTTCGGGGTCCCTATTTTTAAGTGGGTGTGGGGCAACAAGGTGTTGTTTAACGTCGTTTCAACCGGTTGTACAGTGGTTTTCATTTTGACCCAGACCCAAAGGAAGGTGTTTCTTTTTGTTGCTTTTTCAGGCTACCTAGAGTCTCCTAGTGCCCGTTAAAACATGGGGTCGCCCAAAAGAGAAGGAAAGGGTCATAGACCCATTTTGAAAGGGTCATGGAGACTCCAAGAAGGTGCTTTAACCATCCAAGCGGAAATTGGGGAGTCCAGTCTTGGTCCAAGTGATGGTCAAACTCGCTTAAAAGAGGGATCTTCCCAAGGTTTATTGACCCCCCAACCTTTGGATGCTTTCTGTAAGGCCCTCCACAAGTACCCTGACACAATTCATTCTCACTCCGATTGACTGGATCCGCTCACCTCTGGGAATTGTCATGCCCTGTTCCCGGTGCCAACGTCAGGATCTTCATGTTAAACATACAGTCCCGGACAGCCGCCGGAACATGCCGCCTAAGGGGATACCCTCCTAATGTAGGTATGTTGATTTGTAGGATTTAAACATCAAAATGGCTGTGATGTTCCTTTTGATCCCTTTTAAAACCGATAAAACAAGGGTATTAACTCGAAAAAAAGGAGAGACCCGTGTTGACAACCCGACAATTCATCTGTGCCTGCCCAGTGACTTGTGTCCTACACAGCTCAGCTATTGACGATGAATCCCAAGCCGGCAACATGGAGATTTACACGGGTGTGCATATGAAGCTCACTCAGCGGCCCTTTGGTGGGAAACAGATTGAAGGGAATAGCCGTAGCTATGCACAAATAGATGTGTACATAAATGTGTTCCTTAAGTGACCAACCAACCCACCGGCCAACCAGCCAACCACACAAGCCAGCCAGCAAAGCTAAGCAAAGCAAAGCAAAGCAAGGCAAGGCAAAGCAAGCCAAAACACACGCCAGCACACGCAGGAAGCCAGGCAGGCAGGCACACAGGCAGGCGAGCAAGCATGGCTGAGGGCGGCACGAGCTCTGATTGCTCCACTTGAAGGCCTCGGAGATGCGCGGAATGGGCGGCACGCGCCATCCATCCCCGTGGGCAGGGCGCCCTGCAAGATGTTGGGTGAGACGTTTCTGCGCCAAGGGGAAAACCAAATGCAGGAAGCTGCCATGGTTGCGGGGCCTGAAAAAGACCACAGCGGCTTGTAAAGCTTCAAAAGGATGTGAATGCAATCATGGCCTCCCAGGAACCCTGGAATGAACTCAGCAGTTGCTGGAGGCCGCCGGTTTTGCAAACACTATTTCCCCTTGTCCTCAAAGGGAAAAGGATATCACTTTGAGGGTGAGGGGATTGAAGACTCCCGGCACACGGATCTGCACAATTCCACAGTTTCGAAACCTCAAAACCAACCTTGCTTTCTGCTCCCCTGCTAAAAGCTTAACTTTTAGTGGTTTAGTGGAAAACCCACTAGTTGGCAAAAAGTTAAAGTCCTAACAGCCAAGCAAAATGCACCAAACCAACTCTTTCTCTAAATGTGACTGGCCCAGTCCGTCGCGCAACATTGCTTGGATCAGACTCCCCGAGCAAACCTTGATCAGACACACCAAGTAAACCCTTGCTGGTGCTCAGCAGGGAATGAGGGAATGACCCTGAAAAACCGCCCCTTCTGGTTTCCGTTCAGGGGAACCCTGGGTTCAGTCCAACTCATTCCCTGCCTATCGCCCCAGCAAGAAAAGGGCAAATGAGGAACCTTTCTGGACCCTCAACAAAATCTCAAACATTGGATCTTGCAACCCAAAAGAACCGTGAATGTCCCTTTTCTATGGGTAGCTTGAGGGTCCAGGTCCAAAAAACCTCCTTTGCTCCGAGCAAACGTTTGACCCGACTCCGCGGAACGCACCATGCGCGCTCCTGCCATTTGCTTTTTCGCCCCCTGGAGAAAAAACATATTTCCAGTAGTGATAGATGCCCTTTAGCACCAACAGGGGAAAGAAAAACACAAAAACATATTAGTTTCCGAAAATGGAAGGCGCGGTTCGATCGTTCGCGCCCGCGGTCTCCAGCTGGGCCTTCCCGCTGCCAGGGCCGACACTCCCGCCGCGCCGAGGAGCAGCGCCGCGATGCTCCAGGCCTCGATCGGTCACCGAAGATCCCTGGGGAACCGAAGAACCCGTCTCTTTTTTGTTGTTTTCGTTGGAGGGACCCCCAAAACATGTGGTTTATATGTGTTGCAGGGACCCCCCCCAAAAAAAAGACAAAACGCAGTTTATATTTGGCTTCCCAAATTGTTGGAACACTCCAAAGAAGTGGTTTCCATTACAACCATGGATGATATAACCTACTGAGGGGGTTGAGCATCCAAGTGGCCCCAAAAGTCACGTACCCAGGCGGCGTTTGACTCATGCCCTGAGTGGTGAAGTTCAGGCACTTGGGTTTGGATTGGACTTTCCGACCTTCTTGGTGGATCGGTGGAACTTCTTGTTTCCGGGAAACTGGGAGACCACCCCCAAATCTCCAAACACCAAACCACCAATTCAGGGAGGCTGAGAGGGAGTGAGCTGAAATGAAAGCCCAGAGGCTTGGAACCGGGACATGTGACATGTGTCAGCTCCGGAAGACACATTCAAGAGACCAAAGGCTTGGTCAATGAAGCCATCTACCTGGACCCTCAAGACTCCCTTACATCCCTTAATCACATTGGATGTTGCCCCAAAATTGTGGGGTGACTTCCCTGTTTTCTATTGGCAGTTTGAGGGTTCAGGTAGGGTTCAAAGATACTTCCTGATTGAGGGCTGACAGCAGATGCAACCAACTGATGATCCACAACGGACGCTTTGGAAGACCTGACCATCCCCTTGCTTGGCTTGTCCCGGCCCAAGGATCTGCACGAACTCATCAATTGTCTTGGTTTCCAAACATGCTGTGGATGGACGAAATCCATTTCGCACCACCTAACCCTGATATGACTCCCCTGTAAATACCAACCAGCAATGGGTTTCCCATGGTTTCAAAGTGGAGCCAAATGGATTTGGTCCGTCCACAGTGGCCTTGTTGCGCGTCTCTTTGAACAAATGAACCCAGAAAAGCTCGGGATGAGAATGACCGTGGAAATCGTTGGCAGCCCCTGGATCAGGAAGCTAACATGGCAGGCAATCAAATGCCTGCGCCGCTCTTGGGGTTGCAGGCTGGGACCGAAACCCAGAGACCGACCCCGGCGAATTGGGTAGCCACCTGGTCTCCATGACCGAATGGGGTCATTACCCCAAACAACGGGGGTCACGGACCCATCTTTAAAGAGTCATGGAGACTCCGTAGGGCTTTCTGAGCCTGGTGCTTTCGGCCCCAAGTTGCAACCCATGTGGCCCGAATCTCAACAGTGGGTCTTTGGCCGGGGTTCTGGAGTCCGCTTCCCGCCATTTGACTGCGGCCGCTTCGCATGTCCAACGTACAGTTGGTACATATATGAACCCTGGGGTTCGGGGGCCTTAAAAAGAAAGGCCTTTGGGAAGCGGCCGTGAAATGTGGGGAACGTCCTTTGTTTGCAAGCTGGACGCTTTTCATTGGGTTGACAGTTTTGTGTTGGCCGCATTAGTAGCCACATGGCTTTGCAGTGCTTGTGGCTGAAAAGTACGCTTTCCAACGCCTCGCGAAAACCATGTAGACATGTTGAAGCTGGTCAATGCTCAAGGTCTTCAACGTTGTGGGATTTCTAGAGGCGTTGATCATGGGCTTAGCAGTGGGAAATCGACAAGGGAAAAGCGTGAAAATACCGTGAAATTGGCGTGAACGCCCTTTTTTGCAGTGAAAGACCGTGAAACGCCGTGAAATTTGGCAGGCGAAAAACCAGTCGCATTCGTCCTGGCTGGCGTTGTTTTCTGCTGGGGTTGAAAAGGTCTTGCTGAATGGATGTTTCGGGAAGACCATGATTGTTCCATTGATGATGCAGAAATTTGCTGCTTTAACGTTGAGGCCTTCGCAAGTCTTGCTTGGTGTGGAAACGGCTTGTTGCTGACGATGTACAGTTGGAATTCCACCCAGGCCCACATCCCCCAGCTAGTCAAACAAAGGATGTTCATGTAACGGCCTTTGTTTTAAAAGCCTTTTACCCCCCAGGGTGAACATAGGGTCGGTGTTTTCTCTGGTTGAACCATATGTGCTAACTCTCGATTGCAAACCGTACCCAAAACATGGTCATGCGGTAGAGAACTTACGACTTACGACCCACCCCTATTGGCTTGGATTGGTGGGATCTGGGAAGTTAAGCTAAGACTGCTTTCTCAAGTACAAGAACAGGGACCCAACCCGCCAAGACCCCTCCCCACAACAAGCAGACCCTCTTTGGCGAACAAAGCGACCAAACAACTTCCCTTGTTCAACCCAACCTGCACACCTGAATAAGGCTTGCGGATGGACATGTGGCCAAGACTGACCCCAAAGGACCTGGAAACAACTCCTGGCATGCCGGCAGGTTTCCCTTTGGAAAACCAAACCCAACCACAAAACCAACGAAAGATCTAAACCTAAGGAACCGGACCATTGGCCGGGACCCGACGAAGCGGCCCTACGGCCCTTTTGAAGTACCGGCAAGGTCGCGCACGCGTCGTCTTCGAGCGGAATTTCTGGGTGTCCCGGGCGAGCCAGGGGTAGGAGAAGCGCAAGGAGAAGGACAAGGCCTGAGTTTTGTGCGATTCCCTTCCGGCCGAGTCGCTTTGTCCTTCTTTTTTTCTTCCGAAGGGTTCCCTTTGATGGTTTTTTTGAAAGGACCCCACATAAGCCGAGGTATACGGACCCAACAGCTCCAGCACCTGGAGCCGAATCTCCTTTTACAGGCCTCCCTGAAAGCGGGGCCCCAAACCACAGCCACATCGTCTTTTTTGGGGACCCCCCAAAATGTGGTGGGTTTTCGTGGTTGGTGTTCCTTGTCAAAAAACAAGGGTACACTCAAACAAAGACAGCGTCTATAGTTTGTGTCCCAAAGCGGAATCCAAGGCCACCTACGGGTTTGGGTGGACGTGATTCCCGATGTTTCCTAACATGACACAGAAGCCAAAGGGTGATGTCTGAACCATCCACGAGGAGGAATACATGGGAAACTCTGTCATCCGGTTGGAACCGCGCGGAACAAAATTCAGCAAAATGCACAAGTGGATCTCAGGCAAAGTTGCGGGGTTATGAGGGATTCAACTCCTTCTGAGGAAGTAGCTTGTCAGTCAGTATCGGTCACATTGAAATGGGATGTGAAGAAACAATGCCCAGTGGATCCCAGTTAATTATCAGCATATTTTCCAGGTTCTTTCAAAAGTTTGGTTTTATTAGATCCCTGCTACAAAGGTAGATGGACTCACTGGGACACTAATGATGAAAGTAAACAAGGCAAGCTAAGTCTGGCAACGTACCTGCGGTCATTTTAATCTTTGGACCATGGTTGAAAGGGTAACTAACGATTGGACATGAAATTCTGATGTCCCTTTCGGGTCCCTAGTTGAAATTCATGCCAACCAACTCTCAAAATGTTCAAAAAACCTGGACTCTCAAGTTTGACTGGGCACCTGGACTCTCAAAACATCCAACTTAAAAGTGTGTTATTGCTCAAAATTATGGGGTGAAGTCCCATTTTTACGGGTTGTTTGAGGGTCCAGGTATGTAAGGCACTTTTCGAGGGGACTTGTGAATTTGGGATATTCACCGCTTTAAGTAGGGTGAAAACGCAAGCACAGACCATGCTGAAGCCTCCCTACCAAGTTCGGTGGGATAGCTTCCGACGGTTTGGTACACAGACCCCACAGACCCCATTCTCTGCAAAAGGAACCACAGAGCCACTGTGTTCTGGAGTGGATGGTCGAAATCCATTTCGCACTTGAAACCATGAGAAAACATTGTTTGCTGGTATTTACAGGGGAATCGTATCATTCCAGGGTTTCTCAGGTGGTGCGAAATGCATTTCGTCCGTCCACAGTATCGGCTTAGGACTGCTCTTGGCCACCACTTTTGAGGTTCCCCAAAATTCAGATCGCCACATGTGCTCCTTCAATTGGGAGCTGTGGGAACAAACAAAAGGAATTCGAAGTTGACGAATCTTTCAAAGTCATACTGTGCATGGCTGCAAAATCCATCCCGCGCCACGCAATGAAACTATGCAAAGCAAACCATCCTGAAGTCTCCTTCTGACCCTCTGAAAATGGGCCCATGACCCATTTCTTTGTTTAATCCCCCCCCCCCAATTTTTCAGGGAATGGGTCCATGACCCATTTCTTCATTTTGGGCAACGCCCAACTCCATTCTTTTCGCCGGAAGGATCGAGACGCCAGGGAAAAGAACCTTCGTTGGCCTTCGGCCTTCGGGAACTCCTCGGGTTTCGTTGGCCATGGGTCAAAATCCAAAATTCCGGTTAGCCCCGAGTGAGCATCCGATTCAATCCAACGACTAAAATAGGAAGCCTAAAATGGGTGGTGAATTCACCAATCTCAACCAAAATGGGATCCCAAAACGGTTTTGACAACCACGAAAATCCAACGACTGAAATGGGTGAATTCGCCTACCCCAACCTAGGCTGGAATTAGGACCCCAACAAAAAGTTTATCTTTTTTGACTGGCTGGTGGAAAACAAAGGGACCCCAAAAAAGCAAAACAACCAAAAGGGGAGCTAATTCTATAGGGAAGATACCTGGACCCTTTTAAGTTAGAAATTTCGAGGTTCCAGGTACTTCCCCTCGCGAATTCCGCTTTCAGCCCAGCGGTTTGACCGCCAAGCGGACGCAAAAAGGTACCTTAAAAACTCGCTTCCCGAGTTGATTGGCCAAAAAAAGTCCAAACGTTTTGTTTGCCACCAAAATGGTCTTCCCAAAAAGTGACTAAAGTCCATGAACTCAGGGAGTGAGAAAACGGCTTTGACAGCGAGTTCCTTGGGATCCTCGGGCGCCGGCCCAGAAGGTCACCCCAAAGGCTGCCCAAGGCCTCGGAGAGACGCCGCTTGAAGCCCCAAGGCCAGGCCCCTCGGTACTGGCGGCAAAATCCGCTTCTCGCACCACGAAATGAAACCTCGGTGGCGAAATCTGCGAAGCCCTGCTAAAAGTGACGAACTTTTCGTGTTTTTTTTTTACGGAAAACCGGTTCGTTGGCAAACAAGTTGAAGTCCTAACAGCCAAGCAAAATGCACCAAAGGAAACCATGGTTGAAACCATTTCTTGTTGGTCTTTACAGGGGAATCGGTTCTCATTCCAGGGTTTGTTAGGTGGTGCGAAATGCACTTCGTCCGTCCACAGTATGGAGGTTACCCAGTGAGTCCATTTGCACGGCTTTTTGTAGGTAATAGGTAACCAAGACCATGTGTTCATGCGTACACGCACATAATATTCCTTCAACAACTTAGTTGGTTGCTGGTTGCGTGAGAGACTCAACACCAAAACGGGGCACGGTACAATAGGTAAGCCTGGCAAATAGGTAAGCCTGGCAAGGTATACATCGTGTATCCCGATGTTCGACAGGAACATGAAACCAGTCCAACCATTGTGACAAGGGTAGGAGGCAACCTTGAACAATGGGAACGCAAGGACCCGACCCGACCAAATTTTCGACCCACGCGGTTTGCTCGTTGTTCGGAGCAAATGAATTGGTGTGTCTTGACCCCTTTTTTGAGCTTCCGTTTAAAACCACCACAGGGTCCCGGGACCCTGAAAAAGAGACAGACCCGTCTTGGTTGCGAAATCTGCTCCCCTGCTAAAAGCTTAACTTTTAGTGGTTTAATGGAAAACCCATTCGTTGGCAAAAAGTTAAAGTCCTAACATCCAAGCAAAATGAAACAAAGCCGTATAATCTCTACTGGACCAAGGAGTAAAGGCGCGGGCTTCTCTGTCATCAAAACCTGGTAACCCTGTGAAGACTCTGGCGGAACTAAGCTGTCGAGGGGCTGTTCAAAGGGGTGTCCCTGACTAAGCTGTGCAAATAAGTTGGAAGCACCAAGTCTGGATGAAGTTTGGGGTCCCTCACGAGACAACCCTCTGGATGGCTGTTTGCAGGTGAGCGGGAGAACAAGGTTCAACCAAAAGTTAGAAAGTCCAAAGTTCCGACTGCTGGGTGTTTCTCTTTCTCAACATATCCCCTAAAAAAAACCTTAGGTTTTGCTTGGGAAGCTGAGAGAGGCCCTGGCACCAAGAAGTTCGCGAAGACGGCCACCAAGTTCAGCCGCGGCCTGAACGAACCCCCCCTCCCCCAGTTGGCCCATGGGCACGAAACAACGGGCCCCATTTGTTGGGACCCCAGACAAAATTGGCATTCACAACCACAATATTGGGTTGCGAAAAAAATGTTAAGTTGGAATTTGGAGGGTCCATGTAGACTGAAACCCAGAAGTGTCCATTTTCGGGACATCAACGAATCAACTGGGTTTAAGCACGCCCTTGAAAACTGGGTCTACCAACAAAAATACGGGGCCACCCCAAAGAAGGGCCTGGGTGGCTGTCCCGAAAAAAGCGAAAAGGGACACCTCTGGGTGAAATCCTAGGCCAAGCAAAAGGAGCCCTACGGCTCCCAATGCCAAGGTTCAGGGAATGGGCCGTCAACCGATGCTACGTTGGCAGAATCCGAACAACATCCCAAGCAAGGATCACAACCTCGACCCTCGAAAAATCCGACTTAACATGGGACAACTTGTAACCCCCATTTTATGGGAATTGGTGAATTCCAGCTCCTTTTTTATGGGTAGTTCGAGGGGCAGGGAGACATCCAAACATGCCTCCACCCTCCGTTCCTTCCTTTCGATTCCGCAAGAACATGCCGGAGTGCCCGAAAGCGCGTGACTTTGGGTTCGCCTGTGCTTGTCATAGTCTCATGGACCCTCACAAGAATCTCGACCCACCCAGGTGCCCTTCACAGATGAACCTCTTTCAACAGACCTGCCAGGCTGTTAACTTCCCTCAGCTCCCATGTCGGTGACAAAGGGTAGAACCTCTTTCTAACACGAAACTCACTATCCATTATGAGCGCTTGAAGCTCATTGGCGTTGTAAGACGCTCAAGGTTTTGTCTTAGACTGCAACCCCTAACATTAACCTTTTGTTGGTTCACAAAGAACATGAAGACTCAGAAAGGCCCAAAAGGCGAGAACACGTTGCGTCGTGTATTGAGGCCTTCTTGTGATCCAGCTAGGGCTAGTGCATTTCTGTGTGTCCTTAGTGTGGATGGACGAGATCCATTTCGCGCCGCTTTGAAACCATGGTTGCAACCATTTGTTGGTATTTGCAGGGACATCGGTTCTCATTCCAGGGTGCTGCGCACAAATTGTCCACAGCAAGAAGGTGCGGACCGAACCCTTCGTGGATGGGGCCTTTGGTGTCCTTGCTATGGGGATAGATCCTGTACCCAGGTTTTCTAGTAGGGTGTCAGCACGTGTCTGAGGTCCCGTGCTTTCCAAAGCCGCTGTCGAGCGACACCTGCGGCTTGGTGTTACCTAGAAAACATTGGCTTCTCACAACTTCCCCAGCATCCAACTACCTGGAGTCTCCATGACCTGAATCAAGAATGGGGATCCATGACCCATTTCCTTATTTTGGGTAATGACCAACCATTTTTAACGGGTCCTTAGGAGACTCGAGGTAGCGCTATGGGGGGTCCAGGTATTGCCTTGACCCCACAAAAACAGCCAGCTGGCTCCCAGTCCGGAGCGGTCCTTGCCAGTGCCATAAGTCTGCGGCCTCGCTGCGAAAGGAAACCAGCTGGGAGGGGGCAGGTACCGCCTTCTGCTTCTCTCCCGAGACTGGCCAAAACACGTCTATTGATTTGGTCATTACCCAACACTAAGGGGTTGTGAGCCCATTTTTGAAGGGTTATGGAGACTCTAGGTACCAGCAACATGGTCTTTCCAAAAAAGGTTAAAGTCCAGTCTATGAATTCAGGGAGTGAGGATTGCCGTGGATGAAAGAAAAGAATCCAAGCAAAGGGAAGCCGAAACAAGGGACCAACCGGCTTTGAATCGGACTCAACCGGGACCTGAAGCAACCATTTGCACATGAACCCCCCAAACCAAATCCTGTGACGAGCTTCATGGAACACGGGCTCCCGGGAAATGCAGGGAAACCAAGGGAACGGAAGCCAGGTTCGGGCTATATCCGAAAATTCCAAAGAAGTACCTCACCAAAGCAACATGAAGCCACGAATCAATGTTCAACACTCACTGTGAATGGCTATGGGGACACACACACATGCATTACCCCAAAGGCTCTCTCCAGCACAGTCCCGGGTACATGGCGGGTGTTAAGCCACACCTTCCATTGTCTCAAGAAGCTTTGCGCAAAGAAGCGGGCACTGGGTAGGAGAGGGGTCAGATTGCTGTTGTGGCTGAAGTCCTCCCCAAGTCTTCCAGCTCCCAAGCCCCCTCATCCCTTCCTGCTTCTTTGTTTCTCTGATAAGCTTCAAACTGCCTTAGCATTCCCCCCCCTCGAACCAGACAAAGTACCTCTGACTCTGGGGATCCACATATATATATATATTATATATATATATGTGGCAGTGGCACAAAATTAACGAGCTAGGGCTACGCAGGTGTTGGTCTATGTTTCCACTTACCAGCATCCATTTTGGTACCGGTTTCTTGAGCCATACCCATATATTTTTTGTGTTTGGTTCGAAACCTTTAAAACGAAAGCCCAACGAGGGAGCCCTCCAAAAAGAACAGCATGTGGTAAACCTTAAGCAACCTGTCTACATAAAAAAAAAAAGACTTCTATACCTGCACAGACTTCTTGGCTGAAATTTACTTAGCCTTTCTCTTGCTAGCATTTCTGGGAGGGTCATCAATTTCCTCTTAGGGGACCCCCTGTCAAGTGCCATGTGGGGGTAGGGTCAAAATTAAACCAGCAGGGGACCGCCTGTTGTAGTCATGGGTCCCGTTCACCAGGGCAACCCATTTTGGGTACCCATTTTTGACCCACAGCCATGTTGGGAAAAAGTGCAGATGCCGAAAAAACAAACAGGACAGGTGACCATCAAGCTGCTCCCTGTGGCTCCCGGCAGCATCGGCCTTTCAGCCGGCCCGGCCGGGCCCCGGAATGGGCCACCCGGCGCTTCGTTGGTTCGAGCCAAAGCTGCGGCGCGAAGCGAGTCCCAAGTGGGTAGGTGCAAAAATAGGGAGCCGGGGACCCCCCTAAACCCTGAAAAGTCCGTTTCAAATGTTGTGAGTATTGCCACATAATTATGACAGAGTTCCCCCTTTTTTCGGGTAGTTTGAGGGTCCAGGCCCAAATAAGAAGCCGGTTTCGGGGGTGCGCCCCAACCGGTTCGATTTGTGCGTTTTGGGGCCCACCCCCTGGGGGGTTCTGGTGGTAATTTGTGAATATGGACACCCAATGCTTGTGGGTTCTGATAAGCCTCAAGGAGTGAAGTAATCAGTGCAGCTTGGAGATCTCAGATTCATGGGAGAGCCCAAAGCCGACGTTAGATGTGACCCGCTTGGAGCCAAACCCAGCGCCCGAGTTTTAAGAGGGGACTACTTTGGAATAGGCCTTCGTAAAGCCCCATCTGAACAGGGAGAGTTCGGAGGGGTGCCAGGGCTGGGAATGAGGGAATGACCCCGTGAGAACCTTTCCATGTGGGTGGTGTGGAACACCACCATCTTTTGTGTGGGGGGAGGCTCTGCTTTCAAACACATACAACATGATGAAAACGCATGTCCCTGAAAATCCATCCAAAAATGGTACTTACCCTCAAACACAAACCACACACACACACATACACCGGTGCAACTGTTGCGAAGTCCATTTCGCACTACGAAATGAAACCATGGTTGAATGGCGCTTGTTGGTATTTCCAGGGGAATCGGTTCTCATTCCGGGTTTTTGAGCTCGTTGCTGCGAGACTGGCGGATGACCCGCAACCATGCACAAGATGGGTTTGTCTTTTTAAGGTTGGACCCCCAAAAAATGGCATCAGTTTTCCTCTTTACAACCAACCAACAAGAGGGTACAGCTAAAAAAAACACCTGAAGTCTCCTTCTGACCCTTTAAAAATGAGCTAGGCCCTCCAGTGGAAAGGTTAGGGTAAGGGCACCAACTTTTTTCAGTAGTCTATTTTAGTAGGAGCACCCTCCCCCAAACAAATGAGAAAGGGCACTACTGGGGGACCTAGTCAGCACTTTTTCGGCTCGCTCAGCAGAGCAGCGTTACCGTGGAGGCGGTGCCAATGACCAGCCCCGCGAGTGCGAAGGCTAAGGGCGCACGTTGCCCGGTCACCCGGTGAGCGCAGAGCCCCGGGAACATGAACCTCAAGATGCGCGACCCCGGCGTTTTCAGCAAAACCCCGGCCTGGAGTCTCCTTCTGCTTGAAAAATGGTTGGACATAACCCCTTAAGTTTTGGTAGTGACCCCATTTTGAAAGTGTCATGGAGACTCCAGGTGGTCGATTTGGAGAGATGGGGTGTCGAATCTATTTTAGTGGTTGGATTCAGACCACTTTTGGAAGGGACACCCCCGATGAATGGGACCGCTGGGGTCAACATTTCCTGAAAACCTGAAAAGCAGGACCTGAAAAGGGCCGAGGGAAACCACGGGGCCTGCCAGAAAACAATCAACACCCTCCAGGATGAAGGATTGCCCTTTGCTTCTTTGAAAACCACTCCAAAAAGGATAACCTGCACTGAACCCAGCAGCATTAAACAAGTCCTAAATGGCGAATCCCTCACAAACATCACTTGTTGATATATTTGTTGACAGGGACAATCAATGGAACACCAAAAAGGCAACATGCTAAGGCAAGTCTCACCCCTGCACATGGTACTTGTTTCGGGGTCCCAGAGCAGCTTCCTCTCAGTATCATGGCTCTTTTCGGTCCAAAAGGGGAAGTCTGGCCATGTTTCTGCACACAAAAATGCTACCCTCAAATTCCCGTCACAATTGGTTCTGGCCCCGGAATTACGGCTGGTGACTTCCCCGTTTATGGGTACTTTGACTTGCTGGTAGGGAATGTGGGGATGAACCCAGGGGTCCCATAAAACGACGAGAACCACCAGTTGGATGGTGTATTAAGGTTCATTCCATTTCTCAGGGATTTTGCATCTGAGGGTCCAGGTAACACCTGATGAAGTTACACCTAACAGACTCCAACACAGGGTTCCTTGCCCCCATAAAAGCAACGCTTGACCCAATTTGGATGACAATCCGTAGGTAAATGGTGGTTCTATGAAAACGCAGCCCTTGTTTTAATGTTGGCCACTGAACCCCAGGGAACAGCTTGACACCGGCCTGGAGTCACCATGACCTTTCAAAATGGGTCCATGACCAACCATTTTTTAAAGGGTCAGAATGAGACTCCATTTTTTAAGGTCCATGACCCATTTCTTTATTTTGGGTAATGACCCGTCCCATTTTTTAAGGCTCAGTCTCGGAGACTCCAGACTCCAACCGCTTGCGCGGAAAGCAGCGAGGCGCATGATGGCTGTGGTGCACACCGCCGACGTGAGGCCCAGAGGTTTCGCCAGCGCGCCGTCCAGGGCGCGAGCCATGAGGACCATGAAGCCCAGCAGAAGCACTGTGGAGGTCACTCGGGCGCAGCCTCAGGCGATAGGCGGTCCCTGCTGAGTGACAGATCCCCTTTAACAACCAACACGGGAAAGCAAAACATATTCATTTCAGCAAATGGCAGATGTGTGTGTAAAACAAGAAAAAGAAAAGACCATAAAACACATTCCTAAGCAAATGGAAGATGTGTGTGTAAAAAAAGGGGAGCCTTCCCCAACTTGCCGTGCTTGCTTTTCTTGCTGGTGCTATAGGCAGGGAATGAGGGAATGAACCTTATAAACCATCCAGCAGGTGGTTTCCTTTGAGGGGACCACCAAACGGTTCATTCCCTCATCCCCTACTGAGCACTACCAAGTCTTTTGGGACCTATTTTGGGAACATGAACATACTGTGGTGGACAAAATCCATTTCGCACCACCTAAGATACCCTGGAATGATTGGGAAAACGAATCAGCGGGGATATGGGGGAAGCGGGGATGCGCGAGGACTCTCTGTAAAGGAAACCATGCATGTCTAAATATTACCTGAAACATATACCCACATCCCTGCTTCCCCTGCATCCCTGCTTGTTCCTTGTCTGAAATGACACGATTGCCCTTGTAAATACCAACACGCAACGACTTCCCATGTTTTGAAAGTGGTGCGAAATGGCAAGTGAGTTTTGGCCATGTAAAGAATCAAAAGGGCCGCCGCACCTATTCACGTCCTGCCTCAAGGGTTGAGGAAGAGGTCTTTGGGAGGTGGCTTCTACTTGGATGCCCCCCAGTTCATCAAGTACCCAAGTTGGTCAGGGGCAAATCCCACGGGGAAACAACGAATCTGAATCACGTACTAAGTTAAGTGTGGTAGTCTCAGCTTTAGGATCATGAACAAATATGGGTATATGTCTTTCCGGGACACCCCCCCCTAAAAATGGTGGTTGTCTTTTTGGTTCCCCCTTACAACCCAACCAAAAGGTGGTCCCCAAAAACAAGACACAAGCATACTGTGGACCACCACCTTTCAGAAACCTAACGGAATGGTACTATTTCCCGTAAATACCAGCAACCAATGGTTCTTAGGTGGTGCCATTTCTGGATGACTCGCAACCATCCGCAGCTATGGTTGCTATTGATCGCACCCAAATGGGCCCCCACCAAATCGCCGAAGCGCCAACTGGCGCGCCGCAGTCCAGTCCCAGGACCAGATGACACAAGGCCGCCCGCGCCTCACCCCAAGCCGCTGGGATTTCCCCACACTGCTCAGTCGATCACTCTGCCCAGCTTGGTTTCGTGGAAACTACCACTACGCCCTAAAAAAACACACTGAAAAGCTAAAACATCTATCACTAAGCCCTCAAAAAATAACACAAAAAACAACAAACTACTAAATCAAGGAATGCATAGGGTTCCCAAGCCCGAAACTGACATCAAACCCCTTCAAAGGGATTTCCCTGTCATCGACTCTGCAGGGGAGAAAAGCACAGCCATTTGGGTGTGGCTCAAACAAGTGGTATGTTTGGGCCCCGGATGGAAACAAAGACGAAAACCTGCGTAGCCCCAGCTAATTGATTTTGAGCCACACCCATCTGGGTGTCTTGCCTTAGGGAACCGCCAAAAAATAGGTGGTGTATTTTTGGTTTCCCTTTAACACCAACGTGGTCACTCTAAAAAAAGCCGAGCGCCACCAGCCAAGTTTGGGCCTCAACAACTGGGCTCTCCTGAGATCCCCTGCTAAAAGTCTAGCTTGTGTGCTAAATGGAAACCACACCACGAAAACCAACTAAAAAAACACCTAAAAAACACTTTCTGAAACCAGATGGCTGGTTGAAACGCCCTGCTGGTCGCGGGTTTGCCGCCGGGGCGCCAGGGGCACGTAGACCCCGGCGCAGGCCGCGGTGAGCTGCAGTGCGATGGCGCCCCGCGCCAGGAGGCTGGGGAGATGGCTCGAGCGGAAGCCTCGGTGGTTTGCGATGGACGCGGCGGGCGGCACGGTTTGATTTTTTTTGAAGCTGCCTGGAGTCTCCCTAAGGACCCTTCAAAAATGGTTGGTCATTGCCCAAAAACAAGGGGTCATGGACCCATTTTTTGAAGGGTCATGGGGACTCCAGGTACCTGTTACCTGGACCCTCAAGAACTACCCAGGAAAAAAGGGGGAGGTCACCAAGCTGCCGGAAAAGCGAAAGAACTTCCCAGAAAAGCGCGGAAGTCACGAATTCCTTCATTTTGGGGGTGCAACATAAGTTGGAATTTGAGGGTGGTATACCCTTTTTGGGGTGGAAGTCACCAATTGCCAGATTTCGGAGTGCAAACACGCATGTTTAAGTTGGAATTCTGAGGGTGCAGGTATACCCTTTTTCGGCATGGTCTTAAAAGGACGCCAACCATTTTGAAATTTCCTGGACCCCGAGAAAAACCATCCAATGAGGGAATGGCATTGTTGAAGGAAATCACTTCTTTACGCATGGTTGAAATCTACATGGTTCATGGTTCTTCAAATGGGCAACTGCAGAATGGGAGATAAGTTAGATCCACTTATTTGAAGAACTGAAGCCAGTTAGGGGTTAAATTGGAAGGGCTTCTCATCACACACGCATATATATGTACATGTTTTTGTTTGGTCTCATCTTTACCCTGGTTTGAAGATACGGCAGCAGGCTTTGGTTGGATGTCTGAGAGGGGCCTCTTATTTTGACATGGGAACCAAAGGCTCTTGACCCGGGTTTTGTATCGGTTCTGGCTCGACCTTTTCAAGGGAAAGCCTCAGGTGGATTCCAAGGCCATACTGCAAGGGCGGGCAGTTGCTCCCCTGAGGACTGTTCAAGTGGAGGCTACTCTTAATCTCCCCTGACCTCAAATTCGGATTTCGACGCTCAAGCCAAGCTATCACTACTTAAAGGGGCGATCGGGTACTACTAACGTGAGTAAGCCTGGTTGTCCCGCCGAACGGAGACTTATCACCCTGGCTGATGTGGGTTGTCTCACCATGGTTATTACCCACTTACCTGACGTACAATGGCCCTTTAAGTATAGTTTTAGGCCCTCAAAATGCTTGTTTCCAGGGGCTTTGAGGAATTGGTTCAGGTTCTTCATACTGTGGATGGACGAAATCCAAATTCGCACCCGCTTGAAACCATGGAAAGCCAATGTTTGTTGGTATTTACGGAAGAACTATCATTCCGTTGGGTTTCTGAGTTCAGGGGTGCGACATGGATTTCGTCCATCCACAGTTATGTTGACATCAACCCCAGTTTCATTCATAGGGGGTGTCCGTGGGTGTAGCGGGGGAACCAGACCACTTTGGGAGGCAACCACCCCCTACCAATCAACTGGGGGTTGATTATTGTGGGGTCAACATAAGCAACCCAGGGGCCTGCATTGGGCCCAGTGAGCCTTAGGACACTCGCGTTCTCGACCCAAGTCCCAGTCGCCGTCCAGTACGTTGTCCGGGGCGGCCTGGCAGAATGAGACATAGCCCGCCACCCCGCTGACCACGTAGTCCAGAAGCGCAAAGCTTTGCCTCAAGACCCGAGAACTTGGCGGGAATTCGGACCGGAGCCCAGGAAAACAAAGGGGAGCAAAGCAAGCACAACAAAACAAGGGGAGCTAATTCTGGGGGAGAGAAGTAACCTTGCCTGCGATAGGTAGGGAATGACGACAGTTTCCGAATTTCCGGGTTTTGGGAAAGAACCGGAACGGGATTCCCGAATGAAGGAAACCATAGGATGGATGGTTTATGGGGTCATTCCAATTCGCATTCCTTGAGAACCAGTCTTTGCACCTTTGCAACAAGTGATCCAATTGTTTGCTGCTTCTTAGGAACATGTTCAGAAATCCAAGAACGAAGCGGGGATGGGGTGATTCATGGCTGGTCCGTCTTCCCGGCTGCTCCCAAAACCGTCCCCTTGTCTTCCCCACTCCCGTCAAGTGATGAACATGTTGCACCAACATAGAAACTTGAACCCTCAGGATTCCCTGAAAAATGGGTTGTTGCCCCAACATTCTGGGGTGAATTTCCTTTGCTATAGGTAGCTCGAGGGTCCAGACAGTTTGTTATATATATATATATATATATGTATATACACGGTATACATATATATATATATATAGTGATGTTTCAAAACGTTGAAAGTGCTCCACGTATGTCACGAAGCTACACCGACAGACTCCAACATTCCATGGCGAAATGGGTAACTGAGTGTCCAAAACACCAACACTTCCGATTTTCCTCGAAGGCACCCTTAAAAGCCAACCTGAAAACCATTAAACAGGGCACACCTGGACCCTCTTAAAGTCTTAAGATAATTTAAGGGCATACCTGGACCCTCTTAAGAGAATTTCGAGGGTCCAAGTACTTCCCCTCGATCATTTCCGTTTTCAGCCAAGTGGCGCCAGCCAAATCAGCTTGCTGACCGCCTCCCGTGGCGGCTGGAACCTGCAAAGACAAGCCCTTACTGGGCCACCCCCAATCGAGGACTGGTGGGCCCCTGCTTTTTCGAGGGTACCCTTTTAGGGCCTGGTTCAAAGGGAAACCCAAAGAACCCCCCCCCCACCCCCCCATTTTGGGGGAACCCCTACTGTGGATGGAGGAAATCTATATCGCACCACTTTGGTCCGAAATGGATTTCGCCCATCCCGTTGAGACAAAGCCACTTGTCTGGGGCCTAAAAAACAGATCTGAGCGAGCATGAATCAGACCCAGTTGCCCACAAGCCATCTCTGAGCGGATGGACACGAAGGCAGTGGCCGCATTCATGCAGAAGGAGAACCTCGCGAACACAGCAGCGCTCGCTTCACCCATTGGCTTTTGGTTCTGACAGGCCCGGTTATGAAGCTTTATATAGGCTTTACTTACCCCCCCCCCAAAAAAAAAAACAAAAAAACAATGAATGAATAACTGACAAATCCACTGGGGGGTTTGCGCTGCTCAGTGGGACCCTCCGGTGACTTGCTTAGAAAGGGGCAGCCGTTCTGGCTTCCAAACCACAAAGCTGAGCAAAGACTTCAAGTAGCCCCGAGGTAGGAGTGACAAGACTCAGTCTTCCTCGCGGATGGGGGCAACACCGAGCCAAAGCGGTTGCAAGCAGACCGGGTCCAAGTGGATTTCCACAGAAGAAAGGGCACCCTTGTGTTGCTAGAGTTGAACAATTACAGGGGCCCACCACAAAAAAAAAGAAGAGTGAGGCCCCGGTGTCAACATTGGGACTTGGGGAGTGGGGGCCCGGATCGCCGCTATGAGGTGATTCCCCTTCTGTCTCACCTTGTGCAATGCGGGGATTCGGACCCCTTTCAAGGGAAGGAAGACCACCCTGCTTTGTGGCTTCCAATGGCAACATGGGTATGGGCCAAAACCAGGGGAACGCAGGTTCTCGTCCATGTTCCCATTCACTACCATTTACTAGGCCAACCCATTTTGGGGTTGCCCTGTGTTTGACCCCCGTTCCGTTTTCTCCTGCTGGGTTCCATTTTTGGGACCAGCTCTTTGGTGGGGGGTTGCGGTGGGGCGCGACTGCATGCCACGCAACATGGGCACCGCTGCCAGTAGTGCCGGGAACGATGAGATCCAGGGCACCAACGAGAGACCTGTCGCTCACCAAAAGACGCCTAAAGCGGAGCTGAAGTTCTCACCTCCCGTTACGGCTACCTTTCAAGGCCTTAGAGAAAGGGGTGCCCTCAAATTGCATGGAAGCGGGGCTCAACCAAAATGGATTTCTCGGTTTTCCTTTGCCTTCCTTTCAAGGACCCCCAGAAAAAGGTGCCCTCAACAAAGCACATGCTCAAAAATCTTCGTGATGATCTGGCCGGCCGAGGTTTCTCCTTGAAGCGAGGGGGGGGGGGGGCGTTCACCTCCGAAGTCTCGGGTGGGCAAGCGATTTCGACAAAGGCCTGCGGGAAAAGAGAGAGATGTGGCTGTGGATCATCAAAATAGGCAAATGATGTTCATTCACCCCAAAATGGCTCGGCATATGCCCCATGGCCATGTCGTTGATGGTGTATGACCAGTTCGAGGAAATGAAGGGAAGGCACCCTTCTCGAGGCTTACACAGCCATGAAGGTGGGGTTTCTGACAAGGGGATGTTCAAAGGATCGTCATTGCTGGCGTCCTTCAAACGGCTTTGAGGGAAGCCTTCTGCGGGGGGTAGCAGGTATCTAAAAAAACAACAATAAACTTAAACAAGCCGCTACCCCTGCAGGTTGGGCTTCTCCAATAGCCTTCTGCGGGGTGAAGCCCAACCCGCTCGTTGTCCCCTTTAAACACGACCCCACTGCAAGCGCTGGCTCAACTCATGGGCGGACCAGGTGAAGTTTCACCCCCCCCGTTGTTTCAGGCCGAGGCTTCTCAAAATGGAACTCCACAGTTTGTTTCTTCTTTTTTTTTCCGGTGGTCGCCTTAACCAAAGACTCCTGCGACCCTTTCGGGGGGAAGCGTCAAAATAGGGGGACCCAACCAAGTGTTTTTTTTCTGTTCGCTCCCTTCAAACCAACAGTCTTTAAGAGTTGGTGACACCCCTGGGTTCTTGTGATCATTCAAATTTTGACCATGGGCTACCGGCCGGCCATTCGGACCAGACCCCTCCAAAACCCCCCGGCCATTCGTGTTTCCCCGGCCTGTGGCGTTTGAGGCATCAGCGCAGGCATCCACGAACGGGGCCTCCAAAGGAAATTCCACAGTCAAACCCCCCAAAAAAACTCCAAAAACAAGGAGAATTCTCCGACCATAATGATTTTGTTTTGCCAGAACCCATGTTTAAGGGCAGTCTTGGAGTCTTGAGTCTTGAGGGGTTAGGTTGACGTTTGGATTTGTGGGCAAACCAGCCTGCATTGAGTTGCATTTGGTTCCCCTGTAAAGATGGTCAGGGTGTGGTTGTTTAAACAAACTTTGTCTCTGGTCGCCCAAGCACAAATGGGGTCCACACCCCAGCCACTACCAAAGGATATATTGGCCATGTAAGCGTTACACGCAGGTTCCAAACAACTCAACCCCAAAACGGGGCCTTCCCACCTTCGAAAGTGAGAGTTTTGGGAATCGCAAAGGGGCTGCGCCCTTTCATGAGTCTTCCATAACTCCAACAGTTGAAAGAATCGAATCTTCAAGAGACTTCATAAATCATGTTCACCCCGTTTTGCCTGAACTTCTGACCCCCTGAATCCCCCCCATCCCCCCCCCCGCCCGAGCCAAAACGCCACTGACCCCCCCCAAAAAAAAAACGAAGAAGGAACACGGTCCTTGGCTTCGAATCGAATCCCCCCCGTCCCGCCTCCGAGCGCCAGGGCACCTCGCGTACCACGATGAGGGTGGTGAGGAGCATGCAGCAGGTGCCCACCACCCCAGCCAGGCGCAGCACCATGTCCTCCGCGAGTACGACGCGTCCGGCGTACGACGCGTACGGCGCTAGGCACGCGGATCTTCCATGCGGCTTAGGTTGGCGGCACGTGGAAAATGCCAGGCATTGGTGATACCCCACTAATAAGGTCAACTCCAGAAAAAGAGGGGCTTGTAAGTGGGTGACGACCTAGGTTTATAGCAGCTTATAAGATGGCTGCGAGTCATCCATCTGCGAGTCTTCGAAGCACCTTTCACTCAGAAACGCGACAAAATGAGAACCGATGTTTCAACCATGGTTTCACAGTGGTGCAAACCATGGTTGAAACCAAAAGAGAAACCCCCCAGCCCCCCAAAAAACATGTGACCTGATGGACATACCATGGATGGATTGTCGGAAAATCCGCTTCTTCTCGCACCACGGTTCATGAAACCACAGAATAAAACCATAAGCTGTCTTCATTTCTTTGGGTTCTTAGGTGATGCAATTTCGTCCATCCCACAGTATGTCGAGAGACCGGCTCGCGCCCAAATTTGGGTAGTGTACAGAACAAAACCCGCCCCAGAAGCGTTTTGTTTGAGAACACCAGCTGCCGGGAAAAGATCACATAGTGAATTGAACAGATCCCATGCTGATTTCAGTGAGGCCTTTTATTCCCAAAGGGGGGGGGGGCGGTTGCACCCTATCAAGGTTTGCCATTAGGCTTCTTCAGCAAGAAACATGGTTTGGTGCAAAAACCCTTTTGGAGGAGACATGTCCTCAGCGCAAAGGAAAAAAAGTCCTCGGACAAAAGGGTTGGGTTCCTTCTTCCCTCCCGCATGGGGAGGCGGGGTCCTCTCAATTCCAATTTTCCGCAAAAGAGACTCAGAACCATAAACGGGGCTTCAGGGGTTGAACTCCCCACTCCCCGAATTCCATGAATCAAGGGGGAGGTCTCTTGGGGCTCCCCGTATTCTCAACACGGTGAACGGCAAACCTGAACCCTGGAAGCCCTTCTTTGTGTTTCAAAAAAAGAAAAACCAAACAATCAAATTACTTCGCTTCGAGCAATCCCCGCCCTCCGCGCTCACGAGCCTACGACCATTAACAAGTTCCTCCGCATCCTAGAGACTTCGACTCCAAATTCCCATCGGCCGTTTTGGACATTAAGCAAAACCAGACTGGCGAGCAGCTCTGGCGGGATACTGGCAGGATCCACTGGCGAATACTGGCGAGCCGCTCCGGCACGATGCTGGCCGGATACTCGGCAAAATCCACCGGCAAGGGATACTCAGCGGGATAAACGGCGGGATCCACTGGCGAGCTACTCTGGGATACTCAGCGGGATGCTCGGAAGAATGCACTGGCGGGCTGCTCTGGTGGGATACTCGGCGGGATCCACTGGCGAGCTACTCTGGGATACTCAGCGGGAATCTCGGCGGGATCCACTGGCGAGCCGCTCTGGCGGGATACTTGGCGGGATCCAGTGGCGAGCCGCTCTGGCGGGATACTCGGCGGGATCCACTGGCGAGCAGCTCTGGGGGATATTGGGCGGGCCACTGGCGAGCAGCTCTGGCGGGATACTCGGCGGGATCCACTGGCGAGCTGCTCTGGCGGGATACTTGGCGGGATGCACTGGCGAGCTTCTCTGGCGGGATCCCTCCCAAATGAACCATGGGCATTTGGAGCAAACCTATGCCCGTGGAACGATTCTTCGACTGGGTCTTCTGATGCCCGGGCGCTGGCAGCAACGAAAGCGGCAGCACCAAAAAGATGGCGACCAGTGTTATGAGGTCATCCTGGTTCAGCCAATCTGGCGCCTGAGCAGGCTGCCAAATGGTGGGTACAAGCCACCTGATGGATGAGGCCGTATGTTTGGTCCGAATGAGTTCAACTAAGAAGGGGGGGTGGTTGGTAGGGCCTCTGACAATGGGCAACCGTTGACAGGCAAACACCCAAGACTGCATGGGGGCTAATAGGGAGGTCGGCGTTCTGAAGGCCAAGCAAACGTTTGTGGACTAACACACGATACCTGGTTGTTTGAGGCTTGGCCAACCCTAGTCCAACAAAAGATGAACACCTGGTTGGTTTTGTTTGGATGTCCCCTTTGGGATTTTCAGAACCCCTGGTTGAGTCTGGTTGAACGTGACCTGCAGAGGGATTCTGGGGGTGCCTTCCCCATTCCTTCCAGGAACCTTCGGAAACCGAGGGAAAACGGCTGGTTTTTGAAAAGAACGATGGTTGAAACGAAAGGAGAATCAACCCCTGGCAGGATTGTGTTTTTTGTTGTTCCTTCCCCTGCCGACTTCGCGCAGTCAGCGGCTCGCTCTTCATTCGTTTTTTATCGCGCCTGGCCACGGGCGAAGACGGAGACCTCTGTGCTCACGACCCCCATGTAGGACACCGACAGCCCGAAGGAGTAGAGCAGAAGGAAGGCCTCCAAACCGTACCTCCAGCGACTCGAACTCGAGCGCAGCGAGTCGAGCGACTCGAGCGACTCGAGCCCTGGGACTGAAAATCAGTTCCGAGAAAAGCGCCGCACATGATCACCGTGGTGTTTCTTCTTTTTGTTTTCTTCGTTTTTTGGAGGACGTGGATTGACATGGGAAGGCTGAACTCTCAAGCAACTCATAAACAAGGGGGAATTCACCTATACCGCCTCTACCATAACTTTGGGGCAACAACCCATTTTGAAGGGACGTTTTCGGGGTCCAGGCACCCATGTTTGGTTGGTTGACTTTAAAGCACCCCGCCGAGGCAAAATGCACTCGCCACGATTCGTTACCTCACAGACGCCCTATTGACACAACACATCAATCGCTTTAAGCGAGGGGTGCTAGTGGTTTATAGCCAGTGGTGGAAAAAGTGAGGGCAACAATATTACAAACCTCACTTGCCCAAGTGCTTCCGGGGCTTCCACATATGACTGCCGCGAGGATAAAGTAGGGAAACCAAAGATTTCAGACCTCCAGGTTCTACATGCTGACTTTCCCCGCAAAAACTAGGAGTACGTCGCCCAAAAGATCTTGAAATAAAAGGTTCACCTTTGACCTTGACTAGACATGGACCAAAACAGGCAACCCAAAGGGTCGCATCGGGTCGATTCGCTTTGGCTAACTGAGGAAGAAGTATTCGCCGTGGTGGGAAATACACCAATCTGTGACACCAAAGTGGGATTCACATCCAGAAAATTGGGCCTAAAACCTAGTGTTCCACCACCACGGCGCATTTCACTGGGTGGCAAAGGACGTCTTATCCTCCCAACTGCCAACATGACACCCCACCAGCAAGACTACTTTACTCCCCCAGAGCCTTCTGCTGGCCACCATGTTAGTTGGTGTTAGTTGGTGTTAGTTGGTGTTAGTTGGTGATAGTTGGTGATAGTTGGTAATAGTTGGTGATTGTTGGTGGGAGGGCAACCGCATTTAGATGTGTCGAAACACTTATTGCTCCACCAGACCATTTTTAGCTACCCCTTACACTGAGAGGCACCAAGCATAATATGTTAAGTCTACCCTGGACCTTCAAAACTCCATGAAACATTGGATATTGCCCCAAACATATGAGTGAACTCCCTTTCTTGTGGGTAGTTTGAGGGTCCAGAATTTAACATATCCATCCATTTGCTTGAGCGCATGGAAACCAAGAGAACAACTTTCCAGTAGTGCCAAATTCCCGTTTAAACCAACAATGAATGGCACATCAGTAAATAAAACAAAAAACAATTCAGCAAGTGGAAGCATCTTCCTGAGACTGAATGACAGGCCAACAAAAAGGTAAGCACACTTTTGCGCCTTGCCACTCACATTTTCTTGGTTGACGTTGAAAGGGGAGCAACAATTTAAATTTTAGCAGTAAGGCAAACATGTAAAATGCTTCCCAACGACAACCATGTTTTGTCCAAAAAACCCAAGTGACTCAAGTCCTCGAACTCGGGCATTGAGGAAACCAGTCGGAATTCTCAGCCAATCGACTCAACTGCCGCTTCAGTAGCGCGCCAGGCTTCCCTAGTACAGCGGCGACCACCGCAGCATAGGACCTAAGGCCAACAAGTGGACCCGACCAAAAACACTAGGTTTTTAGTAGAGAGGTTAGAATAAGGGTACCAACTTTTTTCTGCAGTCTACTTTAGTAGGAGCACCCTCCTTCACAAAAGGGGGAAAGCCCTGCCCTGTTCTGTGGGCATTTAATTGAATTCGGGACCCTTTGGTGGACATCATTTAGGTGCGGATTCATGTCCGCAAAGCCTGATTCATAGGGAGGCCCCTGGCAACACTGATGAATCCCTCCAATCAATAAACTGGAGTTGATTCATCTGAGTTTCCCATTAGATGGGGTTCCCATTAGATGCCTTTGTGGGAACCAAAGGGAATCGGAAGAGCCGCAAATCCAATCCCGGGAAACATCCGGATGCTTCGCTGTCAAATGGACCCAAGAGGAGTTCCCATCCACTAACGTGAAACCCACCAGAAGGTCCCTTTTAAGGGAACATAGTCACAACGATTCAAATGAATGACCCCAACCATTTGGAAGAACAAACATCATTACAGTGAATTACAGCTCATTGTCAATACAAGGGCATGGGTGGAAAACCCTGACATTGTGACTTCCCTTTAAAGCACCAAAAGTTCACTTCTTGAGTGGATTGGCTACCAACAATAACCGAACGTTTGGCTTGCCACTAGTTAAACTGGACTTCCCCACACATGCAAAGTCCAGGAACTCGTGAGTGGGACATCGCAAGACTGTGTTTTTTCATCTAATCAACTTCCTTCTGTGCCGAGAACCGGGTGTACTCATCAAAGGGTTATGACATGAAACCTTTCTGGGTGTCGAGGAGCCGTGCCTGCCTGGGCTCTTCGTCATAACATTGACCAAGTGATGCTTAAACCTGCTAAACCGGTCTCCTTATACGGGCTTGTACTACACAAGGGGGAACTCCCGAGATGGTTGGATCCTTGTCTAGGTCCTCCAGTAGAGAGGTTAGAATAAGGGTACCCTTTCTTCTGCAGTCTATTTTAGTGGAACTCTCCCCCAAAAAAGGGTAAAAGGGCACTACTGGGGGACCTTGTTGTTGTTTCCCTTTAATCCAACTAACCAAGGCCACCCTCAACAAAATGGGTGATATCCAGCGATCGCAGGAAGACTCTCGAGGCAACATGAAAACGGCCCTCGTGACAGGGCCCGGGCTGTGTGGAAGTAGCTTTGAGGGATCTGCACACCGCATCCAAGAGGTAGAGGTTGTACACCTGGAAGCTCGTTTCCCAGGTGATAAAAAAGACTCACCTCGTCCTGGGTGGTGTGAGCAGACACGGAAGCACAGAATCAACTAAGAGATGCCACTTATGTGTCAAAGAAAATACATCCATGCAACAAAGAGCACAACCTGTGATCAGTCGAAGAGACATCATCCTCGAGCAAACAACCAAGTTGAAATAGAAGGAACCCCACTCCCCAAAACAACAAACAACAGCAAAGAAGCAACACGCGCAGACCACAGGTTCGACCAAGCTGGGGCACGCTCACCAGGAAGAAGACGAGAAGCAGCAGCAGGGACCTGGATTCTCGCCAGCTGGGACCCTGCTTGGACCACGTCGGGGACCCCACAGGCGAGCGGCTAGTATCCCCATGAGAGGTTAGAATAAGGCTACCATGTTTTCTTTTTTTCTCCCCGATTTTGTCTATTTTAGTAGAACCCTCCCCCAAAAAACGGGGAAAGGGCACTACTGGGCGACCTAGTATTTGTGTGAAGCAGGATGTATCCCACATACAAGGGTTCTGGGAGACTTATTTGGGAATACTTGCCACTTGCTCGATGGGGTGGTGCACGTAAACCCCCTTTGGGAATCCTTTGTTTTTGGGATTGGTTTCAGAATCTTGAGACCTCAAAATCGCCTGTTCTCCATTTGCTTCAGTTTGTTGGGTACAAACACGAATTCCAGTAAGGTGATTGATGCCATTTACAGCCACCAGGAACAATCAAACAATATATTCTTAATCAATTGTAAGAAGCCTTCAATGGAGACCAAACTCCAGTTGGGCGTGTCTTCTCTTGAGGGTATGTACCCTTTTTGTAGAGAAAACTTAGAGGGAAACCAAAACTGGGCTGACCTCAGATCCCCAACTACAAGTTTAACTTTTAGTGGGGTAAATGGAAACTACCACTAAACACTAAAAAGCCAAAAAGCTAAGGGGATGGCTGGGAGCCACCAAGAAAAGGACCACCACCGTTTTGGGGGGCCGCTGCCGCCGGGCGGACTGAAGCCACCCCACTTGCGCCGTGGTGAAGGGCAAAGTCAACGCCCCCACTCCGATGGTGGACAGCACCTCGAGCTATCGATCGAAACGATCGACTTCCGGAGGGTTTTTCCCAGTGTTCATCGGAATTCGGCCATCCGAACTGGTGAAGGAGTTTGTCCATGCACACCTCGCCTAACACCTGGGCCTTCAACCAGAGGGCATATATTGTGAATATCATGAGACTTCGGGTACATTCTGCTTGTATGCGGGGTCTAGCCTGGGTTCACTAACCACTTGCTAACTTGGCCGAATTTTCATGTGTGATCTGCAACTACCCAAATGAAAACCTCACCGGCCCAAAATGGCACTGCTTAGTAGGTAAGTATCGCCAACATGCCAAATTAACCTGAAACCCAAACAACCCGAAAGGAGCTTCCTCCACCCACACACACACACACATGTGCGTGTGTCTCAGAACAGGTGGCCCACATCTCAACCTCGCAAACCCCAATGCAGTAGGTCAACATATGAGCAAATAAGGCTGCGGTGTGGAGGGTTCTTCAAAGGTTCTCGTTTCGAGCAACCCCAAAAAGGTACCCTTCAGATAAGAAACGGCCATTTCGAGTGAAATAGACCGGGAACATAAAAGGCCACGCATCCCTCTTAGCTTCCTGTTCTGCAATTTGCTTATATAAGACCCCCTGGAAAAACCAAAATATGTCCAGTAGTGAAATAGATTCCCTTTAAAACCAACAGGGGAAAATAAAATCATACTCTGAATCAAATGGAAGTTTTGACCAACGTGGCACCCAGGCAACGCCTCCCCACAAGAAAATGCCCAAACAATTGAAGAACAACACATCAGAGCATACAAACAAAAGCGCAAATAGTTGATCCCATTAGAAAGGATACTCAGCAACAAATCACCTAGGGCGTAAGCACCCCAAGAAACAAAGACAAACACATTGGGTGAAGAACAGAAGTATGTAACGGAAAGTAAGTTCTAAGATCCGAAAACAAGAACAACAAAACATAAGTAACATTTAAGAAACACCATCCGGGGTGGATTTCTCAGGTTTCTTCAACCCCACAAAGCCACAACGCCAGCACTCCCAACGGGGAGTGCGAACCATTCACCGAGGCGCCAAGTTCAGCGTGCAGGTGCCTACCCTCGCACCGCCTTCCGAGAGCTGCGGCGAAGCATGCGCGAGCTTGGGGACCCAAGCAGGGCAGCCCAAAGGTTCTACTTGACTACGTCCAGATTTGAGAGGTTGGAATACGGGTACCCGAACTTCTTTTTTTTTTTTTCGGTAGTCTATTTTAGTAGGGGCACCGGTACCCGAACTTTGTTTAGGTAGTCTATTTTAGTAGGGGAACCCTCCCGCAAAAAAGGGGAGAGAAGGGCACTACTGGGGGACCTAGTTGACCACAGGGAAACCAAGAGCCAAGAGCGGAACCCCAAGAAAAGCCCAAAGGAAGAGCAAACAAAGCTGGACACATCTGGACAACCGAGAGGCGAAATAGGACCAACATAAAACCAAGCAGCTGTCAGGTTGCCAAACACGATGAGATATTCGCCTGCCTTCAAAAGGAATCTTCAAAGGAGACCCCCGCAACTATGACACGTGCATGGTTGTGTTGATAACGGCCCGGCCTCCTCAAATCGCCACAGCTTACGAAACGCGTGGCATTTCAACATACCAAACTCGGAGTCCCAACAATGCTTTAGCATTTCCATTTCCGGCCGCGGCAAAACACACTTGCTAAGTCAGATACACAGTACTCTCGCACCAATCATCATGGAACCTGACAAGGGTGCCGGAAGACCATTTTCCCTCTAAAGGCACCCCCTGTCAGGTTCCACGACAATTGGCGGAGGGTATCTAGTTGTTTTTTCTCGCTGGCCGAAACTTCACCAAATCGCTGCTTGCTCTTCCTTCCTGTGGATGGACGAAATCCATTTCGCACCGCCTAAGAAACCCTGGGAGGAGTCCATTCCCCTGTATATACCAACAACTAGTGGTATCAACCTTGGTTTGAAGGCGGTGCGAAACGGATTTCGTCCATCCACAGTATGTCAAAGCTGTCCCACGCAGAACTTGAGACCAAACCCTAAGCGAACCCAGTGCCTTCAGGAGGGGTACATTAGCCCAACACTCAGGCTTAAGTGTCATTTGAGTTTAATTCCTTATCAGGGTTGTGAGAATTCCCCGCAGCTGTGATACCAATGGAAGACCTGCCAAATGAGTAAATTGTTCTCAAAGGGGGGAGGTTCCCTGGCACGCGACCCAAGCAATCATTCCCACCCAGTTCCTTGTCGTTGACAAAACAAACCCCATCGCGGAGAGTAGGACCAGTTTTCTCAATCTCCCATCCCGTGCCTTTGTCGGTTGAGATGATAACGCTGTTTTTGTGCACCAGAAGAGTGCTATATGTCGCAGTAGGTGTGTCAGGGGCCAGCAGCGCCGCAGACGACATGGCTCGAAAGCGAACTTTGAAAGCGGAGTTGCTGATTGCTTGGTCGTCCCTTGGGACTAAAAACGCGGTCCTCGCTGATGATCTTGGCTTCAAATGGATCAGCCCAAGGCATGCCGTACTTCGGCAAAGGCTTTGTCATAACTACCTCAGCTTCGACCCCCAAACAGCAAGCACGTGTTGTTGCTTAGTCTGCTTCATACATATGAACTTGAGCATGTATCAAGCTAAACAGATATCCAAACAATGGAGCTTTGCTCCTTGAAAACTGCAAGCACAGGCATGCTGCTCGCCTGTTATGGAATACCCAGACACCCGAGATCCTTCTAGTGATGCCATTTACGGCTCCATTTTCAGAATCCGCAGGTTTCACTTTTGTAGAGTTGGTGCCTGCAACAGCAGACCCCTCGAAATGGTTGGCTTCCTTTGGCGTCCCTTTGAACGCTATCTAAAAAGTGGTTGCTCCCATCTTTGGTATGAACATCGAGTTTTTAGACTCAATGGGCCATGGGGCACGAGCCCGAAACGCGCAAGCGGCGGATACTCATGGCTGCGTGCTTGGGGCAATTCAAGGGAAGCCCAGTGGTACTTGTCAACTCACTGAGGACCTGAAAATCAAAGGTAAGCCTGGTGTGGATGGACAAATCAATTTCGCACCGGTTGGGATGGATGAATCCTGATGAACATTGGGATGGCACCATCTACCAACTGCAGGATGTCCTCTGAAACCTTGACTAAATATGGATCACACCCAGAAACCCAATATTTCAAAAGGTACAAGCAAGCCCAGTGCTTCCTGTCAGCACCCCGAATGCAAGTTTTCCTGGATACCTTCTATACAGTGGGAACTGGAAGCATTGAGTTCTGCGCCGTTACTTGCTCACATAAGTCCCGAATTCGATAACCTCGCTGTAAATGGGCAGTGGCATTGATGTTGTGTTCTAGCCAAATTTCCAGTGAACCCGCGTGACCACTATGGCAACTATCCGTCTTCCTTCAAGTTTGAAGAGTGGTTCCCTTGGCGCGGCGAGAGAGAGAGAGAGAGAGAGAGAGAGTTGGACGCCTTGCGCACCACAGGTCAATGGGGACCCGCAAAAGCTTCAAAACGAGTTTCATCGCTATCACTCGCCGAGTGCTTCCAATTAATTACCCCTGCAGGTAAGTGTAAAGCAAGGGATGTAACACCCACAGGTAAGCAACCCCCTGGTCCACAATATATTATGAATTTCACTGACAACCCTGCTTTTTCAATCCTTAGCTATGGGGCCCATAAAAACTACTTCAATAGACAGCCTCGGGGTTGGAACAGCAGGTCCGCCCCGAAGCACTGGGTGAAGCAGCTGGTTCTTTCCGACACTCAGCTGTACAATGCAGCCAGCTGTAACAAGCACAGGATGTCGAGTCGAGAGACATCCCATGAAGGGCTTTCTTTCCTTCGGCAAAGAGGTGATCATGTTCCGGGCCCATGTGGGTCGTGCATGGGGGCCCTGTGGACGCTATATGTCCATCAACCATCTTGAGGAGTTTCCATCCAAAAGTCCACGGGGACATCAGGTCGAGGACCCGAATCGATCAAATCGAGCTGGTGAGAATGTCTTTCGGATCACTTCCAGGATGCGCCTTGGTCGAGACAGTGGGGTGGTAGGAGGCTGAGTTTTAGAGGGATCCTTACATAAAACTCCTGAAAATTGCCTTGTAAATGGTGGTTTCTCCTTTATTTTGGCGGAAAAATCGATGTTTCACATGGGCAAAATGTATCGTTTAAGGAGCCCTGTTTTAGAGTGGGTTTAGAGGTGGCTCGAGTGGTTCATTTAAAGTGGGTTTAGGCGCAAGAATGCAGGAGAAACCCACTGGCAAGGCTGTTGGAGGACAAGGGTCCAAGGGGAGTGCATTTGAGGGTTGGATATCCTTCCATTTGCTTCAGGCCCCTGGAAAAAAAAAAAAAAAAAAAAAACATGTTGCCAGCAGTCATAAAATTCACATGTTGCCAGCAGTCATAGATTCCCTCCAAGACCAACAAGGCAGATGAGCAAATGTTTCCCAGTGACCTAGTGATGGATTCCCTTTGAAACCAACAGGGGAAAATTGATAGATTCCTTTGATAACCAACAGAAAAATATTCATTTCAGGAAATGGAAGGATCCCTCTGCAGATCATAAGGATCAAACCTCAACCTCCCAACCCAGAACTGAGGCCACGCCCCAGCTCGGAAGCACCCCTCACACCTAGCCCCTTCCCCCCCCCCCCCGCCTTCCCGGGGCCAAGCGCGAGTTCGTGCCTAGAATGCTTGTGAACAATCCACCAAAACCGAGAAATCGGGTAAAAATGAAACCAGTCGAATTGGTTCTATTTACCAGCCCAAGCCATGTTGGGCACCTGGACCCTCAAAACATTCCTTTGAAAAACGGGGTGAGATTGCCAGCCACAAGTATGGACTTGGTGAACTCCCCGTTTTTCTGGGTGGTTCTTTCGGGTCCAAGCGCCTGCTTTTGACCACCACCGACCTCGCCGCGAAACGATCGCTGTGGCGCCCGGCGCTCGACGCTGGAGAAGGACTCCACGTGATCAAACCAGCGCCTAGGCCACGAGTGATGCCCCAAAGTCGCGCTGAGACTCAGAAAATCAGGCCGCCATGAAGAAAGGAGTCGGCGGAGTTCATTAAAAAACCTTTAAAATCAAGGGAAACTACAAAGCACATTCATTTCAGCAAATCGGGGTTCAAGCTACCATTGAAACAACGGTGGAGTTCATATTTCACGATAACGTTTACCCTTTTGTCATCCGAATTGGGTCCCAAGGCCTTTGTTTCAACGGGGGCCAGGAATCCAAGGGTGTATGGCAGTTCAAGTTGCATTTCGCCCTTATAGTAGCTGGGTTTTAAAGAGAAGCCCTTGCTACAAAGTCAGGTACATGGATCAGTTGGGATTCGTTGGCCTTAGTTGGCCTGTGGCCTTATTTCTGAGCTGTCCTCAGATCCCCCGCTAAAAGTTAACTTTCAGTGTGCTAAATGGAAACTACGACTAAACACTAAAAGCTGAAAAGCTGAAAAGCTAAGGGACCGGATGGCTGGGAGCCACCAAGCTCACTGGTTTCTTTTGAAACGATTGCCACCATAGGTGTCCTTTAGATGGCCCTGGAAGATGATGAAACCACCAGGTAAACCAGGAATCGCCATCTATCTTTCTGGCAAGACAACCAAAAAGGACACCTACTGTGGATGGACGAAATCCATTTCGCACCACTTAAGAAACCCTGGAATGATTCGATTCCCCTGCAACCAACAAACGCTATGGTTTCCATGGTTTCATTTCGTGGTGCGAGAAGCGGAGTTCGTCCCTGTGGATGGAAACTAAAAAAACTACAAAAAACAAAATCGCACCACCTAAGAAACCAGAATTTGTTGGAGTTCCAGGATGGAAAAAAGAAGACCTGCACCACTTTGAAACCGGAATTTTTGGATTTACAGGACCATCGACTCATTCCAGGCTTCCCTCTCGGTGGTGCATCGGCTCCCGGGCCTGAGATTCGGCGTCTCCGGCAGGCCGGACCTGGGCTCTCGGGCTCTCGTTTTCTCCCAAAGAACCACCTGGATGGGTCCACCCGAGGCAAAAATGGGCCCATGACCTGTATAATCCCGATATTTTGGGGAATGACTTCATCTTTGTTTTAAAGGTCAGAAGGAGGCTCCAGGCATGAACACTGTTTAGGACATTGCCTTTAGCAGGCTGTGAGCGTTTCTGGTGTTCTTGGATGCACCTAAACACAATTTGCCATTTTTATGGCCCCGCATTCATGTCTTACGTCTCCATTTGCTGTGAGGCAACCTGTGACAGTTCGCTTAACCCCATTGGGCAGGTCTGCTGTTTTCTCAGCCAACATGCAGAAGCTGGAAATGCACCGAAATCGGTGGGAAACGTACGGAGTTCGGCGGGAAAAGTACTGAGATCTGCAGAAAAGGTCGGGAAACCAGCGATCTGAACGTGAGATTCTCGTAGCAACAAGCAACAAGTAGTTGAATGCTCATGTGTTTGGTTTTTTGCCCGCAAGAGATACAGAGTGTTTGCTCAAATGTACGGATTTCACCACCTTTCAGACACCAAACGGAATGATTCCCGATTTCCCCACGTAAACACCAAGAAACGCGATATCGCTTCCCCGATTTCATTTCGGTGGTGGAGGAAGCGGATTTCGTCCATCCACAGTAGGGTACGGATGCCTCAAGTGGGCTGTAGATCCCACGAAGTGAGATCGACTCATTCCCTTGGGCTCCTGAACGATGCGACATGGAATTCGTGCATCCACAGGGGTCATGACATGCACAAGCCTCCCAATGGAGAACCCTAAGCCCCCGGCCGAGGATGTTTTTGGGAGGGGGCACAAGAGTCGAATCGGACACTTACATTACCCGTCTGCTTCGGACCCTTTCAACCTGAAGCCTCGAAACTCTGGGGTTATTGCACCCCACTATGGCTGGTGAATTCCAAGTTGTTTGTGGGTAGTTCTTTCGGGTCCAGGTAGCCTAAACCCAAATCTTGATGTCCCGAACTGGGAAACAAGGGTCGCTATTCGATTTGTCCTGCTAAACCTGATACATTTACTGGTTTGCAAGGCAGGGACACCCCTGGGCACAAAAAAAGAAGACACGCTCGCCCGGTACATGGGCAACCCCTCCTGAACCACCAAACCACCAATCCAAACCAGCAATTAGAGGAAAGCTGAAACTTGGTTGACAATCCAAGCATATTTTGACACACAAGGCATGGCATAGCTTCCTACACCCTCTTTGGCTTACACGGCTTGGCCAGCTTTTGCACATCGACAAAAACACACACCAAACCGCTCGCAAGCCGCACCCGGCAACCCGCAGCCAAGTTGCTCCGAGAGCTGCTCAAAGAGCTCCGCGTCGCTGGAGCTGGGCCTCGGGAGTTTTGGAGCCGACCCCGGTGTTGGGCTTTTGCCAATGGAAAAGAGAAGCACCCGAACCAAAAGTGGCTTCAATTTGGAGTACCTCAGCAAATCCGATAGAATGTTCCTGTGCTGGTTTCCCTTGAAAAAAACAACAAGAAAGGGCAACCTCAAAAAAGACGCACCCACATATTCCCAACTCCACCAAGCAAATGATCATGTCTAACCATTGCCATAGGAGGCAATGTCAACGTCTATGTCCCCAACTGACTTTGGACTTTGATAAGTACCTAAACCCAAAATCTCAACAAAGACGGGTGTTTGCCCAACATTTTGGTTGGTGTCTTCCCTTTTTTATGGGTAGAGGTATCGAGTCCAGGGTAAATATTGGCCCTTCGCTTGGATGGTCAACCTTAGGATGTTGATCAGCTAGGTCCTCCAGTAGACAGGTTAGAAGAAGGGTACCCCTTTTTCTGTAGTCTATTTTAGTAGGGGAACCCTCCAAAAAGGGTAATTAAAAAGGCACTAGGGGGGGAGTCAGATGTTGATCAGAGTGTCTCTCACTTCCCTCCATTTACTGATCTCTGGTCAACAAACCCACGGAAGCGAGACATTGGTCAAGCTTTTGTCGATTATGACCGTGGCTATCTGTCCAGCGTCCCCGAGAAACAAGGGCCAAAAGGACATCCTCGGAGAAAAAAAACAGTTCACCCGGCATGGTAACAGTCGTGTGTTTTCAGGGACCCCGCAAGCATTTACAAGCCCCCCGATCACAAAACCCTTCCTGGGCCCAACTGAATGGACCCTTTTGGTGTCTTGAATAAGGCCCGAATAAGACATGGCAAGCCTTTACACCGCATCCCACCAATTGGTGGTTTGGATTGGTGGTGTGGTTTCCCATCTATCCTCAATAAGAATAAGAAACTGCATAATTCGAACTGCGTTTTGTGGCGTGCCCAAAAAAAACAAGGCCATAGGACAAAAATGCTATAGTCATGTCTCAGTCCCAAATATTGCTTGCCTGGCATCCACTGTCTCCAACCCCACCTCCCCAGAGAATCCCTTCCATTTCGTGGAGGAAGCCTTACCCAGGCCAAACGAGCGCTCAAAACCCATGGACCTTTGAATTGTGCAACACGGTTGCCTCCATTTGCTTATATAAGTCCCCTGAAAAAAAGAACAAAACTCCAGCAGTGATGATTTAAACTAAGAGGGGTAGTGGCTTCTGGGTTCTTGTACCAATCCCAACAACATCGTGCCACCTACCCTGGGGTCCAACCAAAAGAATCAATTTGGATGGTGATCCTTAGGCAAACAATTGTAGTTAACATGAACCCCCGTTGTCTTAATGGGGGTATCCGAACCCCACCTATGTAAATCCACTGGCACTGATCCCCGGGTTTCGGCCTTTCGCACCAAGAGCCAGCCCGAGAGCCCGGGCTCGAAGCCCTTCACGTAAGGATGACTTTCCAGGAAGGCCTCGGGATCATTCTAATTTGCTGGTTCTCAGTAGGGAATGACGAGTTCGGACTCGTCCGGGTTTCCTGGGAAACCATCGGTTGGTTGGACGGTTTTTCTCGACGCCACCGTCAGCGTTGATAGTGTAACTTGTTAGTTCTCAGGGAGTGACCCAGGGCTCTGGGGAACGAACCGGTATTGGGGATTCCCTTCATTCGGAAACCAGAGGATGAATGGTGCTCTTTTACAGCCAAACTCCAATTTCTAGGGCTTGATTCCCCACTCTTTTCAACCATCGTCCTTTTCGAAAACCAGCTGTTTGCCCTGGGGTTTTTCATGGTTTCCCGAAAAGAAGGATCCCTGGACACAATGGGGAAGCTTCCCCTAGACAATTATCATTCCTTGCTGGGTACCAGCAAGTCTTCAGAGAGGAAGCGTTTGGCAGATGGAGCAGACTTCGCTGACAACGCATATGCACCAACTACTCCTTTCCGATCGAGTGTTGGCTAAAAGAAGTCCCCAAACTTCTTGCTTGCCACTAAAATGGTCTGCCCGAAAAAGTTAAAGTCCAGGAACTACTTTGGGTGTGGTTCCCTGTACTAAAATACAAAAAATCATAGCCATACAAGGGTATCATTTTTGCGAATTAAAGGAACACCAAAAGAAACCCACCTTGTTGGGGTTTCCTGCAACAAGACACACCCATCTACATGGGGAACAACCTCGCCCCCTCCCCCCAAAAAAAACAAAACAAAACAGCAGCAAGCCTTCTTAGCCTCTTAAAGGAGTTCTTGGAAGGGAGCTAAGGACCATTCAAAGCGATATGAACGGCTCGCTAGCTGCTGCTTAAGCCCGCTGGTCCTAAGCACGGGCGGGGCATGGGGGCAAGGTGCATGCATGTGCTTCGCTGAGTGCCCGCCTCCCATCTTTTTTTGTGCGTGCCCTTTCCGGTGGAGACTGGGGCCACAGCATCTTAGGCAGAAGTAGGGGGATTAATAGGAGACCACTCATCCAGGACACGATTTGCATGCGGTTTTTGTAGATCCACGCCTGCAGGCTAGCAAACGAGTACTAAAAGAGAATAAAAAGAGGAACAACTGGTAAAACAACATGGAGAAACCACAAAAAGTCCGTCCAATCTGTTTGCTGTTCCGGCATCTTCAAAATTTCTGATGCACACCCAAGCCTGCCGCTCAGGGACCTTAGCAAGGCTTTTGTTCAGGGCTGGTTGTCCCAGCCAAATTTTCCCAACCTCCAGCTTGGATGCCCCGACTTAGCAATTGGCTAACATCCGGTTGGGTAAGCTCCCCAACTGAGACTTCCCTACATACTGTGGATGGACGAAATCCATTTCGCACCACCTAAGAAACCCTGGAACGATGATTCCGCTGTAAATACCAACAAACGTTGTGGTTCCAAGCATAGTTTCTTAGGTGTTGCAAGAAGGATTTCGTCCATCCACAGTATAACCCCGGAATGGTTTGGCTTCCTGCTTGGCTGGAGATATTTGCCGCTGAGGTGGTGGTCCTATAGGCAGCGCACCGATGAAAAATCGGAAGTGCAGCCTCCACGTCGTCATCCACCGACAGCTTGGCAAACCGGTCGTTGGCCTCGGAAACTCGTGAGGCAGACCTGGCTACCTGGAGCCTCAAGTTCCCCGTTGAACATTGGAATCCACCCATGGCTTGTGGGGCAAGAACCCAGTGTAGTTTGATTGTCCAGGTATACGGTTTGTCTGTATTTTAACTGGGCTGCCCTCAGATCCCCCGCTAAAAGTGACTAACATTTGGTCGGTTAAATGGAAACTACCACTAAACACTAAAAAACTAAAAGGCTAAGGGGATGGCTGGGAGCCACCAAGTTAAATGGTACCCTTTTTCAGGTTGGTTTCAAGGGCACACCTCACCACCCGAATCTTTGAGGGCACACCCTTGGACAGGGGTATGGAGATTCCACGGATCGAGCAAAAAAAAGTGGGCCCCGTAAGCAACCATAGAGTGCCAAGCAAAGACATGACATTGTGAGTGTTCATCATACGTTGACTACGTGAGATATTACTAAAAACAGGAATGTTGTTGGTGACTTCAATTTAAGAAATGCAGACTTTCCATTGAATTTGATACCCAGGTAGTATCCTGAGCACAGAAAGACTCTTTGTGCATCCGTTCATGCACGACCTGCCTTGGTTTTTGTGGGGACCTTGTTCTTGTTGAGCCCCCAACCTGGTTTTGGAGGTGGAAAACAGGTCCTTCACCCCTCCAAACAGATTTCACTGATTCCCAACTGAGACTTTTGTGGGCTGTAGCCCCGCCATGTGAGTTCGTGACTAGACCCTCGAGACAGGAGAAAGTCGAATGACGTTCAACTTCTTGGTGGAATTCGCTGCAATCACCTCAAGCAACCTGCATTTTCTTTCACTAGATCATAGCTGCAACCGTCATTCTATACATGCATGAATTCGCCTGCATCTCCAACCAATGTGGAATTGCATCTAGGTCCTCCAGCAGAGAGGTGAGAATAAGGGTACCAACTTTTTTTCTGTAGTCTATAGGGGAACCCTCCCAACCAAAAAAGGGTAAACGGGGTGAGAGGTCGGGCACCTAGCTGCAAGACCTAGGCATTAAACCACGTGAGCGCCTATGCACTCACGAGAGTGGCTCCGGCCCTAGGAGAAACTCCACCAAGAACTCAGACGGAAGGGGAGCAAGAGAACATCATTTTGTTGCAGTTAAGTGGTTGGACTTCCACCACTAAACCACAAAAAACAAAATGCAACATGTGTCCCAACTGAAGAAGACCAGCATTTCGGGTTGCCTGTGTTTGAATACGTACGAGGTTGGTTCAGTACCGGTGATGGCCCAGGATATATACAAAGGGGACTGCACGGTTTCAGAGCAACCCCCGAATCAACGACCTGGGCCCTCAAAACTCACTGAAAAATTGTGCTGTTGACAAAACAATGGGGGGACAACCCTTTTTTTATCCATACAAAAAGGGGATTCACCAATTCCACAATAACCCATTCAAGTTGGAATTGTGAGGATTTAGGGAGATCAATAAAGCCCGGCTGGAGTGGTCTGCCGTGCTGCATCCTTCCCACTCGCAAAGGGAAACTCGCAACCCTTCGCTGCCCCCCACTGAATATGATCAGAATTAGAACCCAAAGCCAAGCAGAGTGAAGTCAACAAAAACGAAACATACTCAAACACGTGCCAGGCCTCTATTTGCTTAAGTCCACTGGACAAACAAACAAAATGTGTCCAGAAGTGAAATCGATTCCCTTTAAAACCAACAGGGGAAAGCACCCTCAGCATACCCTTAACACTTGGTTATTGCAAGCCAACATTATGGTTGATTCCCCTTTTTTACGGGTATCTGGACCCTCAAAATTCCCTCAAACATTGGCTATTGCCAACAATTATGGTTGGTGGATTCCCTTTTTATGCGTAGTTTCTTGGTTGTTGTTGACCGCTCTGCAAAAAGTTTAACTTTTTGTGGGTTTGATGGACCCCTTGATTTCCCAAAAGAAAAGAAGTCTAAAGGTCCAACCCACTAGCAGTAGAGCTTTGAGGGTCTAGGTATACTGACATTTGCTGAAGTCCCCTGGGAAAAAACAAAAACATGTTTCCCCGAGTGAAATCGATTCCCTTAAAAACCACAGGGGAAAATAATATTCATTTCAGCAAATGGAAGGATCCCCCTATAGATCATACGGATCAAACCCCAAACCCCAACCCAGCACTGGCCAAGCCCCAGCTCGGAAGCATTCCGGGGAAAATAAAACTCGGTCGCTTTCTGCTCCCCTGCTAAAAGTTTAACTTTTAGTGGTTTACTGGAAAACCCAAATTCGTTGGCAAAAAGTTATTCAGTCCTTAACAGCCCTTGGCAAAATGCACCAAAGAAAAGGGGAGGTCTTTTTGAGCAATTCTTTCACCAACAGCGCGGGGTTGGTTTCGCCGAGCTGCGGCCTTTCTCAGCTGCAGGGAGCCCTGCTTCTGGAACGTGGGCCTAACCGACTGGACTGTTGCAAGCAGCGAACATGGTCCGCACGCGTGGCTGGGGGTCAACACCAAAATGGTACCATATTGGAGTAGGTGCACCACCCAGTTTAGAACCAATTTTTTTGGGCACTGGGGGTACGGGATTTTGACCCATGGCCATGTCAGAAATTCATGGAAAAAGGGGACCCCACAAAGGTGGTTTTAAGTTTGGTGTCCCTTACCTGAACTGGGGTCTCCAAAACATCATTATATTATTATATTTATATTTGGGGTTGACACGCATGAAACAGCATCAGAAAATATATATACTCCCTTTTGGTGGCACAAGTTAAAGGGGCGGATTTCCTTCGTGTTTCCTCGCAAAGGATACTATCAAGCACACATGGACACATATACACATGAAATGATTCAATCAGCCAAGGACAGCCGATGAATGGAGCAAGGCCACCCAAACCATACACAATGAAGGTTCAAACTGTTAAACAATGGATGCGCGCAACATACGTCAGCCACTTAATGCCCCTGTAAATTAAAATACAACACATCATCCATGGAGTAAATCCTTCAACCAGGGGGTGGTACCAGCGGTGCAAGTATGGGCTCATACATTCCAGCTCTAGACAATCAAGAACAAATTCGCCTTAAGAAGCCGGCTTTGGCAAACCGGTAGCGTACTGTGGATGGACGAAATCCTGCTCCGAACCCTGGGAAACCATTGCCGCTTCTCGCTAGGGTATAGTAGGTGTAGGTAAGGACTTCTACCTCTAAGTTCTGGATGACTTCCTTGGGATACCTATGGCTTGCAGGTGACTGGGCACAAGAATGCATGTTTTACAACTCCAAGCACTGAAATAAGACTTCCCCAAGTCAAGGCCCGGTACTTTGCTGGTTTGGATCGGTGAGCTGATTAGAGGCAGAGGAACGGCCGATGTGTTCAAAGGACAGGCTATCTGTCCACCTTAAACCTCACAGAGCACAGCCACACTTGGCCCGGTGATGTTTAAGCCTCAAGGACATATCGAGAACCCACCTTAAACCCAAGACCCGCAGATCACCCGTCACGCTTCAAAGTGCGACCCTAGGCCGTCGAACATGTCGACGCCTCAAAGCTCCTCTGAGTGGATGGCCTCAACATACTTCCTTCCTGAGTGGGTGGTCTGATTCCCCATACCCATGTTGACCCCCCTATAAGTAAACTTGGGTTCATGAATCTGGGGTTCCCATTGAAACCAAAACACGAAACACAGGGAGCAGATTCGTTTTCAGCGGTCCAGCTGGGCCTTGGTTCTCCCCTTAGAGGCTCGCTCCCTCCGTTGTCGAAAACTCAGAGGCGCCCCCCCTCTATGGGTCTGCCTTTCTTTCAGGTAACCTCTTTTTGGTGGGCCCAAGAAGGGAGGGGAAAACCCAAAGGCAAACCCAAAGAAGAAACAACACCCAAGGGTCACCCTTTTAACGGGAAGTCCCTTGGTTTCAACGGGACACTAAAACTAGGGCTCAGATCCCCCGCTAAAAGTGACTAACTTTTAGTGGGTTTAAATGGAAACTACCACTAAACACTAAAAGCGAAACGGCTAAACAGCTAAGGAACCGGATGGCTTTCGGGAGCCACCACGCTCACTGGTTTCTATTGAAACGATTGCCACAGGTGTCCTTTTAGGGGAAATAGATGGATATCCCTGGATGATGAAACCACCAGGTCAACCTGCCATATTAAGGACACCTGCCATTTGAAGCTGGGCCCCAAGAAGCGCTGAAGCGCTCCATCGGCCGCGGATCGGTCGTTCTCTTGGGGGCACAGGGGCCCCAGGCTTCCCGCGGGCCGCGGGGGCTTCGGGCTCAGGCACCACCCTGAGAGCCACGCGAAACGTGCGGGAAAGCTCACGCCCCCCAGCAACGGAGGCATAGGGTATAGGGCATTCTTACAAAGTCCGCGAAAACCTGTGAGGACAGACGTGTGAAAAAGCGGTCAAAAAGAAGAACACTAATTATTTCAAGTTGCATACCGCTGCTGTTTCTCTGGAAGCTTGGGCACAGGGTCTGTACAGAGAAAGCCCTTCGGAGCTGCCAGGATTGAAATCTATCGGGGGATTGATGTGCATATAATATATATATATATATATTTATGTGTTTTTTTCTTGTTTGATGGCACATGATGGCACGTGTTCCGGCCAAACCAAAAGGAAGCTAAGGAAGTATGGACCGCTTTTGAGACATGCCCACTCAAAAACAATGGTGATATGCCAAAGCGTAGTCACCCGAGTAATAACCTTGGTGACCACCTTCGTGCGAAGTTGGTTGCACATCTGAGTAGGTGATTTGAGTGCCTCAGCCTACCCGTTGCAGCCCAGGTAGGGAATCAAAGTCTGGCCCCTCGGAATTTGTGTGTCCGTGTGTCTGTGTTTGGTTTGAGCCTCGGCACCCTTTTTGGGGTTGAGAACCAAAAAGGAGACCTACAAATTTCTGGGGCCACACTATTTTGACCCAAACCCAAAGCATGACATTCAACGTCCCAACACCAAACGAGTTGCTTGGCAACTAAGAGTCAGGATCAAGTTGCAGGCGCCCAATTGACAAACAAGGACTGCGAATTACTTCAACTGCAAAAAACAACGAATTCGCAAAAAAAAAAAAAAAAAACATGTCGCTCCTTCTAGTTTTGATCTCAGGACGGACATGTCCGTGTGAATTGTGACACCTCGCCAACCTCAAGATATCAACCGATGCTACCATCTTCCATTTGAGTAACGTGACGGCCCAAACCATGGTTTTGGTCTGCATTTGGTGCTCATTTTGTATTCGGTTCGGCTCAAAAAGGCCCACCCCCATCTTTTGGGTGGATTGCCTACGGTTTCCTCTGGATTGAAACCCCGAAAAGGGTAGCAACAGATGGGCGTTGTTTCCATTTGCTTCAAATTTCCCCCTTTGGGGTTCCTTTTGGGAGTTTCCCTTGACCCTCCAAACAGGGATCAAACAGGACCCCCTCCCCCCAACTGGTTTCTCAGAACGCCAATGCCGCGTCCATCCGCTTCGGCTTCCGCATTCCGACTGGGCCCCAAGACGCCGACTGCACGGGCAAGCGGCCCTGGAAGGCCTTGCAGTGGATCGAGCCACTTGGGGATTTGTTGAAGGGTGTTTTTCCCCATGGACTGGAAAGCCAAGTGTTTGGTTGGATATGTGGACCTAACTCAACCATTCCCTGAACATAACCCAAAAATCTGGAATGGGTGAGGCAAGTCAAAGTTGTTTTACGCGGTTTTATGGGTAGTTTGAGGGTCCAGGGATCCATTTAGTGGATCCATTGATCCTGAGATACCACATGATACCACCCTTCAACAAGCAAAGGGAAAATAACTGGTTCATGAAAGTTTGGCATGTGCTTTTCCAACCATCAGGTTGAAGCAAAGCTTACAGCTGTTTCTTTCTGGGCTAACAGGGGTTAGAGGTGAGCTAAGCTTGGACCTGGGCTAGCTGTAGTGACTTGGCTCTGGGCAACCAAGGGCAAGCGCCACCCGAGAAAAGCCACCCCAACTGTGATCGGCATATGCGTTCACCTGAGCCCAAAGCCAAGTGCTGGCAATCATGGGCTTAGCAAAATGAGCGCCAGTTTGACCCAGGGATTTTGGGTATTAGCAAGATGGTTGCAAAAGTCTCACTTCCTGAGTGGGCTGGCCAAGACAATCCAAACTTCTTGTTTGGTCTTCTCAAAAAGCTGACAGTCCAACAACCCAAGAAGTAAGTTTAAAAGAACCACCAGCTGAAATTGCCAATGAGGGTTTTGAGCTGCTCAAACGGGATGCAGGGTCTATTTTGCGACCTCGGCAACATAGCCTTTAAGTGTTGGACCCAAGGTTCAGCCCAATTACTTCGCACATGAGCATCGAATTACTTTTGAGGGTGTTCCAACCACGAAAAGTCGTAGCCATGGATTGGTGAAACCGAGACACAAGTTGGACAAAAGGTCAACAGGTGGGGGTTGATTGAAAGGTCCGGCAAACCTTGGATGACCATTGGGGGAAACCACCAAAAGGTGAAATATTTCCCACATGGGAATGTTACCCGTCATTTGGGGGCCCTAAAATGGAATGTTGAATCCATGATATCCAGGAATCCGTTGCTATGATCCACGATCCCTGGTGCAGGAGTTTGTCCATCCACAGGGTCGCTCCCCCTCTGTAGGTTCTAGTCACTGCTGCGCATGTCACGTATCAATTTTGAGGGAGCCGACAAACAACCCGACTTTTAAGTTGATTTGATCTCATTTGGCCCTGATTTCCTCCTAAGAGGTTGGATCTTGGTGGGCAGGGTCACTCATATTTGCCTTCTTCAAGCGAAGGTTGTCTCCGTCTTTGGCTTCTACCTAAAATCAAAGGGGGCTATTGCAACCCGCAAAAAAACAAAAACAACTATGGACTTGCTGAAGTCACAATTTTTTAAATGGGCAGTTCTGCAACGGGTCCAGGTACACCTACTGAACCAACTCCATGCCGGGCACCAGTTTGATCCAATGAAGCCCCCGCACCAAACCCTCCATTTACGTAAGTCCGCGGGGAAAAAGATGCGAAGATTTGTCCGGTAGTGAAATCGACTCCCTTTAAAACCAACAGGGGAAAATAAAAGAACAAATCTTAAGAGAACAAATCTTAAGAGAACAATCTTAAAAGAACAAATCTTAAGAACAAATGACACATCTTAAGATAATGGAAGAAACTGGTGCCGATCGGCCAGGTCCTTTCGCAATCAGATGGACATATTCCTGCTTCACGCCTTTGAAATCATCGTTCAAGGGTGTCTTAGGTGGTTCAGGATGTCGTCCATCCACAGTAGCATCAGCAAGGACCCTGCTTTTTGGTATCCTAATGTCTGTGTACCATTGCATGGAAACCACTGGCTTGAATATTACGCAAATCTGCAAATTCAAAGTTCCAGAACATAAGGGAATCCCAAGTAAGTCACCCACTGTGTGGATGGACGAATCCTTCACCACCCAAGAAACCCTGAATGGTGATTTTTCCGTAAATGCCAACAACCAATGGTTTCGCATGGTTTCAAAGTGGTGCATGATTTCGTCTATTTACAGTATGGTTGTCTATCGATGAAGTAAGGGATCCCCAAGTAAAGGATAGAGAGAGCTCGCCGCAAATTATGCAGATGTCACCACCCCATCTTTCAAGGGTCAGAATTTGGAGACTCCAGCAAACCTCGGTTGCTTTCTGCTGCCCTGCTAAAAGTTTTTAGCTTTTAGTGGTTTAATACGGAAAACTGTAGTTGGCAATAAGTTATTCAGTCCTAAGATCCCTTGGCAACATGCACCAAAGACATGTCGACCCCAGATTAAACCCCTGGTTGATTCATAGGGGGTGTCCCCTTTTAGTTGAGACTCATCACTTTAGTTGCACCAACGAAACCACGCTGAGCACGGACTCTCCAAACGCTCTAGTTTAACTATTTGGGGGTTTAGTGGAAAATTCCTTGATTTCCCAAAAAGTTGAAGTCTAAAGATCGAACCCAATAGCAGTCAAGCTTGACCACAAACTGACCACAAACTGACCACATAACAGATCCAACCACGCTGACCACAAACTCTCTTGACTCTCGACTCGCCTCGAACTGTCGCAAGGGCTGGGAGCTCGGCATCGCCCTCGGGATTTTTTTGGGCCAAGGGCTTGCGCCTACTGGCGGCGAGATCCAGAAACTCGCAGCACCGAAAGAAACCCAGCGGAAGGGTTTCCAATGAAACCCTGGAATGATTTACATGCCCAGGAAACCCTGGAATTATATGATCCCCCCTGTAAATACCAACAAACGTTATCGTTTCCAAGGCTTCAAAGTGGTGCGACATGGATTTCGCAACCATCCACAGTATGGAGCCTCTGACGGTACCATTTCCCCCGTGTAGACCTCTTCTAGCCCTTTTTTTTTGCGCAGCCCGGTTTGAGGGAATATATGGGGGCACGTTTCCAGGCGGCATGCCACCATGCCTCTGATGGTGGACTTGGAAACTCGAAGGGATGGAAACTCGAAGGGATGGAAACTAAGTGAGTTGGTGAAGCTTCCATACTTGGATGATCACAAGACAAGCAGAAAGCAACAGGAGAAGTTAGACCTTTGGGCCTGATGAGAGATGAGCAGGTGCCCTGAAGGATTCTTACCGCAACTCTGCGATCTAAGGTAAGGCATGCCAGGTGTATAAATACCAGGTGTCCTCCAACCCGTTAGTATATGAGCAGTTGAAATCCCCCAGTTCACAAGCCCATTAAGTCGAATTTGCCCTTGGCAGAACCCACCTTTCAGGACGGGGTCGTGCTGTCTGTGCATATCCGTCATCCAAGTAGAAGGTCTAGGGAGTCACTCTGTCCTCCGGAATCTGATGTTCACGACATTTGCTTCTTTTGAGACCCATCCACTTCCATACAATGAATTACCTGTGATACTGGGGCTAGACTCCCAATTCTTTTTCGACCATCCTTTGTTTCGACAGATCAATCACGATAATTTGGCAGGGTCTTTGGCAGTTTTCCGAAAAGGATGGGTTCAGAGTTCAGCCACTGTCACGACAATGGGGTCACAGCAAAAGGGTTCACCCGTTAAACCTCCGACACCCCAGCCGATACTAGTGCAAGGAAACCGTCCCTCGTTGGGCCCATTTTCGGTCTTATCTTGCGAGGGTTCATGCCCTGAACAAGGATACAACATAGCCTCTATTGAGGCTCCAAGTGGTTGATATTGACCCCGCTTTTGAGAAGCGGCACCCAACACCCATTATACTTTGGTTCCACCAACATAGACTTTGCTCCTTGCATAAAACCTGGGACCCGAGCCTCAAATCGCCCATTTTGAGCAAATGTTCGCCCGGTTTCGGGGTTGTTTCCGTGCGAGTGGCTCTGCGTCCAACTTGGCGACAAAGTCCACCATGGAGAAGAGGCCCAAAGGCTTCTCCGACTCCCGGGACCTCTCGATGTCGATGTCGAAACCAAGTGGATTTTGTGTCAGAGCCTCCGGACCCGAGTCGTGTTCACTTTTGTTGATAAAGGGTAACATGAAGGCCTCTCCAATCAGGGCACTTCACCAAAAACATTCTCCACTTACGAAACCAGTGACCCAAGTGGTTCACACCGGAAAGCTCGTGGAACAGGGGGGTATTTGAGTCCTTGACTCCTTTCCCTTTTGTGGATCCGTTGACCTATAGCTAGCCAAGGGCTTGCGTCACCCTAAGGCCAAAAGAAAAACAAATAGCTGGTTGCCGACTAACTATAAGTCGACTTGCCTGGGATCCACTGGGTCAAAGAACCCAAAACACACATAATGGAAAGAGGGTCATGTTGGACTTGCTGGAGGGGCTGCTGCCCTAACTGGGACACACACACACACCCCACCCCCGGGGGAGGGGGGGCTTATCAATCATCAACAGTAGCATCTTCTTTTGGGGAGCATATACCCGGATCTGTAGATGACTTCTTTGGTCACATTCCCAGTTCTTTGGCAACTGGATTCTATATTTTTGAGGGGGGATTGGCTTCTGGGCGGCGACGAGAGGGGGTTGTAACCACGACAAAAACGCGATTTTGTTACCATGACAAGGTGCAATGTTACCACGGCAGAAAAAAAGCGTTACAGCGACATGTTTCTTGCGGGCTTATCCCGACAAGCAGAGAAATAGAAAGGAATAAGAAGGCATGAGAAGGTCAATAAGAAGGAATAAGAAGGTCAATAGAAAGGAATAAGAAGGAATAAGAAGGTCAATAGAAAGGAATAAGAAGGAATAAGAAGGTCAAGGAATAAGAAGGTAATAGAAAGGAATAAGAAGGAATAAGAAGGTCAATAGAAAGGAATAAGAAGGAATAAGAAGGTCAATAGAAAGGAATAAGAAGGAATAAGAAGGTGAATAGAAAGGAATAAGAAGGAATAAGAAGGTCAATAGAAAGGAATAAGAAGGAATAAGAAGGTCAGTAGAAAGGAATAAGAAGGAATAAGAAGGTCAATAGAAAGGAATAAGAAGGAATAAGAAGGTGATTAGAAAGGAATAAGAATGAATAAGAAGGTCAATAGAAAGGAATAAGAAGGAATAAGAAGGTCAGTAGAAAGGAATAAGAAGGAATAAGAAGGTCAATAGAAAGGAATAAGAAGGAATAAGAAGGTGATTAGAAAGGAATAAGAAGGAATAAGAATGTGAATAGAAAGGAATAAGAAGGAATAAGAATGTCAATAAGAAGGAATAAGAAGGAATAAGAAGGAATAAGAAGGTGATGAAAAGGAATAAGAAGGTAAATAGGAAGAATAAGAAGGAATAAGAAGAAGAAAGGAATAAGAAGGAATAAGAAAGTCAATAGAAAGGAATAAGAAGGAATAAGAAGGTCAATAGAAAGGAATAACAAGGAATAAGAAGGTCAATAGAAAGGAATAAGAAGGCTAACAGAAATGAATAAGAAGGAATAAGAATGTGAATAGAAAGGAATAAGAAGGAATAAGAAGGTCAATAGAAAGGAATAAGAAGGAATAAGAAGGTCAATGGAAAGGAATAAGAACGAATAAGAAGGTAAATAGGAAGGAATAAGAAGGAATAAGAATGTCAATAGAAAGGAATAAAAATGAAGAAGAATGTGAATAGAAAAGAATAAAAATGATTAAGAAGGTCAATAAGAAGGAATAAGAAGGAATAAGAATGTGAATAGAAAGGAATAAGAAGGAATAAGAAGGTCAATAGAAAGGAATAAGAAGGAACAAGAAGGTCAAGAGAAAGGAATAAGAATGAATAAGAATGTGAATAGAAAAGAATAAGAAGGAATAAGAGAAGGAATAAGAAGATCAATAGAAAGGAATAAGAAGGAATAAGAAGGTCAATAAAAAGGAATAAGAATGAATAAGAATGTGAATAGAAATGAATAAGAAGGAATAAGAATGTCAATAGAAAGCAATAAGAAGGAATAAGAATGTGATTAGAAAGGAATAAGAAGGAATAAGAAGGTCAATAGAAAGGAATAAGAAGGAATAAGAAGGTAAATAGGAAGGAATAAGAAGGAATAAGAAGGTCAATAGAAAGGAATAAGAAGGAATAAGAAGGTGATTAGAAAGGAATAAAAAAGAATAAGAAGGTCAATAGAAAGGAATAAGAAGGAATAAGAAGGTCAATAGAAAGGAATAAGAATGAATAAGAAGGTAAATAGGAAGGAATAAGAAGGAATAAGAATGTCAATAGAAAGGAATAAGAATGAATAAGAATATGAATAAGAAAGGAATAAGAATGAATAAGAATGTGTATAGAAAAGAATAAGAAGGAATAAGAAGGTCAATAAGAAGGAATAAGAAGGAATAAGAAGGTGATTAGAAAGGAATGAGAAGGAATAAGGAGGTCAATAGAAAGGAATAAGAATAAATAAGAAGGAAAATAGGAAGGAATAAGAATGAATAAGAAGGTCAATAGAAAGGAATAAGAATGAATAAGAATGTGAATAGAAAGGAATAAGAATGAATAAGAAGGTCAATAAGAAGGAATAAGAAGGAATAAGAAGGTCAATAGAAAGGCATAAGAAGGAATAAGAAGGTATATAGAAATGAATACGAAGGAATAAGAAGGACAATAGAAAGGAATAAGAAGGAATGAGAAGGTCAGTAGAAAAGAATAAGAAGGAATAAGAAGGTCAATAGAAAGGAATAAGAAAGAATAAGAAGATCAATAAAAAGGAACAAGAAGGAATAAGAATGTCAATGGAAAGGAATAAGAAGGAATAAGAAGGTCAATAGAAAGGAATAAGAAGGAATAAGAATGTCAATAGAAATGAATAAGAATGAATAAGAATGTGAATAGAAAAGAAAGAAGGAATAAGAAGGAATAAGAAGGTCAATAAGAAGGAATAAGAAGGTCAATAAGAAGGAATAAGAAGGAATAAGAAGGTCAATAGAAAGGAATAAGAAGGAATAAGAAGGTCAATAGAAAGGAATAAGAAGGAATAAGAAGGTCAATAGAAAGGAATAAGAAGGAATAAGAATGTGATTAGAAAGGAATAAGAAGGAATAAGAAGGTCAATAGAAAGGAATAAGAAGGAATAAGAAGGTCAATAGAAAGGAATAAGAAGCAATAAGAAGTGACTAGAAAGGAATAAGAAGGAATAAGAAGGTAAATAGGACGGAATAAGAAGGAATAAGAAGGTCAATAGAAAGGAATAAGAAGGAATAAGAAGGTCAATAGAAAGGAATAAGAAGGAATAAGAAGGTCAATAGAAAGGAATAAGAAGGAATAAGAAGGTCTAAGAAGATCAATAGCAAGGAATAAGAAGGTCAATAGAAAGGAATAAGAAGGAATAAGAATGTGAATAGAAATGAATAAGAAGGAATAAGAATGTCAATAGAAAGGAATAAGAAGGAATACGAAGGTCAATAGAAAGGAATAATAAGGAATAAGAAAGTAAATAGGAAGGAATAAGAAGGAATAAGAATGTCAATAGAAATGAATAAGAATGAATAAGAATGTGAATAGAAAGGAATAAGAAGGAATAAGAATGTCAATAAGAAGGAATAAGAAGGAATAAGAAGGTGATTAGAAAGGAATAAGAAGGAATAAGAAGGTTCAATAGAACGGAATAAGAAAGGAAATAAGTAGGTCAATAGAAAGGAATCAGAGGAATAAGAATGTGAAGAAATAAAAGAATAATGAAGGAAATAAGAAGGATTCCAATAAGAAGGACAAGAAGGAATAAGAAGGTCAATAGAAAGAATAAGAAAGGGAATAAGAAGGTTCGTGAAAAGAATAAAAAGGAATAAGAATGTCAATTAGAAAGAATAAGAAGGAATAAGAAAGGTCAGTAAACAGAATAAGAAGGAATAAGAAAGGTCAATAGAAAGGATAGGAAGGAATAAGGAAAGGTGAGAAAGAGAGGAATAAGATATGAATAATGAAGCAATAGAAAGGTATAAGATGGAATAAGAAGGTCAGTAGATGGGAATAAGAAGGAATAAGAAGGTCAATAGAAAGGAATAAGAAGGAATAAGAAGGTGATTAGAAAGGAATAAGACGGAATAAGAATGTGAATAGAAAGGAATAAGAAGGAATAAGAATGTCAATAAGAAGGAATAAGAAGGAATAAGAATATGAAGGTGATTAAAAAGGAATAAGAGAAGGTAAATAGGAAGGAATAAGAAGGAATAAGAAGGTCAATAGAAAGGCATAAGAAGGAATAAGAAAGTCAATAGAAAGGAATAAGAAGGAATAAGAAGGTCAATAGAAAGGAATAACAAGGAATAAGAAGGTCAATAGCAAGGAATAAGAAGGCCAACAGAAATGAATAAGAAGGAATAAGAATGTGAATAGAAAGGAATAAGAAGGAATAAGAAGGTCAATAGAAAGGAATAAGAAGGAATAAGAAGGTCAATGGAAAGGAATAAGAAGGAATAAGAATGTAAATAGGAAGGAATAAGAAGGAATAAGAATGTCAATAGAAAGGAATAAAAATGAATAAGAATGTGAATAGAAAAGAATAAAAATGAATAAGAAGGTCAATAAGAAGGAATAAGAAGGAATAAGAAGGTGAATAGAAAGGAATAAGAAGGAATAAGAAGGTCAGTAGAAAGGAATAAGAAGGAACAAGAAGGTCAATAGAAAGGAATAAGAATGAATAAGAATGTGAACAGAAAAGAATAAGAAGGAATAAGAGAAGGAATAAGAAGGTCAATAGAAAGGAATAAGAAGGAATAAGAAGGTCAATAAAAAGGAATAAGAATGAATAAGAATGTGGATAGAAATGAATAAGAAGGAATAAGAATGTCAATAGAAAGCAATAAGAAGGAATAAGAATGTGATTAGAAAGGAATAAGAAGGAATAAGAAGGTCAATAGAAAGGAATAAGAAGGAATAAGAAGGTAAATAGGAAGGAATAAGA